GCCCGTATCTAATTTAAAGGGAGACTGAGATCTAATTTAAAGCGAAACTGGGAAAATCATTTTAGCCGGGTACCCATGTGCCTAGCTGAAAATTTAGGTTTTGTTAGTGAGACTGAGTTAGTGAGACTGAGTTTGTTAGTGAGACTGAGTGCTGGGGTAGAAAACACAGTCTTTGCCAGATACAACTTCTACAGACTGTTGTCCAGATAATCTCTGAATCCTGGAATAGGCTTTGGAATCAAACTAGTAACTAAGCTCAGTCACAGCTGTGTCAATATAATCAATGGAAACTTCTGTTAGTATTACAAAAATGTCACCCCTCCAAATCTTTAAAATATTGCCATTTCAGATCTCTTATGTGTGTTCTGTTTTCCAATCTTCCATAATTCTGGATCAGATTCTGAGGTTAATTGTTCCTGGCGATAGCAATGGTTTGGTGAGGAAAAATGTCAGTATGGACTTTTTCTACCTTGCTTATCAGTAAAAATTCAAAATCAATCAGTATGATTATTTTTAAATTTTTTCTTTTGGATTTTTCCTCCCCTAAATGCTTGTTTTCATAGCACATGAACTTAAAAACAATGATAATGATGATATTTGAGTGGATGGAGCCTTGATTGAACATCTCCAAAAGACTTCATGTTAGACCTCATCTTATTCCAAGAGCTCTGCAAAGATCTTTCACAGAGTAGTTGTCTAGATGCATCGGAAATTCTTCCAAAATCATGGAAGCATTTATGCAGAAATGGATTCCACAGAGCACAGGACTCTTCAAATACCCACAGAAAAGGGCATCCCATTACTCACACATACAATTCCTAAAAAGCTTAGGCTTCACAATTTAAATATGAGGGTGGGAATGGGTGTCTTAGAATATTTGGATTTAGAAAGGTAAGCCTTTCTATTTGGATAATGACATGATATCACACTGTTATGGAACAAATAGAATGTTTCTTATAGTATGATTTTATCATGTTTCTAACAGTTGGCGAAAACTATCTTGCTTTTTTGAAAACAATGGGAGCATATGGACTTCTTTCCACTGAAGCTATTTAATGCCAAAAATGTGTCCTCTCCAAAATGAAAAGATATCACCAGCTTCTTGGGGACTTTATTTGATGGTGTCATGTTATGTTAGACAGAGACCTCTGGGTTTTGTTGTACTTGGGGCCACTGTTTTGACTCATCTACTCATCTGGAGTATCATTATAGAATGAATTGATTTTGACGTTGCTATATTATAGCTTTTGAATCAATAAATGCCCTTTCTTGACAGCCTGCTGGTCCTTTATTTGCTGCTAAAAAAAATCTTTGCATATTGAGAATGGTATCTTTTACAAAAAGAAACCTCCATAAATATCTAAGGCTCTCATCTAGAACCTCTTTGAGGCATAATGAAGGAGTCAGTCTACTTGATCTAAGAAGTTTTTTTATTTCTCTAAAAGGATAAAATGTATATTCCCAATTGTAAAAGTAATCCATATTTACTGTAGAAAAAATTAGAACATAGTTACAAAGGGAAAAGTAAAATTCATCCATAGTCCCACTTAAAAATAACTGTTAATCACTTTTGACAAACATCCTTTCAATTGATCAGATTAAATTCCTTGTTTTTGAATCAGTTAAATGTGCACAGTAAAAGGATACCTTGAAGTGATTTATGAATAAGCGAGGTCTTCGAGCCTCTCTATCCAAAAGATTGCTTTCACATTGCACCTTGCTGAGAGGAATAGTCGTAAATTTTGAGTCTTCCTAATTGCTAATACTGTAGCACATACCCAATCTCTAAGGTTGTATTTCTCAATATTTATTGGACACCATGGTTGTTAGGATTCCAAATATACTTTTTTTTCACAATGCCTTGTTTTTATTTTATTTCCCCTTTTATATTTTTAATATTGTTGTAGGGCTTTTTTTTTCCTGATCCACAAATATTCATAACAACTCATAGTGAATTATAACCTTTGCATTATAGAGTGAACTTTATTCCCCTTCTGATCTAATACTTTTGGGGACTGAATTCAGCCTTATCTGTTAAGAGCTTGCTGTTTGTTTTTTTAGCAATTTTATTCATTCTTCTATTTTCATTCTTTTAAGCCATACTATTATAGTTGTAGCTCTTTTGTGCAGTGTAGATTTAATATTTGCTTTGTGATTTAGTTTGAAATTCTCTTTACAGTTGGGTTTAATTTACATGTATTGATTTGATAGATTTGGTCCCAGTACTGTCATATTATTTTGTTGTACTTTCTATATATCTTTTAAAATATTTACTGTATAGACTGTTTTCTGTATCTCTTGATAAACAGAATAATGCATTGTATTTTTGTCCCCATAGTTACATTTATAATGCTGATAGTATACCATAAATTCTGTTTAGTCAGACTTTCCTTACCTGTGATTTCCTCCTATATTAATAGAATTATAGTTCATTTTCTTCTCTTTCACCCATCATCCAATTTTATCAATTCTATTCCCTTTATCTGTGTTGCTAAATATCCATATACCTCCGTTATTTGATCTGTTATTACAAAAAGCTTCCTGACTCCCATCTCCTCTTACAAACTTAGCCTGCACACTTGAAAGTATTCTTCCTAAAATCACTGTATCACAGCACAAGTCTTCAGCAGTATCTTTGATCCACAGAAATCTGTATTCTCGGGCCTCCCCGGTGGCGCAGCAGTTGAGCGCTAGGTTGCAAAGCTGCCCGCAGCCTCTGCAGCGCCGGTTCGATCCCCGGCTGCTCCCCGGCCACTGGAGGAGGGTCCCACATGGCGCGCAGACCTCTCCTGCCTCCCGCTGCTCCCCTCAGCAGTGTACTTCGGTCCTTCTGCCTGCTCTGCTCCCCGCTCTGGCTCTGGTGAATTCTCTCACCCTCCCGTGCTTCTGACTGTACCCAGTGCATGTATACAAACAAGCAAACAAATAAATAAATAAAACATGCCTCTATTAAAAAAAAAAAAAATCTGTATTCTCTTCCGTTTTCAAAATACCACAAACCAATGTCAATTTTTCCACTCAGCCTTATTTCGTCTATGACTTCTCAGTGAGTTTGTCCTCACTGTCTAAATGTTGAACAAAGTATAAAGGGAAGAATTTCAGTCAGATTAGTGCAGTCTGCGTTGTATCCTCAGGGATAAAGACGCTCCTGCATATTTACCTGGCCAGACTGAAGCTTTTCTAACTAACTCAAGGGCCAGATCCACAAAGGTTTGAGCTTCTGTGTCTCAGAAACTTGAAAGAATTGGAAAATACCTTAGAAATAACCAGTCTAATTATATCCAAGTACAAGGATTACTTTCCCTCCCAGTTCTGGTCTGAGTCAGGGGCCTTTTGGTAACTAGGAACTCAGGAACTCTCCCATATTATCTCAATCATGACATTCCGGAAAAAGAGCTATGAAAACAAGGATCTGTGGTTGCCAGGGTTGTGGATTTTGGTGGGTGATGGCACTTGGAGGGATGAGTAGGTAGAGCAGTTTTAGGACAAAATAATGGTGGATACATGCCACTACACATTTCTCTAAATCCATAGAATGTATAAGAATGAAGTATGTTATGAAACTATGGACTTTGGGTGACTATAATGTATTAACGTAGGTTCAACAGTTGTAAACCATAGGTACCATTCTGGGGAGAGGGAAGTTATTGGGGGAGATTGTGCATGTATGAGAGCAGGGGTACATGAGAAATAACCTTCCTGTCAATTTTGCTGTAAACTTGAAAAAAAAAGTCTTTAAAAAAAAGTTTTAGAAACATTTTAATAAAAAAAGAATGTAGCAGGGTAGCAGGTGTCCTTTCCATAGGAAACAGGAGCCTGGTTGTAATATTTTCAACTGACTATAATTGTTACTTTATTTCTTAATCTGTTTTAAATTTTAGAAGAAATATTAAACTGGGTTCTGGGCTTCCCATTTTAATTGCTTAATGTGTGCTACTCCTATCAAGCTAAATGTGAGCTGACTGAGATTAGGGAAGCGAATCTTACACTGTTTGTGGACAGTTGATGAATATAAACTTGTCACATGGGAGTCAGAATCTTCAGTGTAAAGCTACCTGCCCTGGTTCAAAATGTTTGCTGCCTCATCTTTTTCTTAAATTCAGCCTTGAAAAACACTATTAATGCACTGTATATTAATAGATGGTGCTATTACTCAACCTTGGCACTGTGACAGCAAGTGACCACAAACAGGACTCATTCAAAACACATACACACCCTTTTTAGGGGTATACATTCCTAAACCACACAAGCCCTGTTAAAATTTTACTCTTCAGAACAAATTTGATCTGCCAAACTTGAAGTAAATAGCAAGTGGTATTTACAATTCAACATAACGGACCATCATCACTCGCTCTTGACCGTTTCTTCCTCACACACACCCCTGACCATATGGCCCTACTTTTGAGATCAGACTTCAGATTTTCTGAAGCTTGCATTAATAATTAAAACCTGCAGTTGCTAATGTCCTAACAACTGATTTTAAGTTCAAAAGGCCAAAATCTGTGTCCTGTAAATTTCTGTGGGCTTTGATGCTCAGTATGGAATCATAAAGGACAAATGCTTCTGACTACTATGGTTATGGTCTATTTCTGGATGGCTTTTATTAAGTGTAATTATGATTTCAAGTCTGACTTCTACAAAAAATATACATCACATTTATATTTAAAACAAAACACACCAAAACCATTTTACTGAAAACTAGGTTTATTTTAAAATTAAGTGCATAGCACTCATCTAATTCCATTGGTGTAGACTTTAGCACCATACTTGCTATTTGCAATTAATGTCACAACACAGATACATTTTGGTTTGCAGTCTGTACTTGAGTAGTGTTTATTATTTAGTGGACTTTGGTAAAGCCCTTTATACATATCATTTCTCTCTTCACAGTACATATTTAATGATGGTCCGGTAATCTCAAAAACAAAAATCCAAAAACCTACTTTAAAGACTAATCAATAAATTAAACAAAATAAAACCCACACAGCTCCAACCCCCCCCCAAAAAAAAAAAAAACTAGTAGTTGAGTTGTATTTATACTGAAACCTAATGTTTTAAAAAATAGTTCTGGTTCTCGAACCACCCTATCCCACCCCACTCTGGGTATGCAGCAATCGCAACCAATTATTCATTTTATTCTACTCCCCCCCCCCCCAATTAATCCAGTGTTCTTTAGCTTTTTTAAATATAAATTGGGAAAATGTTAAGTTTTTTAAAAGGCATATTCTACAACAAGAATGACATTTAAACCAATCAATAAAAGCATCTGACAAGACATTAATACCATAGGCACCAGTTGTTGTTTCAAGTCGGGATACAGGTCCCATTATCTTACATTCATAGCATTACTGAGGTAGTTAGAATACTGAAAGATGGACTCCAGGTTACTGGGTTCTGAATGTGGAAGGTATGTTCTCTTTTGAACCCACTTTCTCCCAAATAATTCAAGTTTTCGTGAGGTAAGAACAAAATCCAATTAGCAGCCTTCTCTAAAGAAGTGATGATGCTTTCAGAAAACAATTTTCATGCTTGAAAACTGCCTTGAGTGTTCTTACCTGAGTGGTTTTTTGTTTTGTCTATCAGACTAGTAAGTCCACATCATGCACTAAGTACTCTAATTATAAAAGTCACAATTCTTTTAAGGAAAGGACATTCTCAATTCAAACTGGCAGAAGCCAGCCCTTCACACCCCACATTCATCCACTGGAGCCATCTGGATTGATCTATTGTGTTGAGTCCCCTCCCAAGGACAGCCATTGGCTTGATTACTGAGACTCCTGCTGCATACCCACATCTTATGAAGTTTTTCAATGCATATTGTGGCAGTCACATACCTGCCAAGCAGTTTTCCCTTCTATTCAAGTGCTATCTTTAAAAAAACACAAAAAAGACACACCTTACTAATTTTTAAATCAGAAAGTTTCCCCTTCACCAAATCTCTTCTCCCACAGATAAGAGCACAATGTATACAGTTTATTACAATGATTTTTTTCTTTTTAAAGTTTATTTCCCCCAAACTCTTTACCCCCACATTGCCCTTTTTCTCATGTTCACTCAATACCAGCATGATGAAATATCAGCATGATTGGCCCCAGGGCAGTTCTGGGGCCAATCCAATAAAAGTGGTTACTGAAATTTAGTAATCAGAGCCTTTGCCTGCTTACAATGACTAGGTGGATTCAAAGGTTGGTTATAAAACCTGTCTTCCACATATCAAAGTGCTGCTCTAGCACAACCTGAGAACTACCATGGCCACACTCCACTCCAAAATAAGCCTACAGAACTTTATTCTAGTATTGACATTTTACAGTTAGCTATGCCTCCCCTTGCAAAAACTTTTTTAGAGTAATATCTAATCTCAGTGTAAATCACTCATTGCACTGAGGAATTAAAAAACCTATTTATGCGGTACGAACGATAGGAACCACCATGTCTTCAGTCTAAGCTGCAGTTATGTTATCATTTGAAAACACAGCCTAGCAGGAGTATTTTAACCAATGTTATAAAGGTAGTTCATATTATAACATCCCCAAAGCATGTTGCATTAGTTAAGTGTTTCCAAGTAGTACAAATTCCCTGAGTTAAATGTGTTTTAATTCTGAAGATCTGAGGTTGATTACTTAGGGAAAAAAAGATTTATGACCATGATTTTAAGCAATCTAGTCCCCAATTTTAGTACATAAATCGAGATGCCTACAGTATGTGTGATAAGAAGTTATAGAATCATTTAAAAGAAATTTTTTATGCAAAAATTGGAATAGCATAGTAATTCATTAGTTTAAACTTGGTCAAAAGTTCATTTGTAAATCAAAAATATAACTCAAACTGCAGAATAAAAAAAGGACTTCCTCAAAAATTAATACTGTAACTTTCCTTCATAAAAAGACTATTTGGCAAGTCTACAGATTAAACATTAGTCTCTGACATACATAAGCCAACGTTAGGCCCAAAGCCCACCACAGGTCAGATCTCAAAATGGCGAACTGAAGTCTGTCCAAATTTTCTGTGTGTACTGATTATTTCTGAAATACTTGGACCATCAGTCAGGGCTTGAAAATTTTTGTCATCTATGGACTTGTGACAGGATTTGACAGATACACTGTAGAAATGTTTGCAGTGTTTGCTTAGTCCTCCCAGATATTCATGGTGCTTTGAAAGGGCTATTTAATCTTCCTGGTCTTGGTACCTGAAGAGTTCTGAAGTCATTTTTATCCCTTTCTTTTTGAAGAGAAGTTTACAAAAAGTTTTCCCCAGAGCGTCAAGTCACAAAACAGTCTGGGTTAGGTATTACCTTCACATGTAATCACCTCTCAAAGCATGGAGTAATGCAAGGGTAATGTTCATTTATCTGATAACTCCGGTTATAAGAAACATTCAGACAGGGTTTAACCTCTACTGGTATCGCCAATGACATCCCAACACCAGTCTGGACGTGGCCAAGGCCCTGAACGCTAGTTTGGAAGCCAGCAGGACATGTCTGTAGTGTGTAAGATGAGGTGTGTGTGGTAGATACAATCTGCTGACAGCTTTGTTGTTCTGATACAGGATGGCGATACTGCAGTGAGGTCTGATGTGTCTGATGGAGATACTGAGGTTGCTGAAAGTGAACTGGCCGAGAGGGCTGGGACGCTGTCTGGAACACACTTAGTTGTGCTGGTTGAGGCCCTGCCTGTCCTCTCTGTTTGTTAGCTTCTTTTACATCATTATCATGAGCGCTGCAAGATGAAGAGAAAGGAAACTGTTAATGTTACTTGGGAGGAATTTTCAAGAAACTTATGCATCATCCCCAATTCCTTAACAGCTAATTCCATGCTCTGGTCCACTGCCTAGGTAGCAGTCACGCGACCGTAATTTCAGCAACAATGAGATATCTTAATCCTTTTACATGCTCCTTCACTTGGCAAAAACCTTGGAACCTGGCTGCTGGTAGCTTTGAGGGCTATTTCCAGCTTACGAGATATGTCTGCAATAAGCATTTAAGTGCAATTGCTAGTTTAGTGATAGCCTTGTCCCCAGAATTCAAAGATGTGGAAATGGGGAATGCAACAGACTTGCCTGGACTGACTGCAGAGTTATGGGCTCAAAGACATACAAGCTTTGCTTCTTTCCCTGTCGTGAACCCAGGATCATACCAGCAATGACAACCTCGAACTGAACTGTAGCCCCAAAGGGTTTCCATTCCAGAGAACAACTCTGGCTGTTTGCTCATGGCAGCAAGCAGCTGTGAGAATAAGCATCCTATAAGCACTGTGCCTTTGAGAAGTTTTTAGGGTCCCTTTACATGAGAAAAATACTAATGACAAATTAAAAACAAAAGAACAAAAGGCTTACATCAATAGCCGTTCAATGCACTGCACTAAGAAATCCCAGGAGTAAGCAGTAAGACGATGCAGTCTTGTAGGCCACGTTGGAGAAAGACGAAGAATAATTCTTGAAGAAGCCACACATGCAGCAGCTACTAAAGAAGGTGCATAATTTAGAAAGGCATAATCTGTGGAGACATCAAAAATGAACTTAAGCAACAGAATACACAAGTCACAAGCTCACAAGCCACTTACTGGGATCCACAACGACTCACCTTGTAATGATACTTCCAGGAAGTAATCTGCATACTTGGCCATATAGAGTTTAGTTTTTTCCAAGCAAATCATTGGCCAGCCATCATGAAGATCTGTTTCATGTACTGCTTCAGAGAGATAATACTCGATGAAATGAGCAGCTGTTGGAAGGCAGAGGTTCCACTGAAAGGTTTCTAACAGTAATAGTTCCATATGTAGCAAATTTTGCTTTGTTAACACTAGATTCATGTTTGTCATACAACCCAGGCTGTTAAGCTGCTCCAGCTTAGGCACACTATCTTCTTTTTCTTCAAATTTACCTTACAAGAAAAGAAAGGGGCAGGAGGAGAATGTTAGGTACATGATCATTATAGGTCTAGTCAGTTAAATGGGACTTGCTGCCTCACTACAAAGATTTGGATCTGAACACTTGCTTTCTCCTACCCTGGGCAGATACACTTGGTGCCAGAACACTGTGGTTCCCATATTCACATTTCCCTCAGTACCTTCTTCCCCACTCTTTGCCCTTCCTTAAAAAAAGTGGAACATTTAAGCATTTCATCTGTGTCCCGATGTGTAACAAAAACAGTTGTAAGTGCCAATGGAAAAACCCTCTTAAATCTCACCAGCTGTATCTTTTCAGGATATCTTTTGGGGAATAAGTGGAAGACACATTTATTTAGAAGAATTTAATATAAAGAATTTAATGTCATAGGGCCTCCCTGGTGGCACCCTAAGCCCTGAGGGGTTGTCTCAGCACTATGAAGCTGTCCGCAGCCTCTGCAGCTCAGTTCGATCCCTGGCCAGGGAGCTGACCCACACTGCGCAGCAAACCTCTCCTGTCTCGCCCGCTGCTCCCCTCAGCAGTGTGTTTCAGTCAATCCGCCTGTTCTGTTCCCCACTGTTTCCTCTCATCCCCAGCATGTCTGGCCTGTACCCCAGTTCTTGTATGCATAAATAAATAAATATTAAAAAAAAGAATTTAATGTTATAGAGTTATAAGAGTTAAGCTTCAAATGTGTAATCTTGGCATATTTCAGTACACTATCAATTCCAGAGAAACAGATTGGGGGCTGGGGTGGGAGGGAAAGTAGGTGAATACCTAACATAAACGTTTGCATTCCACAAAAAGATCTCTCCTCTTCTGAATTCAAGACAAAAAACCTACATAAGTCTGTTACAGAACAAAACAAAATGAGGGGCGTATACTTTATATCTCCTTACTCAAAGCAAAATAGGAAAAAGATCATTTTATGGTTGAATTTCATTATTCAAAAGCTTTAACTTCTTTTCAGGAAATAGTCATCCATATATGCATGGCTGAAGAATAAAATTTCCTCTTCAGCCTCAGATTAAATTTCTACAGGTTATATACTATCTTACATGTTACTTTCCAAAAGCATTTTATCGTACATAAAATTTTCATAGCTGGTATCTCTAGAACTGATATCTAGAGAAAACTCACTAACCACCAAGTACTATGATGATTTTCCAGATGTAGCACTAGAACCAAGGACTTATATTCAGATCTTTGTGGGTCTTTGTCCCATGGTAGCCCACAGAAAAAGAGAAATTATAACTAAAGCTCCTCCCACCACCAATATTATGTTCTATTTTATATCAAGGCTTAAAGCAGTCATATCAGTTAGTACAGTTTTCTCACAAAAGGTTTAATACAAACTTGTTCAAAATTTTAAAATGTTACAATTTAAAAACAATTTAAAAACAAAATAAACTCGATTCTGACAACAGAATAGTGGTTACCTAAGGTGGATCAGGGTGATAACAGGTAGATAAAACCAGTATAGGGACCAAGTGGTAGATGGAACTAGAGTTTTGGTGGTGATCACAATGTAGCACATACAGGTGTTGAAATAAAAAGCTATTAACCTGAAACTTATACAGTGTTATAAGCCAAAATTACCTCAATAAAAAATATAATAAAAATAATAGGAGAAGAGCCAGAAATACTGCCAGAGCAGGAGAAATCAAGTGAGTTTCCTTGTGAAGTTTCTCTTCCAGAATGTACCATTTATACCAGATGTTTAAGTTCATAATGCACTCCTGACTATCTTGGTCTTTGCTTAGGACAGGGGAATTAGGGTATAAGGTTTTGTCTTCTAAGCTCATGACTTCTAAAAGTCTAAGCCCAAAGAAGCTTAGCATTTCTTTCTGCTCTAGAAATTTTGACCTTCTTTAGATTCAAACCCTTCTTAATTAAATGTTATTACAGGGAAGTAGTTGATCCATTTAAAAAAATCCAAAGAACAAAAAACTTTACATAAGCCTTTCCTTAATACAAATCACAAAAACACGAATTTCACAAATTTTGTGACCAGCAGCTGAAAGCACTAAACAGTCTTTAGGATAGTCATCCAGCATCCAGTCCTCACTGCATAAAGATAGAGGCGAGGCATCCACTGTTTTCAGTATGACAGAGTAGAATTCTACGTAAGGAGAATGACCTAGGAATGTCCAATCCCTCTGAATGAATCATTAAGGATTTCAAAATGCCCTGACATTTGTGTAGCAGCAGCAATAGGGCAGCGTACTTCAAAGGAATATTGTAAAAATTAATGAGTTTATTTATACTATGCTTGAAATTTTTCTGAAGAAATTAACACACCATAATTCACTGTTTAGTTGAAGGGTCAAGAATGTTTCATATTACCCCCTCAAAACTTTCAACACTGAAAATTCTCTATGACCCATTTTGCAGCTCAAATAATTTGAGCCAAAATAAAAATGGAAGCCAAAAGTAAGACATATTTTAATTCCTAGATCTGTACTTATAGACCAAAGCATTACGCTGGGTTATGGGGATGACTACCAGAATAGTCAAAAGTTTTGTTATTAAATATCTATGGGGTTTCTATGTTTATGAAGTACTTGGCTATTACAAATATGAAAGACTTTGTATCTTGATTGGCAGTTAAAAATAACTCGCACAGTATATAAATAACTATACTTGGCATTTAAATCAGGATTAAGTTTTCTAGAACTTTTCATTATATAGTGATAGAAACACTCATATGAATACTGAAGCATTTCAAAATGTGTGACAACATCAGTGAGTTACCTGTATATCTATACTTTGTGTTGAAAGCTCTATGTGTGGTTATTTTATATTTATGGACAATTCCACATACAGATCATAAAGATCAGTTTCTTCAATTGAAAGGAAATACCAGAAGCCATGTGATTATATTGATAAAGGCCCCAAAGAGGAAATGAGGGTACAGGAAATTCACATCTACTCGCCATAAAATAAAGAAAATATCAGGTTGCCTTTCCTTTATAGGAAATGTCCATATCAGTCATGGAAACCAGCACATTTTCAGAGCCAGCAGAGAATGGCAGATATCTGGTAGTAGGGCATGGATCAGAAGTCACTGTGAGCTCTGCCAAAACACATCCTATTCTTTAATTAGTATGTAGGGGAAAAGTCATCTTCAATATATACTAAGAATGCTCACAAACTTGTAAGACTATTAAACAGAAAAAAATTGGTAAAGAACAAGAAGGCAATTCATAGGGAAAAAAAGTTCTATTCTCATTAAAATCGAGATGTAAATAAAATCAACTGTGAAATACAATTTTTCACCTCTCAGTAAAGTAAAAAGCTTTGTGAACCACTCAAAGAGAAAGCAGTGTCAAATTGTTACTATTAGCTCAATCTCACTTTTGGCTTCATTTTGACTCCAAGATCATGTCTTAATTACACAAGACAGCCAGCAAATTATCAAAAGCTTCATCTCCAAGACTGCTTTCCATGTGCTCTACAAGTTCAATGCTGATGACAGAAGCCAAGAGAAACCAGTGTATACACGTAAAAGACTTGGAATTTGAAAATTTCCCAGGATAAATCAATCTATTCTAGAATCAGACAGAAACATTCAGGGCTAGGAAGCTAGACTAAGGATTATACAGTTTATGAAGGAATTACATAACGTTTGTTTCAATTTTCTACTGTGTTTTTTTAATTTACCCTATTTGATCCTCAAAAAAAACCCCTCTAAGTGTCTTAAGTAATGTGAGACTTAAGCACTGTTGAAATTCATACTGCTGTAGAATCAAACCTAGATCAATCATTATCATCCCCACTCTAAACACTACTCTTTAATCAGAGACTATGTAGACCCTTTCTTCCTACCCCCACTAGTGTACACACTGTGTACACCAGCTAGAAATGCACTAGTATCTGGAACTGAGAAGCTGTGCTGTCTTTGGCCAAACTACTTATAGCCTCTCAACTTATTTTTATAAGTGGAATCCAACTGTCACTTGGTCCCATTAGCTATAAACTGTTCTCCACTTTTATACAACAGGCTGTCATCCCAAAACAGGAAGCAGCTGGAAGAGGGGGACACACCAAGTTCAATCATTCCCTGATGATAGGATTATTTGAATATGGCTTATGGTAACTAATCTGGAGAGATACCACTGGTATCCAAACATAAGATAAACATGCAAGAAACACTAGAATGGAATCCACAAATATAAAACATCAGATACTGACAGCAGGCTATCAGTTCACTACTGTTGCAATATAGTTAACACACTGGAGAAGAGATTATTGAGGCTACTAAGGGCCAGTCTCTGGGATTCCTGACCCTAGCAGAGAACTGATAGTTTGAATTCTTTTGACAACTGCCTACTGAGAGAGGGACTGAGATTCTGGGGATAGTTATCTTATAATTCCCCACTCTCCAGTGAAAAAGGAAGATTACAAAAGTAAGTCTTCTCAAGAAGGAAAGGTAGAAGGTGTCAGTAGAACAGGCAGAGGAGGAGGAGTTATTTGATGGCCATGTAATAGATGATAAATTTTATTTGAACCACAGCAAATACAGAACCTAGTCTAGTTCCTGGGAAATGAGCCAAAAGTAACAACATATCCCCCCATAGATTAAATCAAACAATCTTCAATAAAATAAATTGATCATGATCTTAAACCAACAGTAACACATAATTTAAAAACAAGAACTGAAAATTCCATTCCAACCAGCCTAAGATGGTACACAAAGTATCCTCTCCCCAAATTGTGGAAAGTGCAGGAATGTGGCTCTAATGTGTATTATTTAACTACACTCCTGGGTGAACTTTGGTAGTAACATGTAATTTCTGAATATCTAGTTTAGTAACTCCTCGTTCATTTAAAAACTTAACTAGTGAGTGGCAAGCTCTAATCACAAATATGTCAGCCTGAACTCACTATCCATTCATAACTTCAGTCTACCAAGGCTCACCCCACACAAGACTCAGAGGCATAGAGCAGGTGGTAAAAGGGCAGTGATGGCCACATCAGGTAAAAGGTCACTTTTCATTAATGATCCCAAACTTTTAATATAACCAACCTTGCATGTCTCATTTCTAGTGTCTGAGTCTGTAATAAACTAATATTCTGTAGGATAACAAGAAGTCCTCTTATCTGTGGATTCTTAAACATCCAACTTGACAAGTCTGGGTTTTTCCAATCCAATGCAAACTATTATATCATAAAAGGTTTCACAGCCAGTGATAAAACATATACAGACTTATACATGTGACTGCTTATGAGGATGAAACCTTTATTAAAGGTTAAATTAAAGGTTAATTATAAATGTACAAGTATTACCTGTCTAGGTTTCGGGGAATGAGGGAAATAGAAGCAGATAAGATGTGTCTGGATCTTAGAGGACAACAGACTAAAGGAAAAGTATAGATATTTAGGAAATGACTAGCATTCTCATAAAAATTAGGTTTATAGTACAGTAGGTAGGGTTGGCAGATAAGACTAGAAAGAGAGCTAGGTCAAGATGAAAGTTCTGAATTATATATATAATTATAATAAGGAATTTCCATCTTAATCCATTGGCAGTGGAAAGTTATCACTAAGGTGATGTCTTATTTTGCATTCAGCACGGTCCACAAGCAATTCGAAATAACTTACAAAATACCTTCAGGGAGACAAAATCAGTTGCTGAAGTCATCAGATCGAAAAATAAGGGAAGGAAAAGAAAATCTTAGGAGAGATTAGGACTGGAAATAATACCACACAGACCTGTGTTTGGTTATAGGTTTATTACAGTCAAAGCACAAATTCACAAAGTCTAGTGGCAGAGTATAGGGGGACTGCTTCTTTCAAAGCAGCCAATCGGATTCCAAACACTCAAGTGGGAGTTAAAAATGAAGGCAGTCTATATTTCTACACACTACTTTGAAGTAGTAATGAAGTAGAATAATATTCTATTATAATGGCATGGATGATATAAAAAGTACACAATGAACTCAACTTCGGCATCAAATATAATCTTTTCACATTACGAAAAGAAGGAAAATTCAATTTCAATCCCTTAACTTACCCTCTTTCTGTTCAGTCAAGGAACTAACAATGAAATGAGTTACATGAAGACATCAAGAGAAAGAGGCACCAAGAGGCCAAACAGTACACTCTGCATTTAGTAACAAGTATTGTTATTTCAGATTCCACTTTGCAATCTACTACACAGTTGTGCCTAATCCATAAGCAAAGGTGTCATGTTTGCACCAGCTGCATGTGAACCTTTAGATTATTACGCCAACTCATTATGTCATTGGTAGAAAAGTAATCTGACAATATACAAGTCTGGTACATTTTAGACTTTCTCAATCTTAGCTCCATTACATTTTGAGTCAGGTAATTCTTTGTTGTGAGAGGCTGTCTTGTGCATTGCAGGATGTTTAGCAGCATCCCAGGCTTCTACGAACTAGATGCTAATGGCATCCTCTCAGGTTGTGATGATAATGAAAACTGTCTTCATACATTGCCAAGTGTCCCCTGTTGGGCAAAACTGCTCTTAGTTGAGAACTATTGCTTTTAAGACAATGTTTCTTCATTGGAAAGGCAGATTAGAATTGCCTGTGGAACTTAAAAAAGTCAAAAAACCCCAGATCCTCTGAAGTAGATCCTGGGTCAATAAATCTGGAGTGGCATACATCAGAATATTCTGGATGTAGGGTTAGGCATAAATGTTTTTAAAAGACTCCCAAAGTAATTTTTAAATGTCTAGTTAAGAATTATTGTGCCAGAAGCACATTCAGCATAAGCTTGATACTAGTAAACTGGAATGAATGGAACCCGGTTTCTACATAAACTTGTTTTAATATAAATGATGGAAATTTCTAGTCAATCAAATTCATACTTACTTGCTAGAAGCAGACAGGAAAGTGCAACTAAATGCAGCTGCTGGATAGAGATGTCATAGCGATCCATAAACAGGTCCAGCAAATATACAGCAAGATGTCGGGCAGAAGGGCAGAGTGTGAAGCGATTGCTCACAATAGCAATCAGGTCAGCAAAATACCTTCTCAGACTGAGTTGAGGGGACTGGCCTTTGTAGGAAGGTAACTTTAGCTCCTAAAGCAAAAGGAATAATATTTAGTCTAACACAGGATATAGGATAAATACCCTCACAAGGACGCAAAGACAAGTTTTCCCCCAATATGTTAATGCTGCACACCCCTAAAAAACACTTTTCTTGAAACATAAGTGAAACAGTGGGCAAGAATGGCATTTAATAAAGTGTTTAAAAAAAAGGATAATGAAGGGCATTTAAAATTTAAGATCACTTTTTCTTGTTCTTAACCACCTGACATGACTAATTATAGGTATTTTTAGCATTATGGAATGGATGTTCTAGCAAGAGACCGTTTTAATAGGGCAATGCTATTTTTCCCTTATCAAAATATCAACCATGCCTCCTATACCCCAACACACCCACACACAAACACACGCCACGTTCCTACTGTGTTGCATATTATACTATACTTGTGGGGAAGACGAGTATATATCTGCTACTATCTTCTAATCATGTTTCCCTTTCAGCAGTTGCACTATCTCTCCCTCCAGTTGCCATCATAGATTCATACACCTAAATTTTTCCCCATCATTGTTCAATCTCAGAACTATACCATATGAACTTGTTTTTTAAAAATCTGAAATTTTCTATACTACTAAGGCAATTCCATAGATGGAAAGGGTCTACATTCATTTTATGAGATGAGTATAATGCAAATACTAAGGTATCACAGTACAAGAAAATAACATGAATATGACCCCGGAAGCAAAGGCAAAAAAAAAAAAAGACAAATAGACAATCAGACTTCATCAAAATCTTGTTTACTGGTGTGAATGTAAAATTGTGCAATAACTGTGAATAGCAATATTAAAACTCCTAAAAAAATTTAAACATAGTATTACCATATGATCCATTGATTCTACTTTTTGGTATAGATCAAAAAGAATCGAAAGGGCTTAGGCAGATATTTGTACATCTCTATCCACTGCAACATTATTCACAATAGCCAAAAAGTGAGGGGGTGGGAGAAGGGGACTGCAACTAACACAATTATCCACCAGTGGATGAATAAACACAACATGGTATACATCTACAATGGAATACTATTCAGCCTTGAAAAGGAATGAACATCTGAATTATGCAACAACATGGATGAATGTTGAGAACATTATGCTAAGTGAAATAAGCCAGACACAAGAGACAAATATTACATCATTCTATTTATATGTGACACCTAAAGCAGAAAGTTACAGAGACAGACAGTATAATTGTGGTTAGCACAGACTGGGAGGCAGGGGGAATGTGCAGTTATTGTTTATTAAGTATGGCATTTCAGTTTTGGCAGATAAAGTTATAAAGATGGATAGTGGTGATGGTAGTAGCACTATGTGACTACAACTTATATCACTGGAGAGTATACTGAAAAATGGTTAAAATGACAAATTTTGTGTTGTGCATATTTTTCAACAAAACACACACTAAAAAGGAAGTTAAATGTCAGACTAATTTAATGAAGTACTAACATTTAGATAAAGTATTTGTCAATGTAATTTGGTAACATACAAAGAATATACCATTAATTGCTGTACTAGGAAGGCAAAGATGGTTTGATATTAGGAAATCCATTAATATAAGTCACAATAAAAATGCACATAAAATACACCCAACCCATCTTCATACATGCCAAAATAGCATCTGAGCAAGAAGATCCTTCAATGAAGGAGGAACGCTAAAAGATCTGAATTGTAAGAGCTAGCATCTTACATGGAGGTGAACAACAGCATTCTAGTGCTACAATCACAATATTATTTAACATTATTCTGTGGCTACTAATCAATTGAAATAGAAAAGGAAATACAATGTTCTAATTATTAGAAATGAAGACTCAAAAAATTACTTTTAAGAACAAAATAAAAAAAAAAGAACAAAATAATTTTTTAGATCATAGAATTTGCATATAGAAAAACCAAGGAAATCAAGAGAAAAAAATAGGTGGTAATAATTCAGTAAGATGGCTTGTTACAAAATTAATGTGAAAAAAAATCAGCAGTTTTCTGTATATTAATACTAGTTAGAAAACAGATTTCACATACACTAATAAAAAATTAAAATACTAGAAATAACCTTATATTTGCCTAACTACATGATTTTTTTTTGTAATTCCAAAGAAGTTATGAAAGAGAAAACACAGAAAGACATTCCTTTTTCTTGGATAGCAGAACCTATTTAGTAACAACAGCATTTCAAATCAGGGGAGAATGGATGAATTTAATACATTTTTCAAAACACAGGACAAATTAGAGAACGCTTAGAAATCAATAAGAAAAAAGAAACCAGTAGGTACATACGATTCACTGGGAAAGTTAAAGAGGGTTAAGAAATATAAAAAGATGTTTTTCTCAATCAAAACTAAGGAATCTCACTGTTTTTCACTTACCACATTAGATTTTATTAATTTTTGTTTATGCTGTTAAGAGTAGAAATAGGAATTCCTCTGTATTATTGGCCAAGTTGACAGCTGATATACTCTATTTTAGAGAGCAATTATGCAATATATATTTTTAAAGATAGCCTTTAACCTAGCAATCCTAGACCTATGAATTTACCATATATCTAAGGAGGTCCTTTGCAATAATACTGTTTTTAATAGCAAAACAGTGGAATAAAAAAGTCTAATGTCCAACAACCTGATGGATCTCTAGAAAATTATGCTGAGTAATAATCAATCCTAAAAGGTCATATACTAAGAATACATTTAACATTCTTGACATGATTAAAGTTATAGAAATAAAGAAAAGATTAGTGGTTGCCAGGATGTTGGGGGTAGGAGGAACATGAAGGGTGGAGGGAAGAGGGCATGAGTATAAAAAGGCAGCATAAAGCGATTCCGTACTGACAGAAAATATTTTGTACTGTAGTGTCCAAATAGTAACTTCCAAAGGAAGGTCTCAATTCAGATGCTCTGAATTGTATCATATTAAACCCAAAAGGCAGGAATCATGTTTGTCTCATTCATTGTTATCACGGTAACACCTGGTGTAGCATCCTTTAAAAAAAAAAAAAAGATTTACGTATTCATACAAGAACTGGGGTACAGGCCACAGATGCAGGAGGGCGAGAGGATTCACCAGAGAGAGAGGGGGAGCAGAACAGGCAGATCAACTGAAATACACAGCTGAGGGGAACAGCAGGCGAGCCAGAAGAGGTCTGCCGCGCCATGTGGGTATCTCCCTGGCCGGCCAGGGATCAAAGAGGTGCTGCAGAGGCTGCGGACAGCTTCACAGCACTGCGCTCAACCCCCTGTGCCACCAGGGAGGCCCTGGGATAGCATCCTGTAGGCACTTATATATGTTGAATAGGTAAGGATATGACAATCAAACTAAATCACTTAATAGCCTGGAATTGACATTTTCAATCAGAAAAGCTCATTTTAACTTTCCTTGATTTCAATGTACTATCAACAATGGTATCTTCAGTTCTACATGTTTACATTTTACTGATTAACAAGTCTTTATAAAGTGTGGCCATATTGTCAGGTTACAAAAAATGTGGCTTACACAATGCTTAAAGATAAAATAAAGACAACGCAGCATGCCACAGGTGGCCCAAGATAAATTTTCAATGATGTTACTTCAGATCCAGTGCTATCTCATATTCAGAGTTTGCCCTAACAGTTTTGTCTTACCCCTTGGTTCCTCTTTGGAGTCTAATATACAAAAGCATTCTACACTAGCTGGAAAAATAATTATGTGCTTCCAACCTCAACAACAAAATTAATTCAGGTAATCACACAGAATTAAAATTACACATAAAATATAAGGATCGGAAACCATGAAATCAGCGAAAAAAATCTTTGAAGCCTATGTTTTCAATATTTGTCCATGTATTTAAAATAAAATATATATATCACTAATATCAAATAATTACTATATTATAACGGGTAAAGCGTTGACACTTAGAAAAGAACACTTAAAACTAATAGATGACATCTTTCAGGCAAAAAAATATATCAAAGGGATCTGGACAATTTCAAAGTGGAAATCCCGCAACTCTTAAAATTCCAGAGAACCATTCAATAGTTGAGATCTTTCTGTGGTAAAATGACACATATTTAGTGTGTCTCAGAGGCTGACTGTCAGAATTAATAAGAAATCTGGAACCTTAGAAAAGGGGACCATGTAACAATTTGTTAGAATTAGGTTTTCTAATCTAACCTGTTTTTTTTTTTTAAATCAAAATACAAGTTTACTATCATCCAAGGATCTCTCAACTGTAAGAATCAGTATCCTTTTTATTAAAGAGTTAGATGTTTTGCTCCTCTCATTTTCTATACATAAAAAAGGTTGTTCAAATCCAGGGGAAACTGAGTCAAGTTAGAGCTAATTATGCAAATGGTCTCTCTTTTGGTCATCAAAGATGTAGATTAAACTCCAAAAGCTGAGATGTGACATAAAACAAAAAATAGTTATTTAAGAGCAAGACTGAATTGTGTCAGAAAAGTGTATTTCTGTCCCTCCCCCCACCCCATATCTATTAAGAATACTTGGGTCTACCTTCTTCTGCCTTTGATGTTAGCTGGAAGGAGCAGCTAACTCCTTCTACCTCCAGGCTTTCTGAACAGCCCCAAAACATGGTGTCTCCAGGATAGAGTAATAATAGTTATCATTTCTTTAATGCTTACTATATGTAAATGCTGTTCAAGTATTAACTATCTTAATTTTCACTATTGCCTCAAGGCAATTCGATTATTACTCATTTTACAGATGAGAAAACTGGAAAGCAAAAAATTATGTAACTTGTCCACGGCCTAACAGCAAGTTATTAGAAAGACTGGGAAATGATTTATGTACAAATGTGGCACAACAAACAGCTGCATGCAACAGCCACTGCAGCACAAGAGAGGCTGTTCTGCCCATTAAAAAGTCAAGGTGCAATCTTTTTAAGTAAAAGATCAAATCCATGTTCCAACTTGAAACAAGACTATCAAAATGTCCCTCGAGACCTTCCTTCTCCCACCGACCACGCCCCTCCCCCATTTAAATTGCAGATTCTTCTGATGCTTCCTAGGAAGAAGCCAAGAAATTAATTAACCTTGAACAAACAAGCAAAGTCGTCTTTTCTGGCCTGGAAGCTACTGGTCAAACCTGACCTGACTTCCCAAGGGGGTGAGTTGCATACTAAATGGTGCAAGACACTGAATGGCAAGGTCGGGCATCAGTTACCTTGTACCGAAGCGCTTGGTGAATGTCGGCAGCCAGCTGTCCCCGCCACCACTGCCCCTCCAGCTCCATGGGACCCCGCGGCACGCCCGGCCAGACGCGGCAACTCGAGTCTGTAAGACACACCCCAGAAGCGGTCACGGCCAGCCGTCGCCAGGGGACCCCCGGCGGGGGTGTGACCGCGGGCCTCCTCGGGAGGCTGCTCACCGCACCCCACTCGGCCTACAGCCGGCGCCCATCGAAACCACCCCCTAGCGCCCCACGGAGGGACAAGCCGCCCAGCGAGGAGGCTGGCTGCCTCCGAGAACTACCCGACTGTGCGCCGCGCAAAAGGGGGCTCCTCCGACCCGAGCTCCCCAGGCGCGGACCCAGGTGCGGGTTCGGAAGAGCGGGCGGGTGGGGCGGAGTCCCGGGTTCGAATCCTCCCGCCGGCCCTGCGGAGCCGCGACTTGACACCCGCGCTCGCGGAGAAGCCCGGCGGCGAACGCCCGCGGCGGGGAGTCCCCGGGCAGACGAGCCCCGCTCCTCCGGGACTCTCCGCGGCCCGGCCCGGCGCGCACCCAGGCCGCCCCCAGGAGCGCACGGGACCGCGCGGCCCCAGAAAAGCGAACAAAAGGCCGGGCGGGTCCGTGCCCCGCGCCCAGCCCAGGCCTGGCAGCCCCCGCGGCGGCGGCCTCCCTTACCCGGACCCGCGGCCTCACAGCCCCAGCCCCGCCGGCGCGCGCGGGACGCCGGCCCCGCTCATGCTGCGGACAGTCGGCCGCCAAGCGCCGGCCTCAGCTCCGGCCCAGCGCCGGGGCGCTCGCGCCGCCCATTGTTAAAGGACCGGCAGGCGCTCCGCGTACAAAGCCAGCGCCGGGCACATGCGGCCCCGCCGCCGCCAATCTCGTCTCGCGATACAGCGGGGTCAGCGCCGCCGTCCAATCCGCGGCCGGGCCGGGCCCAGGTGCAGCGCCCGGCGGCGGCGCGGCGGCCCCGGCCCGGCCCGAGCGGCGGCCCCGGCGGCGTCCTGCGCTGCGCGGGGCCCCTGAGCCCCGCCGGCGCCCGCCGCGAGACCGGCCCGCGGAGCTGCGGAGAAGGGAGGGAGCGCGGGAGAAACGATAACGTCGCTCCCCCGGCGGCCAACCCGGTCACGCCGCTCACCTGCTGCGCACCTGGGCGGGCTCCCCGAACCCGCGGAGCGGAGTCCCGACGCCCCAGCCTGGCGTGGGCGCCCTCGCCGCGCCGAGTCGGGCCACGGCTCGCGTTCCAGCGGCCCCCGACGTCCTCGGGGAGGCTCCGAGGGGATTATCAGTTCCTCCATAAGTACTTGAGCCATTTCCGCCGCCCCTAAACCATTTTCTCGGTGAAATTCTGTTGTCTCGTAAAGTTCCACCTCAAAAGCTTCTGAAAATCCAATCAATCTCTTCTCCACCTTATTTATTACCTTTGCTTTAGAGATTCCCCGGAGAGCTGATTGAAGGGCGTTAAGATTACCTTCAGTAGCTTAGCTTGTCAAATCCACGGTGGATGTAATTAGCCATCTGTGGTAGTAAATCAGGAAATGACAAAACTGTGGAAACTCTCCAACATCAATTAAGGTGATTGGGACCTAAAATGTGATTAGCATAAATCTAATTAATTGAATTTTAATCTCTTTGGTGGATTATCACAAGGGAAGTGGTCAGCCCAAAACAGCCTCATTTTTCTAAGAATGTGTTCAACCCTCTTAAAAGTCTGTTTCGCGGAACTCCCTTTACTTAGAATCTTTTGTCCCACGACTCATGATAAAGATACTATATATAGTGATGAATGTTATGTGAATCTGACTTTATCATAATGACTTCATATATTTTGAAAAACAGCTGGGTGTGTATATGAGCTGTACTTCCTCTATAGATGATGTTCATGCCTAGGAGAGCTGGGCTCGAGAACCAATGGCAAACAAGGAAAACTCAGAAGCAGAAGTTAGCCAGCCCAGTCCAGCCTACATTGTCCAGGGAGAGGCTGCCCTGACCAGCTCACTTGCAAGGGTTCCCTAAAGAAGAGACACGTAAAGACTCCATGCCATTTTTAATGGCATTTTTTTCCCTCCCCCCTATAATGGCATTTAAATAGTACCTACCTCCTCGGGTTCCAATTCATGTGCACTAAGCAACTTTATGACAGTAATTTGGCTTCCCAATAATTTAAATATCCAAGGTCTATTTAAGAATCCTTTCAGAAAAATGGGTCACAGACTATAATCATCACCGTAATAAGTAGGTTGTCTCTCATGGTTTCTACTTTAAGGATGTTATTCACTGGGAGATATTCAGAAATCATTCTTATTTTCTGGATTTGCCCAGTATGGTGATTAATGTATAAATATATATATAATTTACCATATATATATAATTTAGATTATAGATGCCTAAAATGCAAATCTTAGTTTTCTTTTAATTTCTCCATTAATTCCTTTGGTACAATAAGATATATTGGCTTTTAAGGTATTTACTTAATTCCTTAAGAAAATAAGTCTACTCTCATAGTTTCTATTCTAATTGGGTGAGAAAAATACAGTAATGAACAACAAAAAGTCATGTGGTTACAAGGGCTAGAAGGAAAATAAGAGAAAGTGACAGTGAATGGACATTATTTTAGAATAGATGAGGTGTGCAATTGCTTGAGAGCAGGGAAGGAGCATGCAGTTATTTGGTACCTGAGTGTTCCAGGCAGAGGGAACAGCACATGCAAAGGCCCTTAAGAGAAGTTATGTTTGGAATAAACATGGAGGTCAGGTTGCCTGGAGTGAAGAGGAATTAGGAAGGTCATTCCAAGTCTTGGAAGCAGTGACTAGAAGGTATGAAAGGATGGAAGTGAAAACGGCAGACCTTCTGCATGAGCAGAGAAAGGATACTGCAGAGTCCACTATGCCTGCCGCATAAGGTACAAGACAGATTTGGCAAGAGACGAGGATGGGACCACATTCTTTGGCGAGCTTTTGTAACTTATTGAACTTTAGTCAGTGAAAAGCCACTGGTTTTTAATTGTTTACTGAATTTTTACAATGAATTCATTCGAAAGGCAAAACATTCAAACAGTAGAAAACTGTATTCAGTGACTAAACAAGTCTCCCTCTCCTGACCCTAGTTCTTCCCAGTCAACATTATTGCTATTTTCTTTTTAACTCTGCCAGGGATATTCAGGATATATATAACTATACCCTTACATAAAATTTCCCTGCCTCATTTTATGCACAAATAGTAGCACATTATATGTTCTGTTGTGTACCTAGTTTTGTCTGAGCAATGTTTCATAACAGAACATCTAGGATTCCTTTCAATGGCGACATCATATTCTACTAAATGCAAAGAAACAGTAGCCAAAAACCTGGGTTCTGGTTCTGTGGTTTGGTTTATTGCTTCCTAGTAGAGTAGCCCCAGACAGATGACTGGGATTATTGGACTTCAAAAATTTTAGGTTCTTTGCTATTGCCAAACATATGTTGCAGTCTTCGGTAGGGAAAGAAGCCCAGCCCTCCCCATAAAGTTCTCATCAATATCCAATTTTAAAGGTTTTGCACTTAAACTGTATAGAAGCAATTCATATATATCCATTAAGAAGTCAAATATTTCTAAATGACACACAATGAGAAGCAGCAGTTTTTGTTGAACTTCTTCTCCACTCCAAAAAGGTAACCACTTTGGACTCTTTTGGTTATTTCTCACAGTATTTTTTATTTTTCAAAATAACATGTTCAAATTATTATTTCAGTGTTTCCTTTTTATATTTACATATGTCCTGGAGAATGAAGATTTGGATGGTTTACACACACTTCCCCCTCCTTGCCTCTCTATAATAAATAATTTTAACATATTTTGGTAATATTAACACCTTTTTAGTTGTTTTTGTTCATTTTTGAGCAACAGAGTATCCTAAAATTATACTTTCCTTTTTGTTTTCCTAGATTTGTGGGTGTAGCATACAAGGCTCCTTTCAAGTTAGAAAAGAGCAGGATACTTGATTGCCCTGGGGCAATAGGTGTGCTTTGAGCCCCAGGGAATGATCAGTGGAATACCTTGTTAATAAGATTGGAGCCATGGGTGGGAGTTGGATGTATATCATTGGACTCACCCTCCCTAAAACCCAAAATCCAGGGTTCAGTTTGCCCACCCTTCTCTGTCAATAAAAAGGCCAGGATCTTGCTTTTGAGCAGCATCCTGCACCTACATGACTCTAGTTTGTTTTATTACTGTGGTGTTGCCAATGGAACACAGATTAATCCTTCTGGCTTAGATTTCTTCAAGTGTTTTCTTGAAGGTAGGTTTTCTCCAGGTAGCTCTGTGAAATACCTCAATTCAACAGTGAAACAGCAACTATTAGTGCTATTTTTCCCTCTTTATTCTGTTGGACACACTTAATATCACCTTCAGTTGCAATACTGTTGGATTCTTTCTAGAGCGGACAGACAGCTGCCTGTCCTGGGTTAGAGTCCTGTTACCAGGATCCAGTCTCTTCCTTTTTCCTGGTTTTCATACTCCAGTAGTTTTCTGAGAAAGGGCTCCTGGGAGGAAAGTTTTTGACACCTTGCATATCTGAAAATATCTTTAATCTACCCTCACACTTGGTTGGCTGGTTGGGTGTGAAATTCTATGCCAAAATTCTATTGGCATTTCCTATAACCTTTTCCCTTCATAACTTTGAAGGCATGCTCCAATGAATGTCTCCTAGCTTCCAGGATTGTTATTGTGAAATTTGATGCTGTTCTGATTCTTATTTATAAGAAACCTGAAACCTGTTCTAGCTGGATTCTCTATGTTCTCAGTCACTGACTTTATATAATGCTGTATTTTGGCATGGGTCATTTTCATTCTTTGTTCCAGGTACTCAGTGGGGCCTTTTATTCTGAGACTTAGAAACTTCAGTTCTGGGGATTTTCTTGAATTATTTCTTTAATAATTTGTTCTCTTCCATTTTCTTATTTCTAGGAGATCCTGGATCTCCCAGCTGATCTAAATTTCTTATACTAAGTGAAAGATGTCAGAAAGTAAAAAACAATTATAGATGGTTTCACTCATTTGCACAATATAAATAACCAAAGAAAGCAACTGGCAAAGCACAACAGAAATAACTTTTGAATTCTGTAAAAACTGTAGTGGTTACCAGAGTGGGGGGAAGGTGATAGTGTACTGACCCTGGGGCTTTGGTGAGGAGGGTGGTGAAGGAAGAAGATTGTGCACATGTTGAGTTATGAAGCTGAACTCCCCAAATGATAAAATTATGTAAACAAATGGCAAATCAAGAAAATTTGATTTTTAAAAAGTACATGCTACATTTAAGGTGACATATTTAGCTCAGTCAAATGAAAAAAAATTCATTACAGATAGCTTTATAATTTTCAGAAAAAAACTTTTAGTTGAAAAACACATATACATGTAAATAATACATATAATACAGATAGGTCTTCTATGTTTGCCCATGAAACATAGTTCTACCTTAGTTTTAGTGGCCTATCAGTTCTAAAACCATAAGCAATCAATACAGCTATGTCAATATTCAAAGGGCCACAGAAACAAATTGTATGAATCCATTGTTTCTTTGACAACCTCATCTTTCCATAGACATGCAGGAGATTAGTTAATAACACACTTCATGCAGCATTTAAACAAATTCAAGTAAAACAAAAATTCTGATCAGTGCACGCAATCAGGTTTAACTTTGGAGAAAAAGACATTCTTTTCACTCTTCTAGTAATCTCAAGTTTGGTCCAAGACTAACATCACTGCAAATGAAAGAGGTCTTTTCTGGCATCAGCCTATACAGGTACACTGGAGGAAAGACTATAGGACAGATTGAGGGTGTACTGGGGATGAATTTGGGGGTCTTTGCCCTTTGCTTATGTGAGTAACCCAAGAAGCTCCAATGCTCTTGCAATGGGAGAGGTGAATTGTCTTTCCCTTATCACCTTTACCTTATATAAGATTGCTCTCATCTACCTTTGGATATCTGTACCCTTTGATTTTTTTTAAAGACAACTTATCATGCAACTTTTAAGTAAACTATATATTTTTCTCAATAAAGTACAGAACAATTAAACACAAGAAAATACATTGTTTCTGACTTAAATCCTATCCACTGTTCCTTGAGGATGACCTAGATGGGCCTTCATGGGGGTCACCACTGGGAAAGGGAAGCAGCAGAAAAATGCCAAAGCAGAATGAAGGGCTACTCACTAAGGAAAAACAGAGCCCTGGGATTTGGTAAGATCATTTCCCCCTTTCTCACAGAAAAGCATATTAGAGTTTCCTGAGTTGCTTCCAAATACTTGGCATTGAAAGGACTTGAGGTCAGTAGAATCACAAGTGAAAACTTTTGAGAAACCCCCAGAAGCTGACCTCAGCCCTCAGCACACCATGGCAGATTTCCCTTTTCTTCTTAATCACTGAAGCAATCTTTTATCTTATGAGAGGCAAGAACTTTAGGTTTCTATTTGAAGAACTTCTGCCTGAAATTGCATCAGAATCAGCAACAGTTGTACCAGCCTCACTTTAGTGACAACATTCCATAAGGTGGGGTACTCAACCCTAACTCGTCATCAGAATAACCTGGGGAGCTTGTTTAAAAGAAGAGAGGTTCTAGAACTCCACTCCTAGAGATTCTGATTCAGATCTTGTTAGGACGTGGGAATATGCATTTTCATTAAGGCTCTCCAGCTGATTTTCATGGATGTAGCACCAGGTCCACACCCTGAGTAACACTGACTTTAGAAGGAAAGGTCAGAAATGCTTCTTTGCTAGAATAAGACCGACTGCCAGACTGACCGCATCCTCTTTGAGGGCTCCAGTGAGGAGATCACCTAGATTCATCCTTTATAGGTAAGGAGGTGAGTCTCCATGGTGCCCAGCTCTAAACGTGAAGCAAAAATTGGGCTCACACTCAACTGGACTTGAGGATAACTAGCAATTTCCCAAAGTGCCAGAAAAGTTTTGGTGGCTTCTGGTTGGGAAGCCCATAAGACCATCTTTTCCTTTTCCTTTCTTCTTTTTTACTGATGTCGAGCTAAGGAAGCCAAATAGACCCACACAGATAATATATTGTTTGGGTATGGGTGAATATATACAGCAAGAGCGAATTCTGTCTGGGGAAATTCCGAGGAGTGAATTCCAGTGTGATACACGGTGTCAATCACTGACTGGACATCAGTATACGGCATCTGGATAGGAAATCCTGTAATCTGGACCAAGGACAGAATAACATGTAAGCCAATTTTATAATCATGTAGATAACAAGGAATTATTGAATTCTGATTGCAAAAATATCACAGCAGCCTCAAAGAAATGGTAGTTGTAAAATAATAAAATAGTTGTCATTTCATGGGTGCTCACTGTTTCTAGGAACAGTGCCAAATGCTTCACATACACATTTAATCCTCAAACAACCTGATGAGGTAGGTTCTATTATAATCCCTGCTTTACAGAGAGAAAGGAGCAGAGCCAGGTCTGTCTAATGCCAGAGCCTGCACACTTAACATTCCACAGATGTGCATGCACCCTTGCTAGAATAGTGAACTGTCAACAAGGAAATGACTTGGTCATGCAAATGAGGGATTTAGGTGAGCAGTTGGAAGATATATTTAATGCTGATTTAGTCTATACTAAGTGACAACTATGTGACAGGATTAAAGGATTATGGAACAGTGTAAAATTGTTAGGTAATAATACATAGGTGATAATCATAAACTTCTTTCAGGTCTTAAACATGGCTTATTTCAGGACACTTTTCCTGATCCTTAAATCTATTCATGTGCTTTTCCCATGTAGTTTCATAGCCCACTATCTTTCCCCAGCTTACTTAATATATTGAAATTACATGTTTTTTAATCTGCTTTTTCAAAAAACATATAGTCTCTGTAAATGCACAAAGTTGTGTTTGTCTTGTTTACTACCACAATCCCAATGCTTAGCACAATAGCCAGCACATAGAATACAAATAATAGTTAACATTTACCAAACACTTGATATAGGCTGGGAGCTATGATGAGTATTAGCTCACTTACTCAACACAACCACAAACCTGATAACTATTTTTATCCTTGTTTATCTTGTCCAATGGGATAGAAAGTTAGAGAAGTAAGGTAACTTGATAAAAGCTGGTGAGTGTTCAAACCAGGAGTTGAACCTAAGTTTTGGATTCAGCCCAGGCTTATGATTATGATTGTATTATAAAATGAATAAATTTACAATGGAGCTCGAAGTTTTAAATCTTGACTTATATTTCATTATGCTTGTCTGTTTACCCCTACTGTGATTAAAGAGAAAGCAAAACAAAACAACTTCCTCCCTACTCATGAATCAATAGTGCCTGCAGATCCCACCCCAGAGCCTCAGTACTCAGCTCCTAATAGATTCTAGTCTTGGGATGGTAGGCAGAAGAATCTCTTCTTGGGAAGCTGGGGCTTTGAAAATCCCACTGGACCAGTTTCTAAGGAAGAGGAATTGAGAGGATGCTCAGACTCAGAGGAAGGGAAAAATAAGAGGACACTAACAATATACCAAATGCCCGTCACATTTGGTTAGGAGCTTGTTGAGTTTGAGATGCCTTTTTACCAATTGGGATGATGTCAAATGTATTGGTGAAAATATATGGGAGAAAGTGAGGAGAGAGGACTAGACTGGATGTATAAATTTTGGAGTAATGTGCGTGTAGAAAATACTAATGAATGCTGGAGTTCTCATGTCCAGAAGCAAGGACAAAGAATCTATTCTATTACTACTATCTAGAAGTTTTAAATCTTGGTCTTTTTAGTTTCTTAGTTACAGTAGTTTCTTTTGGGGAATCTCTTTCCAAAGTTTATGATTTACATACAAAACATACTAGTGATTTTAAGAAAATGTCATGCAGTATGATTATGGTAATAGTCATTCACTTCATTTGAAATTCCTCGGCCTCTAAGTAAATGCATTTTAATGCTAAAGCATCTATCATATAGGATCAAGATAATAGGCATTTCTAAGATTATTTCTGTCTAGCAATTAACAATAAACAAAACAAATGTCATTAATGAATTAAATCCTATACACACCAAATAAAATTGCAGTAGTCTTTCAAATTCACTCTCTTCTTTAGCTGAAATAAACCTTCCAGTGCCAAGTTCTAGCTTAGGGAGGATTTTTTGCAAAATAAAACTACATTGTCGATTCCAATGTGTTGGCTGTTTAGGTCGCCATTCCATCATTTTACACTTTAGAGTCCTTTCAATCCTAAGGTATGAATGCAAAGATTGTTTATTTACTCACTCATTTAACAAATGTGATAAGAGTTTTATCACTTTAAGCATGAGAACACTTTTTTTGTTTTAGGAGGTAACCAGACCTCTGAGGCCAGGGATATCTGCCATCATTCACATTAATCAAGACGGGGAGAAGCAGCTCTTGCTTGCTTGGGAAAGCAAGACACATATAGGGATAGAGCCAGCATTCAGATCTCAAAGGCACATCTCGTTTCCAGTTACTTATGAATAGGCAGCTGCCTCCTAGATGTGATTTGCTGTCACATATCCTCTGATTACTGAGCTGACATTTCTATTCTCTATTACCCTCCTTTGACATAAAACATTGTATTTCCAAGAAACTGCCTTTACAAACGTTCAGGTATCTTATCTGGGATGTTGCCAGCAGAGATGGGCATATTAGATCATTAATTCAACAAGCAAAATGGGGAGGGAATAGGGCATTGGTCTGAGAAGTATGATGATCAGTTTCCCCACCTAGAAACTGACCCTTCAGAAGGGCAGGGATTTCTGCTTGTCTACCCAACCCCCTAGAATAGTGCCCTGTGATGAGCTGCTATAGGGAAGTGAGAAGCAGAGCACGGTGTGATGTGGTGGATGGAGCTGTCCTGTGGCACGTCTCTGTGCAGAATCAGTTTGTGTCACAGAAGAACCAATGGGCATCTCTTGACTGAGCCTGTGGTGTAACTAAGTAGTTCAGAATTCGCAGAGAATCTTGGTAGAGAGACTACTTCAGAATTGCCTGTAGAGCTTTATCAAAATGTTTTATCTCTAGATATTGATATAATAGGCCTGGGACCGGGCACCTGTATTTTTAAGTTGTTAAATCAGAATCGATTCTGATGAAAACCATAAGTTGAGATCTATTTCCCTATTTCATTTCTTCCCTCTTTTGGTAAGAAGAAAGGTAACTAGACATGAGGTTTGGGCACTGGTATGAGACGGGGCCAGCAACGTTGTTTTTGTTTTGCTGTTTTGACTAGTTGGTAGTGGCTTCCATGCCAGTCTGCTGTGCCAGTGTGAGTCACTGGAGACAGTCATACCTCGCAGCCTCTGACACATCTGGGGGAGGAGTGAGGCCTGATGCAAAGTCTGTGACCTTTTAGACTTGACTGATCAACTCCTTAGAAGCGTGTGCATGTGTGAACCCCCTGGTAAGGAGAGAGTACCTAGGAGGGACAATACTGATGTTTCTGCCACCCAACTAGAATATTTTTTGTCATACCCTAACTAGAATATTTTTTGCCATACCTTAAGTTATGGATCATTTACCTTCAAGTCCTTCCAAGTAGTATTAGTTACTGCATTATTATTACTATAGGCTCAACAGGTGTCTATATTGAGAACTTCCTTAGAGTAGCCGACAGTGTTTTTCAGAGGCAACTGTTTTTTAACTTAGACTGTCTTCAGGGAATGTCCTGGAAGACATATACCCAGAGACAGATAATGACTCTGGAAGGAATTATTTTAATCTTATCTCCATTGTGTCCTTTTGTTGCTGAATCTAATGGATTTGAGAGACTGGGTTACAGGACCAAAAGCTAGTTGAAGGTGAGATTAGGGAGAAAACATAGTAATCACAATATATGAATAAAGTTCTCACCTGTTCTTTAGGTCTTCTACCATGCTTTTATTTGTAGCAGAATAAATTATTTCTTCAGGCTGAAATAGAGACAAGTGAAAGTCAGAAAAGATTCTAGGGAGACCATCTTTACATCACAGATTCCCTGGAGTGCTAATATAATGAGGGGAAATCCAGTCAGTCTCGTGTGGCAAAACAATCATAGAGGTACGAAGGTAAAATAGACATCACAGTCTTTCCTTTGACTTTACTTCTTTCCACCAGAGCATGCAAGGGAGAATGGATTTACAAGTGACCTTTTTCACAGGTAAGACAAGCATGCTGCCCCATTCATTTATCCAAGTAAGCATTTGGCATGTTTACTGACTCTACCAGATAATCTTTGCAGATTTCAGTCTCTTCCACTTGTTAATGGTGACACTGATGAAGCTATTTCTCAGAATCTCAGTTACCACGTCTTTTTTTTTTTTTTAAAGATTTATTTATTTATTTATGCACACAAGAGCTGGGGTACAGGCCAGAGGTGCGGGGGGGGGTGAAAGGATTCTCCAGAGACAGAGCAGGGAACAGAACAGGCAGACTGACTGAAATACACTGCTGAGGGGAGCAGCAGATGAGACAGGAGAGGTCTGTTGTGCCATGTGGGTTGCTCCCTGGCTGCTGGGAATTGAACTCATGCTGCAGTGGCTGCCGATTGCTTCATAGGTTGCATCCTAACCCTTGCGCCACCAGGGAGGCCCCTCAGTTACAACATCATTAAAGAAGGGACAATAGCTTTTTCTCTGGAGTCTTGGGGAGATTTTGAAATAAAGCAATACGTGCAAAGCCTGGCATATGTTGCTTAATAATCAATCAGATATTATGGTTACTACTCTTCTAACATGGTTTGTCATCTTCCTTCTTTGAGTATTCTCCTCTCGCGATAGGCTGAAGCCAGGCTCTGCATCTGCACGTCCACATCCACACACTGCATTTTACTCTCCCCCGTGTCCAAGCCTTTGCCGCAGGCAACCCATCAACAGCACAAGTCCTGCTCTACCAAGTTTCTCTGGGTCCCCTCCTCAGCAGGGTATGCTGGCACTTCTCAAGTCCATGGCCTCAAGCCAGCCCTCCCTTCCACAGGGCTCATATAGGCAAGAATGAGGGGCTGGTGTAGACCTTTTTTGCTTTGGGTATTCCTGAGCTGAGCAACAGAGGCAACTGTAGCGATTGGGACAGATGTTTCCTCTTCATGAGTGGAATGACAGTTGTGCAAAAAGGGAGTAACACTTGTCAGACCTCTAGGCCTGAGAACGTTTCAGTAGTGGTGAGTTTTGTGTGCATAGATTCAACTTGGTAAAGGCTTTCTTTCTTTTTTTCTTTTTTAAGATTTTTAAATTTATGCATACAAGAACTGGGGTACAGGCCAGAGATGCAGGGGGTGAGAGGACCCATCAGAGACAGAGTAGGGAACAGAACAGATAGATTGACTGAAGTACACTGCTGAGGGGAGCAGCGGGCAAGACAGGAGAGGTCTGCCTTGCCATGTGGGGATTGAACTGGTGCTGCAGAGGCTGCGGATTACTTCATCATGTGGTGCTTAACCCCTTGCACCACCAGAGAGGCCCTAAAGGCTTTATTTCTACCTTCAGTCTGAGTGGTTTTAAAAACACAATTTTCATCATGGCAGCCCTTGCTTTGGAGTTGACCGCTGACTGTCCTGAAGACAAAGGCCCAAATCCTGACCAGACGTTTGTGCACCCCTCAGCTCATCTCTGGTCACTACCTGGTGGCAGCCACACTGGCCTTTCAGCTCCCTGACCAAGCTCTCCTCGCCACTCAGTCCCTGAAGCCTGCGGTTTCTGCTGTTTGTGGGACCGTTGTCTTTTCTGACTCATTTAGGCAGTTCCTTTCTCACTCTGCTATCATTGCTTTTCCCCAGGAAGCCCCTGTTCCTCCCCTCCCCCTCAGGACCTCCCGCTGCCCAAAGCACAGTCACTTTTGTAATAGCTTTTATCACCCTGCACTTGCACAGCCCGTTTCCTCCTGTAGAACACAGGTCCCAAGCACACTGAGGCATGTCTCTTTCCTGGTGGTATCTATGCTTAACATAGCGCCTGCTCATAGTTGCACTCAATCAACACTGCCCGAAAGAATAACAGAATGACTATTAGTAAACAAACAAGCAAGCCCCTCTCCTCTAAACACATCATTCTCTCCCCAAGAGGCAGCAATGCTTCAGTCACAACTTTGGGAGGAGAAAAGAAACCATGACCTGTGGGTGCTGTAAATGTGGTTTGTTCAAGAGATAAGCACATTTCCCCTCTGGAAAATGACTTTACAAACAGGAAACACAGGAAATAAAGATATATAGGTGTGTGTGTGTGTGTGTGTGTGTGTGTGTGTAAATATATGTATTTGTTTGCTTCTGCAATGGAGAATGATTAGAAGGAGGCACAGAAAACTACCAACAGTGATTATTTCTTAGAGAGTAGGAAAAATATGTTGAAGGGGAGAGGAACTTATCACTTTACACACTTTGGCACTCTATTCCCTCTCCCCCCACCCCCAAGCATTGGGCATTCTTTTTAGTATTGTGATTGCCTCGATTATACAGACAAGCAGAGAATAATGCAATAAACATCCACCTGACGTACCTATCACCTAGATAGACCTAATCTTTACTTTTCTCCATATCTGTTTTACATTATTTTTTAAAAAAGAAGTAAAACATTATAGACTTGAAGTACTCTGCATATGCTCCCTGATCTCCTACCTTTTGTTCTTTCCCCAAAGGTAATCTTTAACCTAAATTCAGTATTCATCATTCCTATGAAAGCCTTTTTGCTATCCCTACATACTTACACACACAGAAACAATAGAGTTTTCAAACTTCATGTAAGTGGTTCTCTACTGTGTGTGTCATTTCACATCTTCTTTATTTTGTTTAAGATTATGCTTTTTATAGCCATTCATGCATCATTCTAGGTCAGTGTTTCTCACCTTTGGCTGCATACTGGAACCACAATGGGGTGTTTAAATAATAACGATGTTTGGGTTCCACTCTCAGAAATTCTGATGAAATGGATGTACAGTCAATGTAAATTGGTTTATACATTTTTAACTGCTGTATAGATTTCACGGTATGAGTAATTAACAACTCATGTATTCATTTTCTCATCAATGAATTGTTTCCTTTTTGGGGGGGGGTTATTTGGAGCAATTCTGTAACATACCCTGTTGTACTTATCTCACTGTGCATGTTTCTCTTGGGTATATACCTAGAAGTTGATTGGTGGATCAAAGGTTGCGTATCTTCAACTTTACCAGATAGTGTCACACTGCTTTCCAAATTGTTTATAGCAATTTATGCTCCCATTGTAACAGGGTGGTCCCCAGGAAAGGGGGAGGTTCCCTGCCCCACCCAAGGGAGGGTGGAGCTGAGCAGGAAGAGGAGAAGCTGAAGAAGAGACTGAGGTAGGAAGCAGGATGGAGCCAGGAGACCTGGAGGAGGCGCATGGAGCCTAGAGACACGTGAAGAAACTGCGCTTGTCTTTTGGTCGTGGACGGGGTGACACAGATGTTGGTGAGACCCATGGGGAGGTGACAATGGCAGCTTTTATCTTGATGTTGATTTTGCTCTTTTCCTTCCGGGCTTGTCCGGTTGTTTGTGACCCTTTTCTGTGGGTCCCCACTGGAAGATGCTTTAGACTTTTAGCAGGCTTTGGGGCCTTGTTCTGGGCCGATCCCATATGGATGGACTTTTACCCATGAGGGGATGGGTAACTTTGGGTGCTTCATTTAGAAACTAGATTCTTTGCCTTTCCTGTATTGTTTCCTAATTAAAGTTCCTTCCCATTAAAGTCTCATATGTTTTGTGTTGATGCAGCGGATGGCAGAACCCATTTAGAATAGGCAGGTTTGCAGGGCTTGGGCTGCCCCTCTCCCTGTCCTATAACACCACCATTTTGCCATCTCTTTGCCAATTTTTGGTGTGTGTGTGGGGGGGTCCTCTAGTATATATGAAATAGTGTTTTGTAAATTTTATTTGTATTTCCCTGATTGTGGGTGAGGTTGAACATTTGAATTTCTGTTTCTACAAATTGGCTTCTGTTTTTCTCTGTGCCCAGCTTTCTCATTTTGGGCTCCTAGCTACTAGTTCATAGATTTTACAATTGACTACACCTGGGCATACCATGACCCTTAATTCGAAAATATCTGTTGAAGTGGCATTTGGGTGCCTTCCCAAAGCAATACCAAGTGCATCGCAGATGCACCAGCTGAGCCGTCAAGGGTGGCTGGGTCAGCTCTGCGCCCTGGCGCTTCAGTGAGTGGCCTCCTGAGCTTCCGTGGTGGATCTGCGGCTTTCCTCTCCACCTTATTTCTGCTTCGAGAAATAAGACTGGTCCTGGCTCCCTGTATGTCATGAGCATCTCTAACTTTGTTGCCACGTCATCTTTCAGCTCCACTCACTGCTAGTGTCTCTGTCCTGTTTCGATTCCATGAAGTAACGATCCGGATTAGCCTTTACACTGCAAAGTACTTTATCATTGCAGTGGATGTGGAACAAAAGGAGTAGGTCAGAGTAAAAACACACTGCCTTGAGCTGACATATTAAGATGAAATTTTAAAAATATTTTACTTTAAAATCTAGATTCTCACTTGAGATGATACTCAATTCACCTTTCTACAAGTAATGGGAAGGGAGCAGAGAAGTCCAAACTTGAACTGGATGGCAGAGAATGATTTTATTAACATTGTCAAATTATTCAATAAGCAATCAGCTATGTAAACATAATAAGAACTGTAACAACTAGTAAAGATTAGAAATAACTGTAATTCTCACATAGACACAACTGGAAAAGTGTGAGTTACCTGTATGCTTTGGACTTTTGCCCCTTGAAAATTTTTCGGAAGTAACTGTTTCCAGAAACCTTCCTTGGAATAGTCAAAATGTGCAGCCATTGGTGTATTATTTTGTTGAATATTAAACCACACCTATTAAAATATTAACATAAAATCAGTGTAGGTCCATAAGAACATAAAACCTCTAACTCGTTAGGATGCAGCAAATTTCACAGTCTCACTATCCAGTTCAGTGGCGGAAGATGAAGGAGGTTCTAAGGTGGGAGACGGAGCTCCCAGGGGTAGGAGAACATTAGACAACCCCCTGTTTCTCAACTTTGGAAGCACTACAGAAGCACCTGGGGCAGCTGTAGCAATAAAAGATTTCCATCCCACTGATCCTAATGGAACATCCATATTGTCTTCAAAGTTCCCCCATATGATTCTAATGTATGCCAAGGTAGAGGACGCTGGTTTGACTCTTGCAGAAATAATTCAAAATAAAAATTTTTCCCATATACTTACATTTCCACCATCAAACAAACAGTCTACACTTTGTAAAGGACAAAATGGGTCAAACTGCTTATGACATTGCCCAGTTAATGGATTCCAAAGCAGATATTCATCATTTTCTTGAGTTAATACATAGGCCACGTGCCCCTATATGAGGAAAAAGAGATCTAAAAGTCACTTGTAAATGATTGGTTGTATGTGGAAATTCAAATGTAAGCATGTGCTAGATCTTTGATTTCCAAAAGCCTTTTTATTAGGGCTTTTAAAATTTTCTTGAAAAGGAAAAATGCCAAAGCTTCAGAAATCCTCAGGCACAGGCCAGCATGTATGGTCTTGCAGGCTGTACCTGCAAGGTGGTAAAATAAATGGCCTAACAAAAATCATATTTTATGACAATTTCCCAGGAGCTAAGACTAAAGTGTTTTGAGGTTGGGGCACTTTTATTTAATACACCAAGAGGTGCTAGTCCTGATTTGAGAACAATGTATTCAGAGGCTGAGGGCAAACATTGCAGGGTTGGGGAAAGAAAACTTACCTAGAGCTCTGAAAAAGCCAACTTAAGTTAAAAAGTCATTAAATTAACTTTGAAAATTTAAGATCTGGAATTGTAATGGAGAAAGAGTATATAGGAAACAATTTAAGGAATAAAAGCAGTCATTATATTTTATTTTGCTATGAATATACCATTTGGTGTGTAAACCTTTCTTAGTAAAGAATAAAATATGCAGGAAACAATAACAAGACCATTTGACATCTACTGAGTACCTATGTGTACACTAATTTGTCACTTTAATACACTCCAAATTCTGCAAGGTAGGGATGATTATTACACTTGCTTTTCATATGCACAGAAGTAACAGTAAGTGATGTTAAGTAACAGTAAGTGATATTACTTAAGTAAGTAACAGTAAGTGATATTAAGTAACAGTAAGTGATATTACTGCCATCTCAGGAGGTGATAACTGTGGCTCAGAGGAGTAACAAGGCTGAGATCATAGTAAAGGCCATTGCTGAGTTGTAAACCCTCTCTGACTAGCCCCCCAAACCATATCCTTAACACTGCACTGCAGAGTCTGGTTTTCCTCATTCCAAGCTCTGGCTCTTTCCTGCTGTGCTTGTCATCATTACAGCTAAGGGGAGACGTCACCTCAACTACCAGGCTGGGGTGAACAAGACACAGTTGAGGGTTGCCTCCCAGCTGGATGTTTGTTGAAATATTGTTGACTATTCACTGGTATCTGGTGGCACTTAAGACTACAACGTGGGGTCACATGGGGGACACTAACCACAGGGTTTCAGTTTGGTGACAAATAGTGAACTATGCCAAGGGAATACAGAGAAATAAATGATGATAAAACCCATAAAGCAAGACTGGAAATGCTGATCTTCATGAAAATATTCATGTTAGAAATAAACACTATCCAAAAAAGGGTAGCTTTCTACCACCACCATTACTGGAGCATCTGCCAAGAACCAGGGGTTGCTGCCACTACCAGACATGCACTATGGAATTTATATTTCTAGTAACCCCCAAAAGTAGCACGATTACTAGTACTATTTTGCAAAGAAAAAAAGCAAACAGAAGTCATTCTTTACACTGGAGACAGTTTGATGAACCACCATTATCCTCTTAACTCATAAATATTTATGGCCATGAAATTCCCTTATTAGCTTGTGAAAAGATGGAAATGAGGATTGAAGTCTTTGGAACTTGCAGCTGAGAGCCAATTAGTCTTGTTAGTACTATTTAAATATTAACTCCAGCACTTACTTCCAACACTGAAGTTCCCAGAAGGACCAAAGCTTTTTTTCCAAAATACAGGAAGAAATTACAGAGAAGTATGGCATGCTCCTCCTTATTCCCAGTAGCCAAACTGATGCACCGCTATGGCAAAGCCAAAACAAGGACCAAAAAAAAAAGGGGGGGGGTGGAGAAGGAGAACTTTGAGTACTGCAAGTATCCAACAGATTCACAGCCCTCTACTTCCTCTAGTTGCAAACACACATTTTTGCCAGTCACTAAGGTTACAAAACTGTTAGCAAAGTTCTGACTTTTACCTGATAAACAAGTAGGACGTGAGAAGAGAACATTAACTTGGAACATAGGAGTCACCTTTATTGTGGATAATTAATGAGGATTCTACATAAGTGACCAAAAAATTTTCATCCAAAATGGGACATTTTTATTTGGGAAAGATGTTAAAATGCCCTAGGCAAACAGGGACAGGCAGACTTGCATTTTATGTCATCAGAGAGGAATGTCATTTGATAGGAGATTGGTGTTTTTAGCGGGAGGATCCCTTTGGACAGAGCTGCACTCTGTCCTGCACCAATATAGTGTTCTCAGCTGAGAGGGAGGGAGAGTTGGGAGTTGGAGTCCAATCAGGAAGAGTAACCAAAACTTCTTCAGTCACTTCAGCTGAACTGCATGTAATTAAATATAGGGTCCCTACTAAAGCAGTTGTAGCGGGAGCAAAAAAGCACAGCAGAAGTGCCACACTGGTGGCCTGTGGCCTCGTGCTGGTCTATAGGTTCATTTGTTTGGTTCCTGGAATGTTTTTACAAATTGGGAGATCTCATATAAAACTCTGAACTTCTGGCTTCTCTTGAAAAGAATCAAAAGATCTAGCAACAAATGTTCATATGGCAATAATGATGTTCAAAATGTTCATATGGGAATAATCTGTTGTTGTTGAGTCGCACCATTTAGAGGCCACCTGTGTTTTATAATGCGTTATAGTCACAGAGAGAGGCCAGAGAGTGGGAAGGGAGGAGCACTTCCAAATCAGGGTGGAAGCACTTCAGTATTTTAACAACTGATATGACCTTATCAGTGCATGCCTGTTGAACATGATGGTGAGAGATGGAGGTTAGGGAAGATGGTAAGGCGGTTCCTGTGGGAAAAAGTGTGAACAATAGTCTTCAATTCCAGACCAGGCTGGGGGTTCCCCCAACTTAATTTCAGAAGAGGGAATCCATCCTGAGTTCCAGGTGCCTTGCATGTGTACTGTCCTTGTAAAACCTGTGTCCTCTGTATGACACAGATGAAATTAAGGTCCAGAGAAACTGATTCACTTATCTCAGTTCACACAGCTATTAAATCATTATCTCAGTTGAAGCAGGATTTGAATCAAGATTTGTTTGGCTCTCAGACATCCAGATTTGTTTGACTCCCAGGTAGGAGATAATAACTCTTGTCTTCTGGCAATCTAATTAGTCTTACACTAATGGGATCCCAAGACCAAAGGGTTCATGGAAGACATTATTAGCCAAGAGAAATCCCAAGCCCGTAGTAACCTCTTAGTTGTGGGCATTCTTTGCATGGGGGAAGGTTCAGGAGTACTAGTATTTGTTTGAATGTTTCAGCTATTTTAGAGGCTGCTTCTCAATAGTCTGTATGATTATAATACCCTTGGACAGATTTCATTAGTTCAAAGAGTCTCAAAAGAGTCTAGAACTAATATCACCTCTTTAAGCTCTACCAGATTTGCATTCCTGGATCCTGGAATAAACCACATGCTTGTGTTTCTGTTATTCCTACTTAGCAGAGACATTGTGGTCACCTATTACGTTAGCCCTATTCCCCCTAAATCCACTTTATCTCAAATCTAGCCTCTAAAACACTCTACATAAGAGTCAGGACTATCAGATCCAATTGGAACATGTCCTTCTCTTAGGCTCCCATCACACCAGTACTTTCCAATTAAAAATACTTATAAATTCTTGTTAAATTCAAAGTAGTGTTATAAGTGATGAACATAAAAATAGGAATCAAATCTACATCTACATTTAAGATTAAACTTGGGATGTATTTGTACAGAGTGTGGATTTGGGGCCATTATATAAGCAATTAATTATAATTTAAGGTAGAATGGAAGAAGTGCTCTAATTAAGGCTGCCAGATTTTGGAAGAAAAATAGGACACCCAGTTAAATTTTAATTTCAGAGAAATAAGTAATTTTTTAATTAAAAATATGTCACAAATGTTGCATAGGGTCTGTATTTTACTTTGGCAGCCAATCTAAAAAGAACTTTAACCCAAGTGCTCAGGAAAAGCATTGCTATACAAGCTCTCCATTCGGATGTGGGGAGCCTGGGGAGAGCTTCTGGGAAATGGTGGCATTTGTCAGACTTAAGAGTATGACCAGCTCCTTTGTGACAAGCCATGTTTCTCTGGAGAATGTCTGGAATTGCTGTTAAAGCAAAATATTCATGAGCTACCACTTATAGCACTGAATAAAAATTTATCAGATTGCTGTAAAGTCAAAAAATATGTTAAATTATCAAATGCTTTTAAATGTCACAAGGCAAAGTGCTATATAACTACAAGCTATTTTTCAAAAGGTTTCCTTAAAAGAAAAGCAAGGACAAAATATTACACATTTTAACTATAAAATGTAATTTGTTACCTCTGATGTCATCCATATGTCAAAGCCATCACTTTCATCCACTGTATCAGGCATCAAGGGAATCAAGGATACAAATCGAGCAATGAGGTCCTGCCATAATAAAAATTGGCATGTACTGAGTGCGTACTACACGTCCATCACCAAGCACAACGCTTTCCAGGCATTGTCATTACACTTAGTGATTCCTACAAGCCTATGTAGGAATTATTTTTGATTTATATACAGGCATTATTTTTGTATAACAGGGGAAACCAGCCTAGAGCATTAAGAAAACTTGTTCAGGGCCTCCCCGGTGGCGCAGCGGTTGAGCGCTGGGTTGCGAAGCTGCCCGCGGCCTTTGCGGCGCCGGTTCGATCCCCGGCTGCTCCCCGGTCACCGGAGGAGGGTCCCACATGGCGCGCAGACCTCTCCTGCCGCCCGCTGCTCCCCTCAGCAGTGTACTTCGGTCCTTCTGCCTGCTCTGCTCCCCACTCTGGCTCTGGTGAATTCTCTCACCCTCCCGCGCTTCTGACTGTACCCAGTGCATGTATGAACAAAACAAACAAGCAGACAAATAAATAAAATGGAACATGCCTCTAAAAAAAAAAAAAGAAAAAAAAGAAAACTTGTCCAGGGTGACACTGCTAACACAATATATGGGGTCTATGGGGATGAGCCCATGTTAGCCTGACTTCAGAGTGTGGTATTAACCATTACTCTTCATTATAATAAATTATTAAAATTCTAAACATGATGCACTACATAAATACCTTAAATTATAACTGTTAAAAACTTGAAAAAAGACAGAAGGATGGCAAAGGTTTGATTTGCAGTTACATTAAAAATCTATCAGATTTATGTATATATATTTTCTTTATTGACGTAAGATTGGCTTACAACACTATATACGATTTAGGGGAATAGACTCATGCCTCCTCAGATGTACGTTACCACTCCCCTCCCCATTAAAGCACCCATAGTCCTTTACACTAGGCCAATGGGCCCCCCTACCCCCCTTTGCTGCCACCCCTGCACAGAATTATCTTTATTACTCTAAGCTTGTTATAAGCTGCCATGGCAGGAAGCTATTGGTACAGCCTGCTTTTTCAAGCAACAGAAGTTTTTCATGGATTGTGTCCCTGGTGGAGCTAAGACAAGGACTCAGGCCAAGGAGGCTAGGAGACAAGGATGCAAATGTAAATAAACAATGACTTGACATGAAAAGTTACTGACATTGTCACTGATTTACACTCGTTGCCACGCATGCATTATTGCCACCTCCTACACAGGCATGTTTTCTGACTTCATGCAGTTAATTAAACGTGGTTCACAGTCCTTGATAATCAAAGGAGCAAGGATTTCTATTTCTCCTTAAAGACAAAAACTGCCTTTGAAATAAACCTGAAAACATTATGTCCCTGGACTTTGGGTGTCAGGAAACACTAGCAGGATGAAACCCATGATGGAAAAGCACAGTGTAGCAAAAGGCAATCTAAAGTAGGCCTTCTGATTTTAGCTTAAAGAGTCTGACTAATGGAGTTTTATAACAGACAACTAGCTGGCACGCGCTGCTTTCTAATGGGCAAGTAATACTGAAGTAATACAAGTAATTCTGAAGAAAGCCAATTGACTCCATCAAATTCGAATAACCAGAAGGTGTATATGATTTTTCACAGACGACTGTTAACTAATGCTTTTTTTTCTTAAAGGGTAGATACAGTTCTTATTTCATACTTTCCTTTCTCAAAGCAGAAGGAGCTACTGAATGTGCAGCTTTAGAAAAGAATAAGGAGGGCCTCCCTGGTGGCGCAGCGGTTGAGCGCTGGGTTGCAAAGCTGCCCACAGCCTCTGCAGCGCCAGTTCAATCCCCGGCTGCTCCCCGGCCACCAGAGGAGGGTCCCACATGGCGCGAAGACCTCTCCTGCCGCCCGCTGCTCCCCTCAGCAGTGTACTTGGGTCCTTCTGCCTGCTCTGCTCCCCACTCTGGCTCTGGTGAATTCTCTCACCCTCCCGCACTTCTGACTGTACCCAGTGCTTGTATAAATAAATAAATAAATATTAAAAAAGAAAAGAAAAGAATAAGGAAATCATTTCCTGAGAGAGGATTGTTTCCAAGACATTATCAAATGAATAAAGGTAAGACACGATTACAAAAGAAGCTAACCAGTTAAAATAAATATAAATTTGAAGTGATAAATAGATGCTAAAATTTTCTATGGTGATAGTTGCACAACTCTATGATTATGCTAAAAACCACTGAACTGCAGACTTTAGAAGGGTGAGCTATATCTCCAAACCACTAAAATAAATGTAACTTACAAGTGTTGCACTTGAATCATGAAGAAATATGTCCAGAAGTTGTTGAGGTGGATTTAATGCCTTGATATATCTTGTTACTAAGACCTGTATCCCTTCATCATTAAAAACAGTAGTTGTGATTCTTCGGTTCGGAAACAAGTCTTTGCAATTTTTTTTAAAAAGCTGTGCTCTCTGTAAAACATCTATTGGATCTGAAAACTAGAATCAAGATTAAAATGTTTTAACACTACCAAATTGTTTTCAGAAAATAGCACGAATCAATGTTCATTTTTGTCAGTTTTAAAATTATTATCACTCGTTTTTAAAACAGTTTACACTTCTTTGATAGTATATATAAAATAATTCAATGTAAAGCCTACCTTGCCTAGTTCTGGATCACAGGTGACATATGATATTTGAGGCTCAATGGTAACAAAAATATTTAAGAAGCTACATTCTTTTAAATTTTGCCCATTACAATCTTCTTTAGGAGACATGTAAGTCTTACTCCAAGTATACCCAAGCAAAACTGGTGGAATATTTACTTGAAATGTTCCACTAATCTGAAAGAACAGAGCATATAACAAGTTCTGCATGATGAAAATAACCATCAGTGTGAAATACTGTAGCACAACTTAGTCTTCCCCATAGGAGGAAGCAACTTGCCTGGGTCTGTGCTGGCTCTGCGCATACGTACTGCACAGGACATCAGCTTTTCAGCCATGATGTGTACACAGGCACCCTTGACACCCAGGGTCACTGCTTAATACCTACCATGTGAAGAGGGAGGACTGAGAAGGAAGTGACTCAGGAAGTAAGTTACTATAATAAAAACTTAGAAAAATCTGTTTCAGCCTCAGAAAAGATGCTAAAAGATCATGTTGTGCTTTGTCTTGGGTCTAAGAGGAGAAAAAAATTTAACAGCAGGAGAGATAATTCATAGGCCATCAGGAGGAGGGGGTCTTGTGTGCATGGGAGTGTGTGTGTGGGTGTGTGTAGGGGATGGGAGGGAAGTTACAATAATAATAGCTAATAATAACAGTTAATAGCTATTGAGCAAAGCACTATGTCAGGTACTTGATAACGATCATATCATTCAATGAGGTAATTACTTTTATGCCCATTTCGTAGATAAGAAAACTGAGGCTCAGTGAATTTAAGTGATTTGTGCAAGATCACGTAACTAATGAGGTAGAGCCACAATCATTCCCCCAGGTTTGCTCACCTTTAAAGCTTACACTTCACTACCTCTTGACCCTGGAGTCTGGTCTGAGAAATAGTTGCAGTTTTACAAATGTAAGCTGCCCTGTACCTTCAGTAACTTGAATCTCTATTACTTTTTATTTGCAATACTTATATTTGCAATATGCTGCCTCATGATGTCCTGTGATTGTATATTATGGAGATACTTCTCTCCTACTTAATAGTCATTCTCTCCTCCTTTTGTTAGGGGGAAAAGGATGTCCCAAAGCAAATTCCATATAGGCTTTGTGGACTCCACCCCCACCCCAGGTCAAAGCCAAAGACACTGGGAACTCCAAATCCCATCACCACCAAAGGGAAGGTGGCTTGGACCTGAGGGTGGGGTTAAGCAGCCAGGTGGATACAAAAAGCAGACACGTGGGCTTTGGGGGGGCTCTCCATTTTTGGCTCTCCGCCAGCTCGCAGCGTCAGGCCAGCTCAGAGAGTGACTTTGGGTTTCCAGGTCGTCGGATCGGGTAGGACGCATTAAAGACTTTATTTCCCTATTTTCTCCCTGAGTTGTATATTTTCCTTATTTCTTCTTCTCTTGTAAATAAACCTTTTATTAACCCTTTTGCGTATGTCTGTAGTAGAGTATTCATAAGTCCCTTTAAAGCGCGCGGGTGAGGACCCACAGCCAGGAACCCGTTTAATATCGGGGTTGCTCTATAACACTTTCTTATGAGGTGTTAGAGGGCAACGTGACATCAATGTAGTGGCCAAGTCATAGAAATAAAATTTAAGCGGTCTGCCAGGATGTTCTGGAGACATATCTGTTTTCTTGATGCAGGCACTACCCCTTCTTGCTCCCCCTGCCTCCTGTGGCCACTATGACTATGAAGCTGGAGGTGCAATGGGTAATTTGCGGTTATGAGGATGAATGTGCACAACCAAGACAGTGGAACAGAAAGACAAAAGTAGTTTGGATCCTTAAAATCTTGTTGAGCTGCTGCACTGTCATCTAGATTTCTTTTTAGGTGAGACTCCCTGACATCAGCATGGTTAGTCAAGTTTTTCATTCCAGAGGGCCAAATGCAGCACTAATCTACACACACATATTCTGACTCAAGTGCCCTCATTTGCTTAACAAAGTCATCTTTAGGGATTGACTCAAAAGATATCACCTCTGTAACTATTTCCCTGACCTTTTATTCTCCTCCATCTTACCCATTCCCCACTCTGAACACCCCTCGCCTGCCCCTTATTATTTCTTATGCTTCCTTAGTACCTGTCTCATGCCTCTATAAAACACTACGGCATTATATAGTTATACTGAAATGTTGGTTTTCTTCTATAGACAGCACATTTATTGAGGTAGAAAATTCATTTCTGAATCTTCTGTATCTGGCATGGCCTCAGAGATGTTGAGTACCTTGTCTAAAATCACTCAGTAAGAAAATAACAGAGCCCAAAATAGAGTCTAGGCTGGGATTTTTATATTTTATTGGTCATGTAGGCATACTCTTGCTATGGAACCCAAGAGTAGAGCTTGCTGGGGGTCAGAGACAGGTGCTAATCATCAGTCTCATAATTATCAATAAGCAATGTTAAGGAGCTAAACTTTTGATAACCATGGTTACAAAGCAAGATCATTGTGAATCCCAGTCTATAAAACTATCATATGCAAAAATGAATGTTGCTTTAAAATTCAGTGCTAGGTACATTATTCTTTATCAATGAATACTCTAAAAATGTAAGAAGTTAATTTGTGGGTCAGCTAAAACCTTCAAACACTCCAGTACCCCTGAGGCACTGGAATCATGTTAGCTGATCTACCTACCAACCTTTCCATCACAGGACTGGATTCAAAGACAACAGTATGTTCCTTTTAGTCAGAGGTAAAAACTTAATTAGCTAACAATTATTTTCTATTACCTCAGATTGTCGTAGAAGAGCAGAGAAAGGGAAGACAATGGATCCAAGCCAATTCTTTTTCATATATGAATGACCACTGCAGCTCTTGAGACAGTGATCCTAATAAAATAAATAATTTTCTATTACAGATCTTTAATGAGTTATGATTGGGTCATGTCCTGATAAAGTCATCATAAATCAAAAACATCAAAGATCAAAAATGCTGACGAGGAGTTGCAGCTCTCTGTGAGGACAGGTATCAAAAGATTGTGATTTGGGGGCCTCCCTGGTGGTGAAGGGTTTAAGACACAACCTATGAAGCTATCCACAGCCCTTGCAGTGTGAGTTTGATCCTGGCCAGGGAGCCCTCAGCAGTGGATTTCAGTTAATCTTCCTGTTCTGTTCCCCACTCTGTCTCTGGTGAATCCTCTCACCCCCCACACCTCTGGCCTGTACCCCAGTTCTTGCATGCATAAATAAGTAAATCTTTAAAACAAAAAGAAAAAAGATTGTGATTTCTTTGTGTAAAATCATGTGTGCCCAATAGGCTGCCTTGTCTTGTTATCATGAGTACACCTTTGTATGTTAATTGTCAGCCACAGAGTTGGCACTAGTGGTTTGAGGAAATGAACTGTGCCCTAGGGGGCCAAGTATACAAAGGAATCTCAACTATGGCTCCAAGGAGATCTCCTGGTCAGGAAAAGCCTTTTTATGTAAATTAAGATGTCTTCTTCCAAGTTGGCAAATGCTGTAAAAATTCTGTAATGTCTATACCTTTCCTGTAGTAGATATGCTCAGTGCAACAAACTTTGAAAATACTCTAAAGAATATAGAGAGAAAAGAATTAAAAATACCTTACCCCTCAAGACTCATGACCATTCACAACCTTTTAGGATGTTAAATGTTAGCAGAAATACTTTGAAATGATGATGACCCATTCAAAGAGGGATATCATGATGAATGCTGGGTGATAATTTTGGGTGGAAATCCTAGCAGGCTTTATCTTGGTTTTGGAAATAAGAAGCCAGTTCTAATATTTTTATGGGAACACAAAGCATTTAAGAATAGCCAAAGCAGTCTGGAGGTGTCACAGGGTGGTCTCCAGGAAAGGGGGAGGTTCCCTGCCCCAACCAAGGGAGGGTGGAGCTGAGCAGGGAGAGGAGAAGCTGCAGAGGAGACTGAGGGAGGAAGGAAGCAGGATGGAGCCAGGAGACCTGGAGGAGGCGCATGGAGCCTAGAGACATGTGAAGAAACTGCGCTTGTCTTTTGGTCGTGGACTGGATGACACAGATGAGGGTGAGACCCATGGGGAGGTGACAATGGCAGCTTTTATCTTGATGTTGATTTTGCTCTTTTCCTTCCGGGCTTGTCTGTCTGGTTGTTTCTGACTCTTTTCTGTGGGTCCCCACTGGAAGATGCTTTAGACTTGTGGCAGGCTTTGGGGCTTTGTTCTGGGCCGATCCCACATGGATGGAGTTTTACCCAGGAGGGGACGGGTAACTTTGGGTGCTTCATTTAGAAACTAGACTCTTTGCCTTTCCTGTCTTGTTTCCTAGTTGTATTAAAGTTCCTTCCCATTAAAGTCTCATGTTTTGTGTTGATGCGGCGGATGGCAGAACCCATTTAAAATAGGCAGGTTTGCGGGGTTTGGGCTGCCCCTCTCCCTGTCCTATAACAGAGGAAGAACAAGGCAGAAAGACTAAAGTCTCCAGATATCAAGATATATATCAAAGTTTTGGTAATTAAGACAGTGTCAATGCAAGAGTAGATTTATAGACCAATAGAACACAATAGAGAATTCATACATAATGCCAAATTTGTATGTATTCACAAAACTTATGACAAAGGATGACTATGTAGTGCCATGGGGGAAGGAATGTTCCTTTTCATAAATGGCACTGGGTCAACTGAATATCATAGTGGAAGAAAAATCTTGACCTACCTCACAGACACACAAAAATCAATTTCAGTTGGATTTTAAATCTAACTGTGAAAACTAAAATGAGATAGCCTTTAGAAACAACTACAAGACATTATCTTCATGATTTTAAGTAGGCAAATATGTCTTAAATTGGACCAAAAAAAGCAGCACCATTGCACTGAATTGCAGTATATTAAATCAAGATTTTCTTTAATAAAAGATACATTAAGAAGTATAAAAAGGCAAGTCAGAGTGGGAAGATACATGTATTTGACATATTTGAAGATATGTGTATTTGACAAAGCACTCATATCCAGAACATATAAGGAACTGCGATAAATCAATGCAAAATAAGCAGATCTCTCACAAAAGAGGATGTCAAAGTGATCAATAAGGTGTTCAATTACATGTCATTGCACTTACAAGAATGCCAACATTAGTCAACTGCTATTCAATTCTGGTCAAACTAATCGTTGAGATAATAAAGAGAGAAAGTACCAGATTTTATTTATTTATTTTTTTTAGTTTCCTGAGCTCTAGTCACAATTAGTTTTGATAATCAGAAAGATGAAATCTTGATATTTGCAATAACAGGGATTGACCTAGAAGGTATTGTGCTTAGTGAAATAAGCAGACAGAGAAAGACAAACACCACATGATCCCATTGATGTGGTATATAGAGAAAACAAACAGTAAATAAAACAAAAGTAAACTTTTAAGCTTCCTTCTGGTGATTACAAGAAGGGCAGGGGGAAGAGGGGTGAGTAAAGTGGGACCAAGGGTACAATGGTGTGGTGAAGGCAGACTAAGACATTTAAGACATCAAGGGTGAACTTAGTGTAAGATACATATTGATTCTCAATAATGCACACCTGAGAGCTATATAATGTAATAATGCAACATTACTTCAACAAAACAAATAAATGGAATGTTCAACTGTAGAAACCACTTCTCTAAAATTCTTGGTATATATATTCCTTTTCTTTTTATTTATTTATTTTTTTAAAGATACACTTTTTTTTCCAATTTTTTTTTTTAAGATTTATTTATTTATTTATTTATTCATACAAGCACTGGGTACAGTCAGAAGCGCGGGAGGGTGAGAGAATTCACCAGAGTCAGAGCAGGATGCAGAACAGGCAGAAGGACTGAAGTACACTGCTGAGGGGAGCAGCGGGTGGCAGGAGAGGTCTGCGCGCCATGTGGGACCCTCCTCTGGTGGCCGGGGAGCAGCCGGGGATCGAACCGGCACTGCAGAGGCTGCGGGCAGCTTCGCAACCCCGCGCTCAACCACTGCGCCACAGGGGAAGCCCTCCTTTTCTTTTTATATGTGGTTTAAGGTGGCTATCATTTTTTAACTGACTTGTCATATGCCTCATTTATTTCTCAAATGCATTTCAGAAAATTTTGGATATATATAATGCATCTAAAAACAAATTTACAAAAATGTAGTATACTTCATTCAGTCTTACCTTCTTAGAATCATTTCAACATTGATTATTATAATTATTTTACTTTACCTCATGTTTCTCAATAATCATTTCATCGAAAATATTGATATGTATATTGTCTTTTATTTTAGATAAACTTGAGAAACTATAATCATGTCCTGGTGAACTGTAAATAAGAAAAACAAATATGAGTGTTTATTTTATAAGAGCAGTATTCATAAAGGAATATAAAATTAACTGTGTTCTTTTATAAAGTGCAAACTAAGAAAAAGTTGTTTGCTTTGAAGACTGCAATTTTTAAATCAAAATCAGCATGTGCTTTGTAGTTTCTAATATCTCTCTTTAGGTAATTTGCATTAAAAATAAAAATATTTATATGTCAAGCAGCAAGCTATGCAACACAGCCCATACATACATTGCAGGTAAATTATCTGGAGTATGGCATATAAAGATTTTTCTGTTATCTTAAATTCTGCTTCGTTTCTGCATTCACACAGAGTTTAATTGCTCTTTTGCTCTCAGTTACAAGATACAGCTGTTTAACCATGGAGATATTCTCTTTTCCATATTTTCTCCAGCCCAAAATTGGGAGAGCGGAGTGCATTTAATTTTGCAAGCTCTCTGCTGATAACTTCATTGATTGGATATATTTTGCGAGGTAGCTAAAGTGTAGTAAATCATAAGCAATGAACTTCTACTCTCAGTCTAGCTTGTGCATTTCAAAGAACTGAGAGTGGAAGTTCACTGCTTGTGATATACTACACTTAACAGACTTGTAACAATTCAGAAAAATTAATTTGCTCAAGGTAATGCCACCAGCAAGTGACAAAGCCCTAATCTGAACCTATAAGAGATGAAAGAACAAGAATATTGTATATGTGTTTGTTTTTTTGAACAAGCCTAGAAGTAGCCATGCATCATTCATGCCCACATTCTGATGGCCAGAATTTGGACATAGAGCTCCCATATAACCCACATACTCTAGCTGTGTGCCCAGAAAGAAAATAAAACAGGATTTCAGAAAAACACTGTAGTCTCTACAATGCCTAGGTTGCCTTCAAGCCCAACTAGCCCAAACACTGACATAAGCAGCATCCTCGCACAAGTGTTCTTAAGGACCTGTGAGCATGGAATCATATACCCAGGAGCAGGATTTCTGGGTTTAGCAGGTGCTGTTTTAATGCTTCACCTTACCATTTTGAGCTGCCATGACTGCAGTCTGCCAGTACTTGCCCCTCTGCATCTGGGGAGTTTATCTGGCTCCTGGAGCCTGTTTTGCCTGTGAACGGGGCAGGAGAAATCTGGGAAATTATTCCTTTCCCTGGACTCAGTGTATCTCTCAAAAAATGATGGAGAGGAATTATATATAAATATCCCAGCTCCCTCATTCTTCGGGTGGGTTAACCTGAGGCACTGTGATTTAGACTTCCCCCAGAGAGACTAGCTCATCTTAATCACTATTTTCAATAAATGGCTCAAGAAAATAATTTTGTTATTTCTCTTTTCTTAGAAACTGAGGGAAAATGGACTCCAACTTACATAAAATCTAGTTGAAGTTCTTCATTCCAGCATGGATGAGATCCACTTGCCGTACTGGTTTCATAGACAGTATGTTGAAAGGAAACTTCCACAAAAGGGTGTACAGTATCCTGAAACACATAATAAACACTGAATAGGCTGGAAGCTAGGAAATGACTTGGCTACTGGCTGACTAGATGAATTACTTTTCTAGTTTTTCAAAGAACCAATATTCACATAATAAACAATTATTAGTCCTAGTCAATGTCAGGTACTTTTCTGGTATCCAAAGATAAATGGACCTTTCTATTAAGAATTTTAAAGTCTATCAAGGAAAGATAAATAGGAAAACAATTGCAATAAAATGTGAGAAATAAAATAAGTGAAATATATTCAAGGTATAACATACATTGCAGGTATGAAAATGATTAACTTTATGGCACAGGGACAAATAGAACTTAACAGAGAAAACACTGGTTGAGCTTGAGTTTTGAAAAATTAAGTAGTAATTTATGTGGCCAATGATATGTAGTTGTAAGGAGGTCATTCTAGGAATTAGGAAAAGGCATGTATAACGGCTTCTAGAACAAGTTGTAGCATGATAAGGGACTGCTGTGGGTGGAGTGATATGACCGGTAAGTAGGTAAAAATCAGATCATCAAAAATTTTTACAGCCATTCTAAAAAGCTTCTATAATCCCTGAGAGCTGGGGAGCAGAGAATGAAAATGTTTTCAGAATCACATTTTATAAAGAGCATTTCAACTTGTCATGGAAAATAAACTGGAAAACCAAGGATTTGAGATGTAGAAGCCAGTTAGGGGCCAGTTGTAATTCAGGGTAGACATAATCAAAATTGTACTTTAAATACTTACCTCATTTAAGGTGTCAGCTGAGGGTGCAGATTTGATTATCTCTTTATGTTTGAGATGAGGTAGGGATGACATCAAATAAGTAGGCATACCCAAGGCTCTTTAGGAAAGACGAGATAGAGACAATCACTTTAGTAGGAGTGGGTATGTTTTTGCCTATATTTATGGAGATCTATAATTCAGTTATCCTGGCTCTTAGAAAATTTGCTTTGAATTTTCATATTCTAGTTTGTTAAGCATTTGATCACTGATATTCTGGAAGAATGGCTCCTAAATGCTGAACTAAGGATTGTATTCAGTCTATGATAAACTGTTCACTTACCCTGTGCAAAAAGAGAAATAAGGCAAATGATACCTTGAGATTATATATCCTCACTATTTTTTGTGTTATAATATTCTTTCCTTTATAAATTGATTTTACAAAAAGGTAGTGATTTTATTATGTTTTTATTTCATAAGTTAGTCTATGAAATGTGAACTTTTTAGCACACTGCATTTCAGCATATCAATTCTGTTACAGCTTATTAAACATAGGCAAAAAACCCTTTGAGAGATTTTAACTAGAGATTAGTGGCTATAAAGCAAAAATGTTTGCTTTTCAAATGTAGAATTTATAGGGTGTGCTAAAAATGAGATAAGGAAGTAGACCATATATGTGTTACATATAAGTGGGTATACCTAATATTCCTGGGGCAACTGGGTATTCGGTAGTCATAAAATGAGTCATATACAAGACTAAATATAGGAAACATTAAATCTTCAGGATATACTAAATGTACATGAGCATTTGACTTCATTTGCTATCCAGCTTGGACCCACTGATCCTCTGCTGAAGAAACGCAAACGAAACACAGAGTGCCTGCAAAAGAGATGGGTACGATTGGCTTTTGCAGAAGTCATGGAAAATGACAAGCCTAAAACAGAGCCCATGTTCTATGTTCTCCAGTGTTCTACTTCCAGTGCTGAGAGCTGCCAGTGGCAGAAGACAGTGCAGTTGGCAATAGCAGCTGCACATCTTTTCATAATAGGGACTAGGGACAAAAGGGTTTTTTTAATATAGCACCCCAAAATATACATTTGAAGTTGCTCTGGGCATTCAAACTTCTGAAAACTTCAAATACATGGCAATGATAGTAAATCTGACTGTCCAAATGAAGATTTCAACTTTCATTCAGTTTCTTTATTTGAAAGATCAATAAAGTACAAAATTTTACAAATAGGACAGTGTGGAGATTTACACTGAAGATAGATCTTCTGCAACCATAAGAGCTGGTTATCTTACCTATTAACTGCTGTCTTCCTCGTAGGAATATTATATGCCCTCAGTATTCTGACAAGAATTTTAATGTCTCCATCACAGATCGTCTGTGCTGCCACTTTTTTCCTTTCTTTTCTCTGAGGCTTTAACATTCTTCGCCGTTTAACAAGTTTACAAACTGCATGTGTCAGCTGGCTGGAGTAAAAAGTGATTGGCCAGATATATAGAAGATAAGTCAGCATAAAAAGCTATCAATTTTTCAACTCATTATAATAAATAAGGCCAATATTCTGAACTATATTCTCTCCATTGTAGAGGGAGGGGAGATAGAGTTACTTAAACCCAAGGAAGGAATCTTTGAGGACACAGAGAGGCTGTGTTCGTTCTTAGGTTAACAGAGAATGTGTTGGCTCCATGCCCTTTGAGTACAAGGGCCAGGAAAAGACAAGCACTTGGAAAGGTAATTCCATGAAATATGACGTCCTTCCAGAAGAGTATTCATTTTTCAAATATCATTCTCTTGAAAGTGGTCAGCCTTGACTTTTCTACATAGCTCTGGAGTAGGAGTTACTGACCACTGTGTGCTGCCAATCCCAGAATGATGGCTTTATGGTCATCACACCCATTTCTCCGCAAGAGTGAAAAGAAAACAAAATAGAATTCAGCATCCTACGCCTACTAAGACTTTATTGGTGATACTAGAAATCTCCAAGTGGCCCCAGGGAGTTACCCCAAAATATGGCATCCCTGTTCCTCCTGTTCCCACCCTTAATTTCACAAATAGGACCTTAAGAGAATTGAGTTACTTTGGCCAAAGTCTCCTACTACTGCTGCCTGTGGCTTCACAGTGACCTTGAATGCCTGGGAGTTAGGGATCCAGAGTCACTGTGGGGGTTACCATGAGGGTCACTTTGTCAGGGACAGTTTCAGGACAGGAATATCATAGGGTGAAACTAATTTGGGACAGAAGCATTTTTAAATTTTTCTTCCCTGTGCTAAAAGCTATCATTGGAGGTTAAAGACTAAAGTAATATACAATTGAAAACACATATACAGGTAAGTCAAAAATGCAATTTTAAAATGACCAAATATATTTTAGGTCACTGTATTTCACTTTCTGCTTTATAACTGCATTTTTTTGGAAATATAACTGAATTGATACAAAATTAAAAAACTTATTACAGGACTTTGGAGGCATTAGCTTAAAACTTTACATTTCATATTTGAATAATAATAATACATTTTAGTATGTACCTTGTAGATACAATTTCTTCGTAATCAGCCACAATATCGGATAAGTTAAATTTGCTAACTTTGATAATTCTTTTCATTATCAACTTTCTCATCTACAAAAAAGTAGAATTTAAAAAGTTTGTAGTTTGTATTTTAAAAGTAAGTATTTATAATGCTACTACCACCCCTATTTTTTCACTCCAAATTTTGCAAGCAATGAATGGAAAAGAGGATTAGGTAAGTGAAAATAAGGTTCTATTTGCTACCCTTATTAGAACCATTCCTAACTCTCCCACTGTCATACTAAAGCAAGGTTCTTTCTCTCTATTTCTTTGCCCTTCCACACCCATGTGATGTCAGCACAAACTCTGCTCTCTTCCTCCCAACCCACAGTATACTCGGACAGAACTGGTCCATCAGCGGAGATGATCACCTTGTGAGTGTGTGTTTACGACATCTACCTACACGCACTGGGCATGAATCTTGATTCACAGACTCACAGAAATGTAATGACACGTCTTTATTTCCTTTGAGTCAGTGTTATTCTGTCAGCTTGGCAACATACTCAGCGCGTCCACAGAGCCATTCCTATGTCCTGGCTACTGGAACAGCCCACAGACGTGGCTTCCTCCAAGGACTCTGGGGTTCTTTTTCAGTCTGAGGAAATCCTTCCCTTTTCTCCTCTAGCCCTGTGCTTTGCTACAGATGTAAGCTTTCAGATATGAAGCTAGGAAGATGCAGGTGTCAGTTTTCTGTCTTGCCACAAATCATCCCAGAGATGATTTAACCTAGAACATAACAATCTGCTTGACTGCAGTAGGAAAATGGGGTGGAAAAGTATAACCCCTAAAATAACACAGGAATATGGGCAACAAATCGTTTCCCTTCAAGATGAACCATACCCTTCTGAACCCATTATTGCTCATACTCTAATTCTCTCTCCTCCCTTCACCTCCCCCCCCCCAATTTTTTTTCTCTCTCCTTACATCCCTCTTTTCTCTCCCAACCCCTTGGCATCACACAGACTGAACTCCTTGCTATTCTTCCAATAGGCCAGGCATGTTACTTTCTTCTGGTTTCCACACTGGGTTCCACCAGCCTGGCATACTCTCGCAGGAAATCCCACAAATAGCTCCCTTACCTCCTAGTCTTTTGCTGAAGTGTTACCTTTTCACTGGCTTTCTTCATCACCTCATTTAAAATTGCACTTCCACCCTCTCATGCACACAGAACTCTCCTTTCTTCCTAATTTACTTTTCATAGCACACTATCACCCTCGTGTTTTGTTCACTGCTTGACTTCCCCCACTAGAATGACCTCCTCCAGGAGGCCAGGGATTCCAGTTTATTTTCCTTACAGCTATGATGCCAAAGTCTACTGTGATGCCTAAGTTATAACTGGTGCTCAATAGTTACTGGCTATATAAGTGAAAGGGACAGATTGCAGACATGCAATCTTAGAAGCAATCATTTCAGCAAAATGTTATCTGGAAATCCTGGAGACTGCTGGGACTCCATTCTTCACTGTAACAACCCTGGCATTAGCCATCACTGCCCCACTATCAAAGCAGGAGCTGTGTACGCAAGTCCCCCAGTACCTCGGGATCCTCCCTCAGCAGGAATAAGCACTTGTGGCCTAGGAGGTCTCCAGTGTTAACCCTTTCTGGGATTTGTAATTAAAGTAATTATAACTTGATATTTTATTTTTTATTTTTTTAAAGATTTATTTATGCATACAAGAACTGGGGTACAGGCCAGAGGTGTGAGGGGTTAGAGGATTCGCCAGAGACAGAGTGGGGAGCCGAACAGGCAGACTGACTGAAATCCACTGCTGAGGGGAGCAGCGGGTGAGTCAGGAGAGGTCTGCTGTGCCATGTGGGTTGCTCCCTGGCCGGGGATCAAATTCATGCTGCGGACAACTTCATAGGTTGCGTTAAACTAAATCTTTCATTTTACCACTCTCAGCAAAGAAATCCCCAGAAGAAATTGAAATCTAATCAAAGTTTTCTTAAAACTCCTCCCTAGGAACCCCATGTGTAGCTCAAGCATCTTTAGACACTTGCTCTCTTACCCCCTCTCCGATCCTCTGCCGTGCTCCCTTCTGCTTTTCTTCATACATAAAGAGGAAGAGAAGGGACGAGGATATGTGTTCTCTTTTCTTAGGAGTAAGAACATTTTCCTAAGGCAGCAAACTCATTACTAAAGACATCCCATTTTTTTTTCTTTAAACACAGTGACAAAGGAGAGGAGTTCTCGGGCCCAAGACAGCTACAGTGGTCTGTGTCTCCCCCATCCTATGGCAACAGTATATAAACTGGACTAGCACTTGAGCTTTTATCTCCTTTGCCCCTTACATTGGAAACAACGGAAGGCAGATGGCATTATTAATCTGCTTTTGCTCAAAAAGTGGGACTCAGTGAAAAGATTTCTTGTCCAAAGACACACCAGTGGTCAGAACAGGTCTTCACACACCTGCCTGGGCCTCTTCTTATACACCGTTGCTTCTCACCTACTTCCATGAGGATCTGCTGTGTATGTCTTAGATCTGATTATAGCTCTTTGCTTCTTTCCAAGTTACCCTAAAAGACTGCTCAGGTGCTCATCAGCAGAGGCATGTACTTGGCTGAGATTTTGCTTCTGCAGAAGTTTTGGTCCACCTCAGCCCTTGAGGTTTTACCTCTAACTTTATTAATTTCTCAAATAGTCACAACATTTTTCTGAGTCAAGGGCATGGTGCTGGGTACTGTGGTTCCTTGGCATGGAGCCTGCACTCCAGAACCTTAGAGTGCAGCGAGGACAGTGGAAAGGAATTGGGAGCACTGTTCAGCGAGGGTGAACATCTCACCCGGCTGAGGCTCTGCCAGCTGCTCTGTGAATGCCTGACTCTGTCAGACCAGTGTCTTTCTCTAACATTTCCTTTCTCCTTTTGGAAGCTGATTCATCCCTTTGTTCCCTGAATTTCTGTGTTACATGGCACCATGAGATCCCAATAGAAGCAGGGATTCTAGCAAAATACTGGCATATTTCAGGGTCAAAAAGAAACAGGAAGTCTTTTAATATTCACGTCTAAACAGGAAAAGTTGGAGTGCACTTTAATGATGAGTTTGCTGTCACCTGAAATAACCTCAGTGTCAACAGTGTACACGGACATTTGTAGCTGGTAAGTAACTAACTGCAAGTAACTAAAGAAGTCTGAAGAGAACAAAAGACCTCAATTATCAGAAAGAGGTGATGAGTCAGTGGATTTGTGTAGGAAAGACCAACACTGTGCATCCTGCAGACCAGTTTTCACAAAAGTAAATAAATGCAAACATATTGATAGTATTATTTGGTTCTTACCTTTTTCAGAAATTTGGTAGAACTAATCCTTTGTGCAATAATGGAATTCACATCTGAAATGGATGTATCCTTCTCTATTTGACTTTCATATTCCTAAACAAAGAATGAAGTTAATTTCACTTGGAGAAGGTAACAGAATTCATATATGACAGGCCACAATAGAATAGTAACTATTAATTTCAGTGTATGTGTGGAAGACATTGGCAACACCAGTGCTGAGAGAAGAAGACATTTCTTTCAGATTCTCCCTGCTATCACTTATTGCTGTCAATGAGTTGCTTTAAGTTTGTTAATAGTTGCTTCATATATTTGGGTGCACCTGTGTTGGATGCATTGATACTAATGACAGTTCTATCTTCTTCATGAATTGTTCCCTTGATTGTTATACAGGGCCCATCTCTTTTTTGACTGAAAGTCTAATATGTAAGTTATGAGAATAGCAGTTTCTGTTTTTTTCCCTTCAGTGCTATTGCTCCAGCCTTTCCATTTAAGTCCATGTTTATCTTTAGATCTGATGTGTGACTCTTGTATGCATAATATAAATGGTTTATGCTTTTATTTAATTATTTTTTTAATGACCTGTCATTCTGTGTCTTTTGATTGGTGTATTTAGTTCATTTACATTTAGGGCAACTATTGATATTACATATAAGGCTGATTCACTGTTATTCTTGCTTCTACTTTTTTGGTTGTTTTATCTTTCTGTTGTTTATTTTTCCATGTGTTTCTCTCTGTCTTTTAAGTTGGATGACTTTCCTTGGTGGGTCTCTCAGTTTCTTCATATCTTCTAAGCATCACTGTTCCAGATTTTCATTTTGTGGTTACCATGAGGGTTCTACCAATCTTTCTATATGTAAGACAATATTTTGTGCTGGAATCAATTCATCATTATTTAGTGATACAGATTCTGTCCTTCCTCCCTTTAATATGTTTTGCTGTTGTCTTATATTATTTTTGTTTATGCTTCTGATTCTGTATTACTATTTATCACTTTGCTCATAGTTTTATGTTCTTTTGTTTCTTCTCTTCATGTACAAGAACGGCTTTTAGCACTTTTTGTAGGGCAGGTCTGATGGTGATGAACTCCATTAGCTTTTGTCTAGGAAAGCCTTTATCTATCCCTCAGATCTGAATGATTTTGCAGGATAGATTTTTTGGCAGTTCTTGTTTGGCAGTTCTTGTATTTTAAAATTATAAAAATGTCATTCCTCTCTCTTCTAGGCTTGAGGATTTTTGCTGAAAAAATCTGCTAAGAGATTGGTCAAGGTGCCTTTGTATATTACATTTTTTCCCTTAGCAGCCTTTAGTTTTTTTCTTTATTACTGACTTTCGATAATTTAACAGAGCTATGTCTTGGTGTAGGTAGTTTAGGAATCTGGATCACTCTGAGCTTCTTGGACATCCATATTTCTTTCCTTAGGTTTGGGAAATTCTTGGCTCTTATTTCTTTGAATAGGGTCTCTGCTCCCTTCTCACTTTACGTTCAGGGACACCCACAATCACAATTTTTTTTTTATTTTAATAGTGTTGGATACTTCTAGTAGAGTTTTTCTTCATTTTTTATAACCTTTATTTCTCTCCTTCTATTTGTACATTTATATCTCAAGTTTCCAAAATTCTCTTTTCTGCTAACAAGTCTTTTTTGTATGCTTTCCATATTTGTTCTGATTTCACTTAGAGTGTGTGTGTGTGTGTGTGTGTTTAATAGCTTCAATCAAAGAGGCTGAAACACTCCGTTCTGTTTGAAGGTCCTGAAACTGCCTTTCTAATTTGGTTGACCTTCTAGGACTTCATTGATCTTCTTTACGGTCATCATTCTAAAATAGTCCTGTTAGGTCCTCAAATGCTGTGTCCTTTATATAGGTCTGGACTTCTGTTCTTTCAGCTTTTCCATCTAGTGTTCAGATGCTCCTTGCTTCCTAGGCATGTATAGTGCCTTATTTGCTTTTTTCCAGTTGGGATTCTGTGGTTTTAGTCTCAGTTATTAATCTCTGTTGAACTAGGCAGCAGGTGAGGAAGAAAGGAAAGTGAAGCTGGAGTCCAAAGACTCAGACCCAGACTTGGTGGGGAGGGAGAGCCATTTCCGGTGAAGGCATTTACACTGCTGCTTTCTTGTTGGGTCTGGAGCAAATGCTGATCACTGTAAGAAGGAGCCTGAATTCTAACGTTCCATCTGCTTGCTGCTCCTCCCTGTAATGTGCAGCAGGCTTCCTACTTTGGTCTCCAGCAGAGGTGGTGGGGGTGAGACTCTGCCGCCCATGTTGCCAGCAGCCAGATTCTTCTTGACTGAGCTAAAAGTACCAGCACCCCTCATTACTCTACCCTCACTAAAAAGATGTCCAGCACAGGGTTGGTGTGCTGCAGTGTCTGTAACTATTTCCAGCTTGTTCAGGTGACTGGGATGGCCACAGTCCTGGCCACAAGACCCTCTCCCTTTCTTTGTTCTACCACAACCGTGAGCCAGCAACCTCATGTGAAATAACTGTGAGTTAGTGTCCCATCTCTGGTGATGAACTGGTGATTTCCTGTGAGCAGTATTATTTTTTTTCTAGTTGTACTGAGAGAAGAGGTTATTAAAACTTCCTTATTTCACCAAATTGTGGAGAAGTCTAAAGTCTTAATTATATTCAGATCTCACAGTTTTTGGTAAGCAGACTACATATATAATGCTATGTATTTCATATGCATTATATTAGGTAGTAATAACATCTATTTGTCCTTTATTCATGTATTAGTTTTCAACTGCTGCCATTTTATCTGCTGCCAAATTACCACAATTTAGTGGCTTAAAGCAACACAAATGTGTTCTCTCAGAATTCTGTAGCTGGGCAGTGTGGGTTGTCTCAGTTGGTTTCTCTGCTCCAGGTGTCTCAAGGCTGATATCCAGATGTCAGCTAGATTCTGGGAGGCTATGAGAAGAATCTGTTTCCAAATTCACTGAGGTTGTTGGCAGAAACCAGTTCCATGCAACTATAGGACTGTGGCCCCACTTCTTCTTTGCTGGATATCAGCTAGGACCCACCCTTAGCTCCTAGGAGCCTCTCTTCAGGCTTTGCAGATGGATGTCTAAGACTCAAAACTGGCAACTGCACATTGAGTCCCTCTCATGATGAGATCTTTCTGATTTCTCTTGCTGTTGCAGCTTTATTTTGCTCTCAACTGAAAAAAAGTTCTCTGCTTTTAAAAGCACATGTAACTAGATTAAGTCCACTCAGATAATCCAAGAAAATCTATTTTAAACAATGTAACAACATATTCAAAGCTTCTGGATACTGGAGAGTGGGCATGTTTGGGAGGCCCTTATTCTACCCACTGAAATTAAGAAGATTAAGTTGAGTCACTGAGTCAAAACAACGAGGACTGGGGCCTCCCCGGCGGCGCAGCGGTTGAGCACTGGGTTGCAAAGCTGCCCGCGGCCTCTGCGGTGCCAGTTCGATCCCCGGCTGCTCCCCGGCCACCAGAGGAGGGTCCCACATGGCGCGCAGACCTCTCCTGCCGCCCGCTGCTCCCCTCAGCAGTGTACTTCGGTCCTTCTGCCTGCTCTGCTCCCCGCTCTGGCTCTGGTGAATTCTCTCACCCTCCTGCGCTTCTGACTGTACCCAGTGCATGTATAGACAAAACAAACAAACAAATAAATAAAACATGCCTCTATAAAAGAAAAAAAAAAAAAAAAACAAAACAACGAGGACTGTATTTCCCCATGGTAGATGGATGACTTTCTTTTGTAATTGAAAAGTAGATATTCATTTTAAATATGGATATTATACTCAACAAATTTATTGTGACAGTTTATTGCAGATTTTCTTTTTTTTTCCATGTAGACACATTTTCTACAAAGACAGGTTCTTCCAGTTTTAATTTCCATCTTTTCCTCTTCCTTCATTTTGGTTTAGTACGTTGGATTTTACAGATGACAGAGGGCATTCTTATGTTGTTAAGATTAATGGAAGCTGATGTTCTGCCACTAAGTATGATGTTTGTATAGGAGCCTATGAGGGAATAGGTTTTTTTTTTTAAGATTTTTTTTATTTATGCATACAAGAACTGGGGTACAGGCCAGAGGTGTGGGGGTGAGGGAACTGACCATCGACAGAGTGAGGAACATAACAGGCAGATCGACTGAAATACACTGCTGAGGGGAGCAGTGGGCAAGACAGGAGAGGTCTGCTGCGCCATGTGGGTTGCTCCCTGGCCAGCGGGGATCAAAGTCGTGCTGCTAGGCCGCGGATGGAAGCTGCAGATTGAAGCTACGGATTGCTTCATAGTGAGTGCTTAACCCCTTGAGCCACCAGGGAGGCCCGAGGGAATAGATTTCTGATCATGATCCTTATACCAAACTCAGTTTCAGGGCCACACAGGTAACAAGCTACAGAATCAAAGCCAAGGGGCAGATTTTAAGGACTATTTCCCAGAATGCTAGGAAAGTGAAGAGAGAGAAGTAAAGAATTTGGTCAAGGACACCTGGGCACTGTTGTTGATTTTTTCCTGTTCTCTTCAAGGATGATAAGGCCTTGGTAACTTTAACTTGGATTCAAGAACTAGGAGACTTCCCTTAAATGGAATGCATTTGCCATGTAAGTGTAAATTCTTGTTGGGTGGTAAATTTTTATTTTTAAAACCCTGGCAAATTGCTAGTATAGGAGAAGATTATTCCCCATTGGAGTACAAGAGCCCAAGAAAACCAGCATCAAAATCTGTAGCAGCTGTCCTGGGCTGCCTGTACAAGTTTCTGTATGCTTGGCTAATTAAACCTGGAACTTAATGTAACCATCTAGTGGGTATGTAAATGGTCCCTTCCCTTCCTCCATCCTCTCAATTCTACAATTTACCTAAAATATTTTTAATGCAGTCTGCATCAGCAGAAAACCCCAAGATGCTGAAACAATCTTAATCAGATTAAAAGAATTCCCTTCATGGGTCCACTGGTTGCGAGCTTTCATCATGGATGTATATCATGCATGAAATGACTTTTAGACATTTATTAAAAGGGGCACATTTTTTCCTTCCTTAATTATGTTAGTATGGTAAATTACATTAATAGATTTTGGATTAAATTAGTTCTGTTGTCTGGAAATAAACCCTACTAGCCTACAGTGCATAATTACATGTCTATACACAGTACATAATTTTTCAATTTGTTAAAATTTTATTAGTAATTTTACACTTGTGCTTTCAAATAAAATTGATCTAAAATGATCATTTCTTCCGCCTTTGCCCAATTTTTATGATGGTCATATTAGTCTGAATAGTTTGTATTCTTCTCTGAATAGTTTGTATAAGATAAGGGAAGTCAGCCAAGTCCCTAGCTTCCTAGCGGAAACTTCCTTTTGTATGATGTTCTACCTCTGATTATGCTGAGCATTGTGCTTTGCCAAATTATGGAACTATAGAATTGAATTCAATCATTCAGAGAAATAGCAGGAGGAAACGGAGTAACTTTCCAGCTATTCAAAGCCAACGCCTTCCTTCCCACTGTAACTTATTAACTAACATTCCTAAGGTCTCAAGACAGATCCTCCAGCATTAATGTTGGATAAAGCTTTTCCAAAAAGCCACATGTTTGTCAATACATATAATTCTACTCACCCATATTTGTGAAAATAGTGAATCATCTGTAAATCCTATTTTTATTTGGCTATAATAGTTATGTGCTGTTAGTGCCATGACAGTAGCACAGAAAAATTAATCATTTTTTTCCGTTCATCTCTGAGGCACATGAAAGAGTTTCTGAGACAATCCCATTTGGTTTAGACCACAAGTGTCCTCCCAAATGTACTGAGTCCTATGTGGGTTTGTTTGTTTCTCCTATAAATCAGGGTATTAAAACTAAAGGTTGACTGAGTGGCAACAGCAAGAACAAATATACCTTATTTTTTTTTAATAGATTTTACTGTTTTTGACATTAAGTGGCTTATTGCAATTTCCTTTTGGTCCAGAATAAAATGAATATAATATCAAAAACAAATACCAGTTTCTTCTTATCAATTGATAATAATTCACCCAATTATTTAAGTTATAAGCTCACAACCAAAGTTGATAAGTGAGAATTCTACACCTACAGTGATAATTTCTTTCCCGTGAACCACCTCTTAGCAAGCTCAAATGCTGTATCACTACAATTGGTTATTTCTACAAGAAATAACTTGCTATAATTCTATTTTAAGACTAGTGGTGTGCTGGCAAGTGTGTAACAACCAATTCCACCAGCCAGCGCTGGCTGGCAGCTCCAGCACAGCGTAAGGCTTGTTTCTCTTTCTTTCCCTCACATTTTAAAGTTTCTGAAATTGAGATGTACTTTGCAATTAATGTACAACTTTAACATGGCAGTGTTTCCCCCTGGCCCCAAAGTCACTTTTAAACTATGATGAATTTTATAATAACAGAAATCCAATATTATGTAAATTTAGGATATTCCTAAAAGATTTTGGTTGTGAAACAGGTTGTTTGGACAACATCTAAGATGCAAAGTCAAGCTGAAGACTCTGGAATTTGGGAGAGCTGTATATTTGCAATACCTAAAGAGAAGGGGGTGGGAGAGCTGTCTATAGATTGTCACTTAATAAAAGAAAGAAATACAGTCTTAAAACGGAAAAAAAGTAACATATATAATAAGCCATATTCAAATAGAAAACAAGTACCTGGAAGATTAGATCTGGAATCTCTCTGTCATAGAGGGGTATTTGCTGCAGGACAACATCTAAGTGACCTGCATTTCTAAGCTGCAACAGCTGAAAACGTTTATTCTTCTTCATTTCCTCTTCAGAAACAAAGTTAAATTCATCTTGAAACTGTTCCAGACGAAAATACTTTGGAATATACTGTTCTTTATGCTTCAGGTACTGTAAAACATTATAGAGTATTCAGTTAAAATACTAATTTTTTAAAATTCAAGAACTGTTTCAAAACATTGCTTTTCCCCAGTCAACTGGGAGAGGTAAGAAGGAAATTGTTTCTAAGTAGGAAGCACAGTAACTGAATCTCTATAGAGACAGAATGTGAAAGCAAAAACAAAAAACAAACCAAAATCCATTCTACATGATTTCCCAGCTATGATTTGTATAGAAAATGAAAATACTTGTGTTGCACACTTGGTTAAAAGATGAGAGTGTTGAGAGCTGAGAGAGGATCAATCTTTCTGTACCCTGCTATGAATTCAGCACATCAGCTGGGAAGCTCTGATCCAGAGAAACTTAATTGCAATCATGTATTTATGTATGTATTTATTTATGTATTTATTAAAGATTTATTTATTTATGCAAACAAGAGCTGGGGTACAGGCCAGAGATGTGAGGGGTGAGAGGATTCACCAGAGACAGGGTGGGGAACAGAACAGGCAGACTGACTGAAATACACTGCTGAGGGGAGCAGTGGATGAGACAGGAGAGGTCTGCCTTGCCATGTGGGTTGCTCCTAGGCCGGCCGGGGATCAAACTTGTGCTGCAGAGGCTGCAGATTGCTTCATTGTGCAGTGCTTAACCCCTTCCACCACCAGGGAGGCCCGTGATGATGTATTTATTAATTGCTTTGTTCCCTAAATGCAAATGTCACTACAAGGTACATGCTAGTTTCAATAAGAGGCATACAATTATATTAGTTATAGTTTCCCAAGGAAAGATAAAACACATGACTGATACAGTAAAAAGAGGAATGCTATTAGAGCCATGAGAGTTTACAAAAAGGAATACAAAGTTAACAGAAGAGTAAGGAAAGAAGGAAGAGTCCATCCCTAAGTGCAGTAACCAGGGAAGCATTTATAACACTTGTGGGGACACTAAGATAGAGGCCATGTGTGCCCTTCCAGAAGAAAGGACATGAACAAAGACATGGAGAAAGGGTTTTAATGGTACACAGAGAAGTTCAGGTGGTTATATAAGTAGAAGTGAATAGATAATGAGTGAAGCTGTGTGTCTGTAAGTCATCTGTGTATCCCAAACAGCTATAACAATAATGAAACTGGCATTCAGTAGATATACAATGGATATTAACTTGAAGGTTAACCTGCAGGATGTGCTGTGTGGGGCTGTCCAGTAGAGGCATAGTACCAACTATCCAGACTTGTTTCAGTTTCTGAAAAAAAATTTTTTTTTTTAAAGATTTATTTATTTATTTATACAAGCACTGGGTACAGTCAGAAGCGCGGGAGGGTGAGAGAATTCACCAGAGCCAGATCGGGGAGCAGAGCAGGCAGAAGGACCGAAGTACACTGCTGAGGGGAGCAGCGGGCAGCAGGAGAGGTCTGCGCACCATGTGGGACCCTCCTCTGGTGGCCGGGGAGCAGCCAGGGATCGAACCGGCGCTGCAGAGGCTGCGGGCAGCTTCGCAACCCAGCACTCAACCGCTGCGCCTCCGGGGAGGCCCAGTTTCTGAATTTTTAATTATGTTTACAATATTCTAAACTACGTGAAAGTGGTATCTATCCTCAGATTTGTCTTTATGTGCCTCCTATTGTAGTACCTAGAAAAATATACAGCAAACTATGAAAGAAGACGGGGAAGGAGTTTAGAAAATAGGGTATGTTTACAGTACTGGTATTTACTATCACTTACTGTAATAAATTCCATTAAATCAGAATATTCTGGGTTATTTGGGTCAATCTTCGCTTCCTTTGCCCATTCAAGAAGTTTCTGTGCATTAGTGAGCCATGGGATTCCAGGAACACCTCTTGCATCTACATTTTTTAACACACTAGCATAAAGAAGGTATTTTGTTAGTTTGCATACAATATGAAGGTTACACATCTATTAATTCAGGATAAAACCTTCCCATTCCAGGTATTCAAAGATAAAACCTATCTAGCTCCTGCATTTAGGGTTAAACAGAAGGTTTGGATGTGCTATTTCTCTTGGTCCTTCACACATTCTAGCTTGCATCAAAGCTTTTTGATAAATGTCTACCTTCTCCCTTAAGAAACAGTCAGGTTTTTAAGGGTAAAGTCTGTAAATATTCATCTTCGCCATCTCCAGTCTGTGTAATGCTAAAAGAGTTCATAGAAAAATATTTTGTTGTTTTGTAGATGTTGAGGCAAATAGTGCTTATTGAATGTACTCTGTAAATTCTGAACATAATAATACCTTACTAAATATTTTCTTTTCATAGGATGCATAGTATTAACATTTAACCAAATGTTTACTTGAGAAAAATTAATAAAGGCCACAATATAAAAAGAATATTCAGGCTATATCTTTACATTTGAAATACAACATAGAATGATACAATTAAATGGAAAAAATGTGCCAGCGAATATCTTTGTTTGGTCATATGAGGCCGTTTTCAGAGGTTGGAGAACTATAAAAGACTAGACTCATGATGTATCATTAATTTACATAGCAATAGGCTAAGAGCAGGATGAATTTAACCATAAACAGTTAGGGTTTCTCTAAAGTCATTTACATTACTCTCTCATTTATAAACTCAGGTTGTGTGTGGTGCTTTGCTAAGGAGGCATCATTTTTCAAGCATAAAAGTTCATTACCTGCAGTAAGCAGACCTCAGTGTCTGAGACATAGGTGTCAGAGGGATACCATTTTCATCTAAGGCCCATGATAGAGAATAGCTTAGTTTTCCTGATGTCAAAAGACAAAGTTCTTCAGTTTCATTTCCCTCAAGAAGAAAAGGCACATCTGTTATGAAAAGTATTAAAGAGGTATTTTTAAGTGTGCAGTTGGAGTGCTGGTAGACACCCTGACTTGTACTTACGGAACCACAAGTCAGTTCTTTGCTGACCCCAAGCTCTAATCTTAGCATTTTGTTTCATCTCCCATCTAAGGCAGATTGCTTCAAACAGACTACAAAAGAGAGGAAAATAATGTTCTGGATACATAAAGATGAACTACTCTATTTCCTCTTGTATGACTATAAGTTTTTTAACTTTCATAATTTCATTCTTTTTTAGGAGAGTGGCTTCAGGCACAAAAGGACCACTGGTAGCAAGAAATGAGACAGGCAGGATTCCTAACTTTTTTCTTTCTCCCTGATTTCTTTCTCAATCTCCGAAGATCTTAACAATATCCCTTGCAACTTCTGTTGAGTTCTTAGTGTTCCCCTTTTTGAGCCCTGATGCTTTTCTCCCTGATGCTTTTCTTTCTGTCTGGCCTGTGCCCCAGCTCTTGCATAAATAAAATCCTTATTTTTCTGTTTTATCCTTTAAGCAGACATATTCTCTGTCCTTTCTCTCTCCTTTCCAGTTCATCTGTCTACTTCCTTTTCCTCCTGGCTGCTTCTGCAGTACTTCCTTCCTTTTGGACATAAGCCACTGCAAACTCCCCAGGAAGGTGAAAGAAAGAATGTGGAGATGCATGGCAGTTTTCTTTGAGGCATGCTAACAAAGTAGGTGTATAAGGAATAAAACCAACTGAAAAACAAGTGAACAGAGGGCCTCCCCAGTGGCGCAGCGGGTTGAGTGCAGAGCTGTGAAGCTGTCCACAGCCTCTGCAGCACTGGTTCTATCCCCAGATGGCCAGGGAGATACCCACATGGCACAGCAGACCTCTCCTGTCTTGCCCGCTGCTCCCACCCGTCTGCCTGTTCTGCTCCCTACTCTGTCTGTGGTGAATCCTCTCAACCTCCCACACCTCTGGCCTGTGCCCCAGCTCTTGTATAAATAAATCTTTAAAGAAAAACAAACAAACGAACAAAAAACCAAGTGAACAATTTATTTCCTTCTCTCTGCCTTTTTCTTTCTCCCTGCCCTTTTCAGTTTAAAGATGAAGCCATACATCCCTGAGCATCTGTAAGTCTCACGAAGGGACAGCCAGAGGCAGAACAGTCTGTCCACTGAGGGAAAGTTCCAAAGGCACAGTGCTCTTGTCTCAGACGACCTAGGAAAAGCACACAGGCTATTCCCAAAGGTCAGGTTCAGGGCAAAGATTTTAAAACTTCCGTTCAATATCTAAAGGGAGAATTTAACCTTTTAAAACCAAATACCATAAATATAGGATTCTTTATTAATGTAAGTGACCTAGAGTCATTTACTATATGGAACTCATAGAGAAAACGGGGGGTGGGGTGGTGGGAAGGGCCTCCCTGGTGGCACAAGAGGTTAAGTCTCAGCACTCTCAGGCTATGGGCAGCTACTGCAGCATGAGTTCGATCCCCAACCAGGGAGCTACCCACACGGTGCAGCAGACTTCTCCTGTCTCGCCCGCTGCTCCACTCAGTAGTGTATTTCAGTCAGTCTGCCTGTTCTGTTCCCCACTCTGTCTCTGGTGAATCCTCTTACCCCCTGCATCTCTGGCCTGTACCCCAGCTCTTGTATGCATAAATAAATACATCTTTTAAAAAAAGAAAGAAAAGAAAACGGGGGAAGAAACGTTTTTAACAAACTTACCACTTCCTACTTCTCCATATGCAGGTGTGACCATTTTATCAGAACTAAATTCTACGTATTCCAAAACAGTTTTGCTTTTCAGCTCTGCGTTGTTAGGTAAAGGTATATACAGTTTTGCCAGTAAGCTTGTACTTTTACTTATTTCATAAACCTATATATAAAAGAAATGATTGTTAGTTCACTGAAAGTACAAAATTTAAAAAAAAACAACTAAAATAAGTACGCCCAATAACATATTTTCATTCTTTTTTAAATACTAGAATATAAATAGGTATTGCTCTATAGATTTCATCCACATGATTATAAGTAGATAATCATATATCCTTAAAAGTATGCCTTTTACTAATTTCAAGGAAAATGAATTAAAAGGGTTATAAATATAGTTATGAAAATAAGGTATATTACAAAAATAACTAATTTTTGTGTAGCACTTTTAAAGTTCTTTTAAAGAACTTTTAAAAGTTCTTTGCCTCATTTGAACCTGGTAAAAATTATAGGAAATAGGTATTAGTCTTCCTATTTTATAAATACACTTGATGTTAGCCAAAACGCTGAGAAGCGATCTGTTTTATAAATAAAGAATTGGAGTCTTCATATAAAACTATATTAGTTTTTAATTATAAACAATGGAAACCCAGGTTGCATTGCTTAGGCAAAAGGGAAATTCATTGCCTCTGGAATGTAAGGGCAGATTAAACCAGCTATGAAGGGGGGGGGGGAAATTCCAGAAGGAGAACTAGAGGTGCTATGTAGATGGTTCCATAGACCTCTGGGTATTCTGATTCCATATGCTGTGCTTCCTACTACATCTCCACTACTCCTGTAATAACAAACCTAATTTTTTTTTTCCAAATAGAAAAATCTTATTTTGACCTATACTTTGTTGTCAGTGTTTGGAAAAATAATATGTGCTCTAAGAAGGAAGTCAAGGAGCGGTGTGGGAGATGTTCCCCTTGAAAAATAAAAATGAATGTGCCAATCAAAAGGATAGCTGATTAACCAAGAAAGCAGAGTACAAGGAAAATCAGGGCCTCCCTGGTGGTGCAAGGAGTTAAGATGCAACCTATGAAGCTATCGGCAGCCACTGCAGCGTGAATTCGATCCCCATCCAGAGAGCTACACACATGGCACAGCAGACCTCTCCTGACTCATCCGCTGCTCCCCTCAGCAGTGTATTTCAGTCAGTCTGCCTGTTCTGTTCCCCACTCTGTCTCTCGTGAATCCTCTCACCTTCCCATGCCTCTGAGCTGTACCCCAGTTCTTGTATGCATAAATAAATCAATCTTAAAAAAAAAAAAGGAAAATCAGAGACAAAGCTTTCTGATTATCTAAACTGGTCATATAAACACTGTCCCTGTAAGATTGAATTTAAGTCAATACAACAGTCTTTGGAGAAAGAAATCCCTAATGCAGAAAGATTTGAAGAGAGTATAGCTAATGGACTTAAAATACTCAGGTCAGTGAAAGAAATTTCTTACAGTGAATCAGTAAACTGGCTAAGAAGAGACAATGAAGTAATAAATATATTCAAAGATTAAACTAGTTTCTGATTCTACACATCAGCCTTGTGAATTTTAAAAAAGAGATGTATTCTCAGAGGACAGTCAAATCCAAATTTTCTGAAACTATAGGACTGGAGGCCAGATCCCGAGAGCCGCAACTGTAAAGGCAGAGAATGCCATCTGCCTCCCAGGAGACAGCCTTGTTCCTTGATGTAGTTACCAAAGCCACTGTGTTTCTGAGATGGAAGGCCAAGAATGACAATGGGCACTATAAATGGAGGAACTAGAATGTGCAAAAGGGCAAATGTAGGTAACTGCAAGGATGTGTAGTGAGAACAAGTAATTCAGTTTGGCAGAAGTGAAGAATGAGTAAGGAGTGGGAAGAGGTAAAGAAGAGATGCAGATTACCATCTGTTAAACTACGGCATGTAGGTTTATTTTGCAATTTTTGTAGCTGCTTATTGGTGTAATTTATCTCTAGCTAGATTCCTTTCTTTTCCTGCCACTTAGTTTTCTGAGTTATGTGCTAACTCATGGGATGATGAAGGATTCAAAATATGCATTTATCAATTAGGTAGGGGCAGATTTTAAATAGCAATCGTTGGATTATGATATGACTATTTTAGGTAGAATAGTAGGAAAGTATAATCAGTTTATTTTTTAAGTAGGCATTTCAAGAGAGGTACATATTAAGATGACAGGAAATTGATAGACCAGATGAACGAAATGAATACAACCTCTGATCAGGGATAGAACAAAATTCTTGTGGGCATTAAAGAGGTAATTCTGAATTACAGATTTGTCATTTTAATCCCTTTCCCACCTATCAGACACTACCTCATGCTCATAAACACAAATCTTTATTTCCTCTTAACTTTTCTTTCAGGTTTAGATTTAAGTTTAACCCCTGTACTAGCCATCAAGACATCTTGTCTAGATCCCATTACTTTCTAATTTTTCTCCACTGTCTTATTTTCTTCTTAATGTAGGGATTCTTATGCTGGGTTCTTGGGATAGGGGGTGGAGCCTGATGTGTATATGTTCTTGCATCAGGGTTTTAAAGGAACCCAAGATCCAAAAAAGATGGATACAGCAAGAGACTGAAACCTTGTCAGGGCTGAAGCAATTTGGAGAAATTGTTCAACATTTATGATAGTTACACTACTGTTTTAAACAGACCTCCCCTCCCCCACCGGCGTAGTCCTGCTGCATGTCAGGGTGGGCAGGGATTTTAACTGGTGAGAACAGATCTAGACCAACCTCACAGCAACTAATTGTACACTTACAGCATACATGGATATTGATGAATTATAAATATATATGAATTACCCAGATACATGTATAGATCAGTTATCTCTTCATATCAAAGAAATCACATGTCACATATAACAGTAGCCAAAAATAACTTTTAAATTATGCTATGGCACAAAATAAGATATGAAAATAAGTGACAATGGCATACCTCCAAGCAAATTGTTTCAGGCCAATGTATTAACTGAATATTGAAAATCTGCTGAAACATGACTTTAAAATCAGACTGTAGTGGAGACACTGAAGTGCAAGAGACCTGTTTATCATTGTATAATATTTTAATGAAGTATTTAAGCTTCTGAATTTTGGCTCTCCTCTTTTGTTCATGCCTAAAAATTAAATAAATCGTGAAAGTAGGCTTGAAGCAAAAAGAATATAAAACATTAGTTTTTTCAAAACGTACCTAAGCACATTAAAATATGATCATTTTAGAAAGCAAATGGCATCTTTAACTTCAATAACATTTTCCTATCTGTGAATAAAAGTTTCTATACAAATGTTTTTAAAGACGGATATTGACTCAAAAAGAGAAAAAGAACTAAAATCAAGAACTCTAAATCATTCAGTTATTTATTTTATGAAATTATAATTTAAAGAGATTACAGCACTTGTCCATCATGTTTTAGGAGAGCAGAAAACTGATGGTCATAAAATGAGAATAGAGGAAGCTGAATCAAGAATTCAAAAATATTTTTAAATTTACAAGAAACACACACAGAGAGCCTATTTTCAAATAACCTCATAGAGGTGACTCTTAGTCACTAGGCTTACTGTGTTCTATTAAAGGCCTTTGAAAATTCCTTTAGTCTTAAGTCGTATAACTTTTATGTCCAGGACATTTTTTTTTAATTCTGAACCCAAATATCGAAAAGGCAAACCAGGGCTTCTTGAAAAGATTTGTTGGGGGAATAAATTGGTCCTTCAGTGATATCAAACTCCTAGAGAGCCTTCATCCATCCACTCTACCAGTATTTATTGAATATCTTCTCAGCTACAAGGTAACTGACCTTAATAATGTTTAAGACTTGATCTTTTTCAGAAGGGAGAAGACAAAAACTTAAAATCCCTTCATGTTCTGTATCCTAGTTGATCAAGGGTCCAGTATCTTCCTGCCCCCTTCTCTACTACTTATCCATCTTCTCTCTAATGTTAGGGACAAAATTATTTAATCTTATCTCCCTATTGGCTTCTTCTGACTATCTTCCCTTTACCTTTAGAGAAATATCTTAGTCAAATTTGCCCTTTATGTTGCCTTTTGAAAGTTTAACAATGAGTTTCTGACCTGATTATAAAAATTCATTAATTCAGGAATCTATTTATTTTCAGGATGTCTTACCCTCTTTCACCTGTAAACTCTTTAAATCTTTTATAATATCTCTATTCCTTTCATCTTTATCCTTGACCTCAGTATATTATCCTTTTCTAGAGAAGTAAATCTTATTCAATAGGATGTTTTCTTTTTTTTTTCTCCCCCCACCACCATCCCTTAAGCCCTTTTGATTCTTCCTCCATTCCCCCTTCTTCTTATCCCAGATCTTTAGATATCCATACATTCCATAGACTATGCCTTCCCATCTGTTCAGGCTCCAGGGCACAGGTGATGGTAAAAGGGACAGGAAGGAGAGGACTGGGCAGTAGGGCCTCAAAAGGCTGCTTCCATGAGCATTAAGGGTTCACGCTTCCTATCATGCTGTAGCTGTGTGGTGGGAACCCACCCCAAGGCCAGCTCCGCAGTCAAAACACCTTGAACCATCTCATCCTAGCCTGGACCTCCACGTTATGGTAAAGTAGTATCTGCTCTGGGTGAGGACTGTTGTTGAGACGGCACCATCAGCCAGGAATCATTTCCTTTTCTGTACATTCTGAATCATTTCCTCTTCTTATCTTGGGGGCTTGTTCCTGTTGTAAAGATCCAGGTACTTCAAACCTGGAGCACATTGGTGAGCACATTCAGTTGTCTCAGTGTGGGCCTGGGTTGGGGTAAGGCAGGTGTTTTGTGTGTCACAGCCACAGGCTGCAAATAAGAACCTTCTCTGAGGAGATGCAGGTTCCAGTCTGGCTCTCCTCTCTGGTTTGGGCACCAACTATTCTCATTTGGGAGCCACAAACGTAAGCCAGTAATCACCCCTTGGTAATCACCTTACTCTTCTAGTGGTGCACCCTTTGTCTTGCATGCACCCCCTTCTCTGGCCTAGTGCCAACTTGTTTCAGTCCCTGATGTGAGGACATACCCTTAAGTTAACAACAGTGGAGGGACTTCATGCAGCAGCCACCCTTTCCCCTTGTGGTTGGACTGTCCTGTTATCACTTTAAACACATCATTTGGGGGTTGTTGACTATGCTTAGCTGTAATTTGGTTGTGAATAGGTGGAGGAGGTGAGCCCAGCATCTTCACTCTGCTACCGTCTTGCTGGACTCTCTCAAGTGGACATTTTAAATGGATAATGACAGTAACGCCACACTCTAGCAATAGCTCTGAAAAGATATGAAGTATATTTTCTTTGGCCTGAGTGGGACTAAGTTTCAGCTTAGGCTTTTCAGCACAAATTTCTTCTTTCTCTCCTCTTTATCTCAAACTTCCATGTTATGGTTCCTTTTCTCTCATATTCACCCAGGTGGCTCTTTAGTATTAGATCTGACATCATAAACTATCTCAAATCTTTAAAGAACATAGGGATAGGACCAATAAAGCATTCCTTCACTGCTGTACTTCTCTGGTGGCAAAAAAGACAGTGACAATTGTGTCGTTGTGTCTGCTACTCTTTATGTTCATTTAAAAATGTAACCATCTGTGCATTCATTTAATGAAATGAATATTTTGGAACACCTGCTATGTTCCAACACTGTGCTGAATGGTGCACATTCCCAATACTCAAAGTGAGAAGATATGATGTGTCCCATGATCTAGGTCAGGGCCCTAAGCTGTCATATCGTCTTCAAGGGTGATGAGATTCATAGGCTTAGTAGAGGGGAGCAGTGGCGGGTGGGGGTGCTGTACAACATCTGATTTGGCATGACTATTCTAGGAGTAGGGAGAAAACACTACAACTCAAGATGAAATCACAAATGAAAAGGAAAGAAGAGAGAACTTGAAGAAGTTCTCCCTGGTGGCGCAGCGGTTGAGCGCAGGGTTGCGAAGCTGCCCACAGCCACTGCAGCGCTGGTTCGATCCCCAGCTGCTCCCCGGCCACATGGCGCGCAGACCTCTCCTGCTGCCCGCTGCTCCCCTCAGCAGTGTGCTTCCATCCTTCTGCCTGCTCTGCTCCCTGCTCTGGCTCTGGTGAATTCTCCAACCCTCCCGCACTTCTGACTGTACCCAGTGCTTGTATAAATAAATAAATAAATCTTAAAAAAAAAAAAAAAAAAAGACAGAATACTGCTCAGAGGGCCCTCTGGGTACAGGACACTTTTTATGAAAGCAAGGGGGTCCCTTAGCAAACAAGGGTAACCACATAAACTTATTTTTTACAGTGGCTTTATATCCCACTTATCTACACATGGAAAAAAAATGATAAGCACAGCAAAGCAAAAAGTAACCGCCACATCAAACTGGTATTCTGTGTCACTGCAGCTTTAGAAGTGTGACCTTGGGTATCTAAACCTCCCATAAGCATAAAATCCCCCATGTCTAAGATGAGGATAATACAACTCCACAGAGTTATGGTGGCAGTTAAATGCACAAACACATATTGCAAAGTACTTAACAAAGTTCTGGGCATTTGGTACTCACTCAAGAACTACAATATTATTATTAACAACAGTGCAAGTAAGAGATAACATATCACAAAGAAATAATCCTTTAAAATGCTTACAGTGAACACATGCATATGTTTGTTAATTCTGCAGTAAAAGAAAGTTGTGGCATCAAGGTAATCGATTTTATTCTTTCAGTATCTGTTTCTTCAAGTTCTGAAGCTAGAGAAGAGAGCCTCTAGAAACCCAAAAATGTAAAGATATAATTAATTACATAAGTTCATGGCTTAGGACAGTTGTTCTTAAAATTAAACTTATCTCCTATACTTGTCATTTTGCTAGGTAACTGGTACAAATACCAACATTTCCTGATCTACCAAACACAAGATACCATTTATTTAGGGTGTACTGGTCATGGTGAGGTGGGTGTTATTTTGTAGTGTAAATACCTCCTGTTTTTCCCCATTCTGAGATGTTTTTCCTTTAGTTTTCTTCTCAGTCTCAGACATTCCCGACAGTTCTTCTTGTTTTTGTTCATCACATTTACTCGTTTTTATCCTAATTAATAATGAATCTAGTTACTTAAAGCAGAAACAATGGAAGTATTCCAGAGTTGCTAGAGGTCTTGCCAGCACACACACAACTAATCTCTTACAACAAATAATTTGATATCCCAAGAATATTATCAATGTGATAACTTAGACTGTTCATATTAAAAAACTTCATAAGCTTGTTCTCAGTTTTCTCCCTAGTAAGTAAAACTACCATTCTTATTTATAGTCCTTTCTAAGGGCATCAGAAACCTTGTCAGTGGGATAAAAGAGATATATTTAAGGACACACTATGCTTCCTCTCACTTTTCTTCTTCTCAATTTTTTTTAAGATTTATTTATTGGGCCTCCCTGGTGGCACAGGTGGTTGAGCACAGCGCTGTGAAGCAGCCTCTTCAGTGCTGGTTTGATCTCCGCCGGCCGCAGAGCAACCCACAGCAGGGCAGACCTCTCCTGTCTCTCCCGCTGCTCCCCTCAGCAGTGTATTTCAGTCAGTCTGCCTGTTCTGTTTCCTGCTCTGTCTCTGGTGAATCTTCTCACACTCCCGCACATCTGGCTTGTGCCCTTGTTCTTGTATAAAGAAATAAATCTTTAAAAAAAAAGATTTATTTATTTATGCATACAGAGCCGGGGTACAGGACAGAGGTGTGTGTGTGGGATGAGAGGATTCACCAGAGACAGAGTGGGGAACAGAATAGGCAGATTGACTGAGTACACTACTGAGGGGAGTCAGGAGAGGTCTGCTGCGCCATGTGGGTTGCTCCCTAGCTGGCTAGGGACCAAATTCATACTGCAGGGGCTGCGAACAGCTTCATAGGTTGTGTCTTAACCCCTTGTGCCACCAGGTAGGCCCCTTCCTCTCAATTTTTTTTAAGCTGTGAGAACACTACCATGTTTAAGGGCAGGCGACCATAGTGGTATTAAATGGTAAACACTCCTTGTGTTTATAAACAGTGAGCAGTTCACGACATTGCTACTGCTCTTACTGCCTCTATACTAGTTAACTCACACAGTACATACTAAGTACATGTCTGACAGTATTCTAGATACTTGACTAAAAAGAAAAAAGAAAAACTCCAATGAAGTAGGTACTATTAGTATTTCTCTTTATTAGTAGTTCAACAAAACCCAGGCTATCTAGAAACTTTTCAGAAAATAGTTGGTCTTGGAGTTGACTTTTCCTGAGAGTTTAGGAGTATATTTGTTTTAGTACAAAGTTTTCATCTTTTCATGAGGAGATTGAGAAAATATTGTATGCTTTGTTGGGAACGTAAAAGAGCATAGATTCTTTGGAAACAGGCTGGAAGATTCCTTAAAATGTTAAGCAGAGTCACCACATGACCCAGCAATTCCACTTCTGTGTATATACTTGAGAGATGAAAACTTATCTATCCATGTGAGGAGAGACCACTAATAGGAAGATGTGTCCGTGGCAGGGGCAGGGGTGGCCATATGTTACAAGTTGTTTTTTTATGCAGTGATGGTTGCACAACTCTATAAACACACTGACAACCATTGGATTGTACACTTTCAATAGCTAAACTGTACAGTATGTGAATGGTATGTCATTAGAGTGGTGGGCAGTTCTTCAGGAGGGCAATAAGAACAAAAAAAGCAGCTACTCACCTCTGAAACTGTAACTTTATTGGGGTGCTTGTAAACCCTTGTTGTTGTCGAAGGGATTTTATCTGTTTCCAAGCCCGCAATATACTGTGTATTAAGGATAAGTCCTTTTCCCTTTCTAAGTCATAGAGATGTTTTGTATTACTACAGTAATAACAAAATGGTAGATCAAAATTATTTTTGTGAATTAAAATTGTAGGTTTAAAGAATAGCCTGTAAGAATGTATTGCACTAACTCTTGTCTCCTGCCCCCACTTATGAATTTTTTCCATTTTCTCCATATCTTGATGTAAAGACTAAAATTCCATTTAGTGATTCATTTCTTTATGACTAAAAGATTTTTCTCTTCCAAAGTGCCCTCCTAATATGCATTTTTCTGGTTTTGTGTAGGGTATTTATGACACTTTTCATCAGATTAACAATTAGAATCTGCATCAAAATTAGAGGAACTTTGGTGGAGCAGTGAGTCTATTATTTTGATACTGAAGTGATATAAGTAATTTTAATACACTTAACAAAGCTATCTGGAAGCTTAAAAAGCTCTTCTTTTAGGGGTTATAGTTAAAATCCAAGTCCTTGACTTATCAAGGTCTAGTATTAAGCCTTACCATTAGTCTCATATTGATCAGTGTATTTTTAACTATATTTACTCTCTTCTGATCTTTACTACATTCTGAAATTTTATATTTTCACTCTATATTTTTAAATCCCACAAGACATACATCATTACATAATTGTTCATTGAGGTTTATCTATGTATTTACAATTTTTTTTTGCTCTTTGATTCATCCTGATTCATTTTTTTATCATTCATCATTTAAAAAAATTCTATTAAAGACATTATTTTTGTATTGTAAGCACATATTCCTTAGAAATTCATATCAGTGGAAAATCTCTATACTAGGGTTAGAGTTATGCTCTTCTGGAAAAAATATTCATTGGTTTTGCCAGTTGTCTGGTGTCAATACCTATCAGGGCTATTTTAAATTAAATTACAAACCTGAGATTTTAGACCACATTGGTAGTGTAAATTCAGGTCATAAATCTATGAGAATGCTGGCTTGAGATGATTTTTCCCTTTCTTCCCAGCGTCAAGGACAAAGATAGTTTCTCTGTCATCCGCTTTTCAGCCTCCCTTTCAGGTGATTTAACATCCATTTCAAATGTCCACAGACTACCTTTTGCAACATTTGAACACAGTCCTGAGAGTTTTCCTGAATGAGTCTCTCTCACATTGCCTTCTGTAACATTAACAAAAACCTCCTCAGCGACCCTCCTGTAGATACAAACCCTCACACTTAGACCCCATTTAAAGCCCTATTTTTTTCCTTTCATTAAAGTTCATTTGTTCTGTGCTCATTATGCCAATACCTTTTCTTTGCCTTCAACTTTAATCTTAAAATAACACTTATTGTTTTGTAATTACTAATGACTTCACTTATTTACTCATTGAACTAATATCTATTGACTGCTCACTATGTGTCAGGTTTTACGCAAGCTATATGTCAACCTTCTAAGGTAACATTGCTTTTCTTTAATTAGGTTGTTCTAGGAAACCAATGATTTAAATCAACTGTTGCCTCTAGTGGCTGAGAGTCTGATCAGTGAGCTGGGAGTCAGGGTATTTAACTATAAAATCAGTCTCATATATAGATAATTATTTTATCTTTATGCACATTTGAACTTTCTACTCCATAAGTACCACCCCATGAGCTATCTTGCTTTTGGGGATTCCTTTACACATAATTATGTTTTATCTTGGAATTTTCTTTCCTGTTATTTCGTATTTTCCAAATTTCTCTTTCCAACTAGTTTATAAGTCAATAGTTCCTAACTTGTAGACCATGTTCTTTTACAGGGGTAGCATATATCTGCTCTCTGAGTGTAGTTTTCAGGCTCAATTAATATTATATCTTGCACATATGTATATATGTATTAATCTAAAATATATATAAACACTTAAGAACAATAGAATTCAAGTCAATTGAAAAGTAATTAGTAAACAGAGTAGTTTTTAACCATGTCTTTGTTTTAAAATCAATAGATATTTTTAAATTGAAAAACTCCAAGACTATGTCAAGTGATAGATACTTTTACTGGGAGACATAAAAGAACTCAACAAGTAAAGACCTACTATATTCCTAGATGAGCAAATCCAGTTTCTATAAAGCTAACTTACCTTATGTGCAATTCTGTGAAATATTTTTTTACAAAAGTGGGTTATAAGGACTTTTTACAAAAGTGGGTTATTCCTATAACTTGCTAAACAATGGGTATCTTGTCTTTTTGTATTTTATATCTTCCATTACAAGTGCATTACTTTGTCAAAAGAAGTAACTTAACACAAGTGCTTGATGAATGAATGGCCACAAACCTACCTTATCTGCCAGTAATAATCCTGTAAAGATTTTCTGGTCAACTGGTTCATTTCCAAACTTTCATTTGCTAATTTGGTAGTGTCTATCAGTGCTTTAAGCTACAACAAAGAAAATATTTCTTTTGGTACATTTCATCTATCTGTTACCATCACCTCAATTCACTTGTGGGTTTAGGTGTGTGCTGCGACAGCATGAGTGTGTGACTTTTTTTTAAAGAGGCATATATTATTTATTTGTTTGTTTGTTTATACATGCACTGGGTACAGTCAGAAGCGCGGGAGAGTGAGAGAATTCACCAGAGCCAGAGCAGGGAGCAGAGCAGGCAGAAGGATGGAAGTACACTGCTGAGGGGAGTAGCGGGCGGCAGGAGAGGTCTGCGCGCCATGTGGGACCCTCCTCCGGTGGCCGGGGAGCAGCCGGGGATCGAACCGGCACCGCAGAGGCCGCGGGCAGCTTCGCAACCCAGCGCTCAACCGCTGCGCCACCGGGGAGGCCCGAGTGTGTGGCTTTTTGTGTATAATTGTCTTATATCCCAAATTATAGTCAATACAAACAACTTGGGACAGAACTGAGAAGAACCTAATATATGTACACAATAACATTTTATCTTGAAACTTCTAGGTAATCAGTTCATCAATTAATACAGAGAAATGTCAATTGATGAAGATGGTAGATTGAGCATAGGAATGCACTTTATCTTCTACCTAAAACTTCATGGTTACAGAACTATCTGGTTATCTGTCTTCATCCATACCACTTGCCATCATCAAATCCCTATTTCTCTATATGTATTTAAAAGTATATCTACATCTATATCTCTATAAAATTATGAAAACATAACATAGCAAAACAAGAAAATATAAAATCAGGAGAACAAGATAATGAGGAAGGTATAAAACAAAGAGAAATATCCTCAGAGAAAAAACTGGAGGTAACTATATTATAAAGTATGTGCAAGAGAGACCTATCATAGTTATAGGGACAGGTTGTGGGAACATCAAGAGTAGAGTCAAGTGATAGATACTTTTACTGGGAGACATAAAAGAACTCAAAAAGTAAAGCCCTACTATATTCCTGGATGAGAAAATCCACTTTCTATAAAGGTAAAATTTATCTCAAACTAGAATCCAATCTCAATAAAAAATGGTAATACGATTGAAAAAAAGAAGCTATCAAGCTAATTCTGATACTAATATGGAAGATCAAAACTATAAGAGCATCCAAAAACATTCTAGAAGTAAACAATAAGGAGGCATTTGTCCTACATAATTTAATGATTAAATATAGTAATTTACCACACCAAATACATCTGAAAATGTGTGTGAACCTGTACTCCTAAAACATGTAATGGTGTAAACCAATGTCACCTCATTTAAAAAAAAAAAAAAAAACCACAGGAATGAAAACAGCAGGAACCAGGGCTAAGGTTAGCCAAGAAACTGAAAATGATGAGCAAATTCACTAGTAATTGGTGAGGTTAATGTCCCGAAGACATTTACCTTAAAAGAGCAATAATTTGTACATTTTACATGCCTCAGAAGACAACAGAAATGTAATCTTGGAAAAACAAATAAATATAGTTATTTAAATAAGATCAGACTAGACCAACATGTCAATAATTGACAGCCATTGAGAAAATTCCTATAAATATGTGAAGCTGGTTTAGGATAAAAGCAGAATTTTAAATCAGTAAAATATTACTCTTTGTAATCATTTCAGATACTCCTCTTGAGCCACAGGATGAAGGTCACCACTGGTTAGTAAAACACTTACAAGCATTAAATAACTTGCAGGATACGTTTGGGGCTGCCTTTGGCTAGCTTCTATAGTTTCTTTCCAGAAATACTGAGATACACCATTGTTCTAATTGGTTAAATATTTAAATAAACATAAAAAATGTTCTATGATAACTTGCTCGGTACTAAGCATTTTGTTTTCCCTTTCAATATTAAGCATTCAACTCTATAAATGTCATGAAAGCCACTCACCTTCTCGTAAAGCAGCTGAGGCAAATTCTGTTGCTGCCTGTCCTGAAAACCCTCATAAAGTTGGAGCAGCCTAGCACATAACACTTGCTCTTGATTGAAGAGAGGATGATGGCTGAATTGCAAACCCACAATATTGAGATCTAATTGGTACATCTCCCTTTGACCTTCCATTTTGCTCCTAGCAGAAGCTTCTGTATTAGACTTCACTGCCTATTAAAGACAAATATAAATACAATGTTCAATTCATTTGTTTCTTTTTAAACTACAAATAATATTGCCTTATAATACATGTTAGCTGTTGGAAAATTAAAATTTTGTCTTTCTTCATTGACATTATGGCCTTAATTTCATAAAATAGATAGCATTTTAGTCATATTGCTATAAATTATTTTCATCTACCTTATTATTATGTGCTGGTAGAAGTTGATTTTCAAATTTTATAAGTCCTAAAATAATTTCCTATAAGAACATCATGACAAATGGTGTTAAAAATGACTAGATCAGTATTTCAACTACACAAAAACTTAGCAGTCATGGGTAGGTCAGTTAAATGGGAAATATTTATTAAAACATCGTCCCAAGAGAATATGCTGGTCATCTCTGGAAAATCCCTTGAGGAACCGAGACCTCTAAGCAAATGCTACCTCATTTATAAAGGAGGCTGTCTCTGTTTCTACATGGACTATCTCCCTTTGGATCCTGCATTGCCCCTAAATTAGTTCAAGTCTGTAGGTTTTAGATTTTTCTGCAAAGTAATTCGACTATATTTTAGTGTACTACTTTGAGTTAAGTGCATATTTGAATAGGAACATGATCTGTTTTCTTTTATAATTAAAGACTGAACTGCTTATTTGGAATGACATATTTTTGCCTTACACAGCAGGTAATGAAAGGGAACACGTATGTATACACATTGTTATCCATAAATGATGCATGATTAGTTTTTAGTGATATAGTTAAAGATGGTTAGTTACTTAGCATGTGCAGCCTAATTCATGAATGCCCAGCAACTCCCATGACTGTATCCACCCAGAAAGGGAAGCATGAACCCTCTCTCTGAGCAGGAGAGCCTAACAGTCCATGTCCTTCCACATGTGCCACTGCTCTTACACCTGCTGTCACACTGAAAAAAAAATGCTGTCTCACTTCTGGCTATCAAGGACTGGATGTCACAGTATGATACTGTCTCCCCACTTTCTCTTAAGCTAGGAATCTTACCCCTTTGTTCTTATTGGATTGGGGAGGTGGGGAGGCAAGAGAACAGCCATAAAGCTTGTTTTTATTTTATCTCATAAGTCATTTTCTAAGGAAGGGTCAACTAGAGGGGGAAGCCTGCTCTGGAGTTCCCTTATAAGATTTAGTTAATTGGTGCTAAAATGGTCATTAGCCAGGTAAAAACACCAAGGAGACAAAATCGTCTCAGTTTTAAACAAACAAAATTATAATTTTGGAAATTAAAGTGCCTTAGCTAGAGAGGTCTATCTTGTTAAGTAAATTCAGCTAGTAAATCTGGTTGGATGGCTGTGTGCTTACTTGCTTTGGGGTTTTATTGGGGCGACGAAGCCTCTGTCCTTGGTCTTACTCTATTCAATACCTACTGGCTGTGGTGCTCAGAAGCTAGGGGGGGTAACTAAGACGGTGGAACATCTAACAACAGTCAAAGAAAGTGTGTTTAGACTGGAGAGGAATAAACAGAAAGATATTCTGTGCTCATGGACTGGAGGAATTGCTATTGCTAAAATGTTCATACTACCCAAAACTGAATCTGAAACTACAGATTCACCTGCAACTCCTATCAAAATTTCAGCAGCATTATTTCCCCACAACAATCTTAAGTGACCACAGAGATTAAGCAAAGAGAATATATGGGAAAATTTGTGAAACTAATACTGTTAACAAATTTCAGGAATCCAGCCACTGTATATTTTGACACTAAATAGAACAACATAGTTCTGTGAAGTTATTAGAAAAGTTATCTGAAAACAAGTCTTTCTCCTAAAAGCTCAGGAAAACTAAATTAATATAAAAATAAGTAGCAGAAAAAGCTCAAGCTTAAATCTATATAAAGTTTCTAAAATACAATGATAAAGAGTATAACCATGTCCATACATTCAAACCTAAAAGACTTCCAAAAACGGATAAAAATAAAAACATGGTTTTCAAAATGAGCTAAAAGACATAAAAAAACATAAATCAGAATTAGAAAAACTCAGAAATGAAGTGACAGAATTAAAAATTAAAAAAATATTTTTGAAGTTAAGCCTAAACTAGAAGGAAGACAATAGCAAAGAAACATCATTTCTTAAGCTTAAAAAAGGAGATTTTTTTTGAATTAAAAAAGGAAGAAAATAATTCACTGGATGAATTTAATAGAAGATTAAATATAATAGATTAACATAAGTTATAATAGATATGATAAAGAATTCTAATCACAAGCACAAATAAACTGTTACTGTTTACCTTCCTGTATGTGATCTTCAGTGCAGGATTTAAAGACTCTTTGCTCATATTTAGTCTGAAATTCCATGACTGCCTAATAGGCGAAGGTAATGACATTATTTCTCCACTTTCTTCAAACCAACACTTTCCCTGTTACGAATATTTAAGTACAGAAATTAAACATTTCACTAAAACAAGTGTCATATACTATCAGTGAGTGGTTTAACTTGTGAATTGATGCACTTGCCTCTTTTAGTTTAAGCAGGCGATTTTCCATTTTGTTGCAGGCCTTTTTATATATTTCCAGTTTTCTCTGAATATAGAATCCTTCATCTTCTAAAATGCGTGGCATCCTATCTTTTGGCAGTTTACGCTGATGGAGCACTTAATAACAAAACAAAGATATTGCTTTAAAGTCCAAAACATTAAACTGATATTAACCAAACAGGAAGCAAAGGGGGCTTACACAAGGGTATAAGAACACACACACAGACACACACAAACACACACACACAGTGAGTTCTTTTACCCAATTCCCTTGAATTCAGAGAAAGCATGAAGAACACATATAGAAAACCTTCTGTAATTTCAGATGAGTACTTTTATATCTATCCAGCAATATGAAAGCAATTATCTTATAATATAATTCATGAATGACTTGTATTTTTGTCATAAAAGAACTTTACCTGGAGAACTACTTGGCTCAAAAATATTTGCTTGCTGGTTTTTAACTTGTTCTTGATCATCTGCATATTCAGCGGCTTTTACTTCAACTAAATCTGGAAAGATAACTTCTTTTATAAAATCTTCATTTTGGCCCTCAGTAAAATTTTGTAAATCATCACCAAGTGAAAAATGTTTGGAGTAGTTGTCATTTACTGATCTCTGTTGAACCAGAAAGAAAAGTAAGTATATACATGCTTGTTTCCAATGATTAATATGCAGACAAATGAAATGTTGGGGGCGGGGAACAAGGGATGGGGGTGGGGGGACCTTGCTGTGAATTGTCTTTCCAATTATCAAGTTCAAGCTGAAATCACAATCAAATGTTACTAAACATACAGGGATTGATTTAAGGCTTAATATTAGCCAATATGATTTTTTCAGTAGCCCTTCTTTGTAATTCTCAATGAAAGACTACTGAAGTAGAACGATAATTCAAGCATCCCTCTTCTATTGAAGATGTCCTGAGATACTAGACTATGATGTTTCAGGTACTGAGAACACACTATAGGGCAAAGTCTAGAGACAACAGGCCATGTGGCCAGAAAGCTCGTTTCATTTCACCGTTCAGAAAGCAGTACCACCTTACTGATGTGAGCAGTCACGCTGTTTTCTGGATGGTATTTAAGAAAAAAAAAGTAAAAATTCAACACAGAACTCATCTCTGGCAGGGTGATTACAGTGAAATTCTGAAATACAATATATCAATATATAAAAGTTACAGTCTGAACATAGGTGTTGAAATAGATACATTAGTAAATACAAGATGCAGACTTTACATCCTGATGAGGAATATTATTGCATCTTTTCACCAAAAGTCACCAATTTGTTTTGTACTTTACTTATCTAATTTAAAATACACATACATTGAAAGAGGGGAGCAAATAAAAATCTCTCAATTTTCAAAACATATACTTAGAAGTAAATAATTAAGTAAAAAGAGCCACAGAATTCCTTCAAATAGAGAGAGTGTTATCAAGCACAGTATCATTAATTATGTGTCATTTGAACTGAGGAATGGGGGTGCTGGGGGCAGGAGAAGGGAGCAGGGCAAGAACAAAGTGTGGAGCGAGCACACTGGACAACTGTGCTGGACTGTGGGTGCTGTGGTGGTGGGTGCGCTATGGTAATGACATCCAAAGGGGGAGCCTGTACTTCTGAAATATAAACAACAAAGGAAACCAGCATCACCTCAATACACACACACAAAAAGGAATGGAGGATCTGTAGCAAGTAGCAGGGGTTATGGGGAGCAATGCAAGGCACGTAGAGAGGACAGGACACAAAAAGAAAAAAAAAAACACAGGCGTTGTAGCTAGCAGCCCATCAGTGCTCAGCCCTCTGCGCCTAGGTGGCAAGAGTGCTGTATCCCGGGGGGGTCTCCTGAGGACTGAATGGTACAATCTATATTAAAATGTATGTGATTGAGGGCCTCCCCGGTGGCGCAGTGGTTGAGCGCTGGGTTGCGAAACTGCCCGCAGCCTCTGCAGCACCGGTTTGATCCCCGGCCACCAGGCGAGGGTCCCACATGGCTTGCAAACCTCTCCTGCCACCCGCTGCTCCCCTCAGCAGTGTACTTCGGTCCTTCTGCCTGCTCTGCTCCCCGCTCTGGCTCTGGTGAATTCTCTCACCCTCCTGCACTTCTGGCTGTACCCAGTGCTTGTATAAATAAATAAATAAATCTTTTAAAAAATAAAATAAAACCAATAAATTAATTTATTAATTAATTTAAAAAATGTATGTGATTGGGCATCCAGTTGGCACTCAGGAAATATTAGGAATTATTATCATCAACAGTTTCTCAGTTCAAAAAGAAAGTGATAAAATTTATCTCCTATCCTAGTATTTCACTGTATGCCTTTAATAAAGAATTCTTTCTCCTGGGAATGAGGAAGGGGATCAATTCCAACCTGCTCTGAAGATTGGCCCAGAGCAGAGCCTTCTTCACCACTCAGAATGAAAAACGAAAGACCTTCATCCAGTATGACTTCTGGCTGTGGGTTAAATGGTGGTAAATCAGTACCATGATGAAATGAATACATTTTCTGCTTATAAGTGAAATACTTTTTTTTTAATATGGTAAATGGCAACTTTTATCTTATTTGCAAATAAGGAGCAGCAGGGGAGACAATGTGAAGTTATATTTAACTTTGAGTCTGGTCAGTTTCTGTTTGTTTTTGGTCTTGCTCTTTGTTTTGTAGTGTTTTTAAGATTCTGAGAACCGTGATACTACTAAAAAAAAAAGAGTCCAAACTATCTCCCTTTCCCTAAACTGTAACTTCCCTCTATTTAGAGTATTACCTTACAGTTTAATCAAAAGGTGGGCTCAGGGCAAACTTATTTTTTCCAGCCCTGTTTTCAGGGGTTCCCATCTAACTGTGTACTCACACACAAGCAACACCCCAGTGCACCTATGAGCTTTTATGGAGTTAGAGGGAATTAAGAGAATTAAAAGTAGCATACTCTCAGTTACAAACTCATTGAAAAATAAACTTGCATTTTTAATATGGTAAATTCTGAATCTTTTAAAAGCAGATGGCCATCACGTCCTCCTCAAACACAAATTAGGGAGGGATGAGCTCTACAATAACAACACTCACAACTACTAGGCCACAAGGCTTTTTCAGTGTGTGAAATAAAAGGCTTATCTTACATATCATTTATGTCTATGTTTGTTGTCACATTAACCAGCAAATATACTCACCTTGCAGCAATGCTGTATATTTAAATAGTCGGTATATACTTTTATGTCCCTTTATCCCCACTCACTGCAAAACCACTTACTAAAAATCCTTAACTTTCTGAAAAGATATCCTTTTCTCAGTAGTTGGCATGGAGATCCCTAGCAGCCAATTTCTCTTCCTTTTCATCTCTTTTCTTGATAAGCAGTGGACTCATCTTGAAAAATTTCCAAGTTTTTACTACTCATACATCTTTTTTTTAAAGCCTACTTTTACTTTTAAATTCAATTAAGATAAGTTTTTCAAATCCCCCAAGAAGGGTACTGTGGAGGAGGAGACAAGATGAGTTTAAAAAGAAAACAAAACAATCCTTGTATTTAAATAACTATAGAGTTAAATACTTTAATCGCTTATGGAAGAAATGACTAGTTGTTCACTATTGCTTTTTTCCCATCTCCAATACGGCCATCTATGTTACCTGGATACTTAGACATTTTCCCCATGTTCCTTTAATGGAACTAACATGTGCAACTTGCAGGTTTTATCCTCTAAGACACCAATCTCTAACCCTCTGGGTCTTTCTTTCCTTAAGCCAATAAACATAGACACTGAGGCTTTGCCATGAACTCAGAAAGAGACCCTGTGTTGAAGAGGGCAGGATTCTCCCTGCAAGATGGATTATTCATCTGTTAGATTAGAGAGAAATAAGGCTTCCAGCTTAAGACATTTACTTTGAATCTTTTTGTGAAAGCTGTTTAGACTTTATTCTAAATAACAGTTTCCCCCAAACATGAATTATTTTGTCTCTTAAAGTTTCAAATATGCTACTAAACATTTAGTTTTAGAAAAATCTATACACTGGGGAGCATCTATAATACTTCATTATAATTTTTAGATAAGTAACAATATCAAGTAGGGACAGGAATGACTGCAAATTGGCATGGGAGATCTTTTGGGAGTGACAAAAAATAGTGTAAAGTTGGATTATAGTGTTGATTGTATAACTGTAAGTTTACTAAAAGGTCATTGACACATAAACTTAAGTTGGATAAACATTTGCTATGTAGAATATATTTCGATAAAGCTGTTTTAAAAAGTAGAATAACAGTTACTCACCTTAGACCTCTGAGATAGCTTATCACTGAACACCTCAGTTGAAGATTTCTCATCTTGATTAATCTGAAACACAATATAAATAAATGATATTGAAAACTGAATTTTCACATATACCTACATAATAGTGCTCATAAGACTTTTATCCAAAATAAAAAGTAAAAATGCCTAATGATAGAAAATTGGGTCAAGAAGATGGGGTAGATCCATAGTATGGAGTACTATACAGTCATAAGGAAAGATGAAATGCTGCCATTTAAAGCAAAATGGGAGGAATTCAAGGGAATTATATGTAGTAAAATGAGTTAGAATGACAGAGACAAATATTGGAAATTTACATAGTATATGGTTCAACAAAGAAAAACACTTATAAAAACTGTTAGACAGTGGGTATCCCTAGTGGCGCAGGGGGTTAAGACACAAGCTATGAAGCTATCCACAGCCACTGCAGCACGAGTTCAATCCCCAGCCAGACAGTTACCTACATGGCACAGCAGACTTCTCCTGACTCGCCCGCTGCTCCCCTCAGCAGTGTATTTCAGTCAATCTGCCTGTTCTGTTCCCCGCTCTGTCTCTGGTGAATCCTCTCACCCTCCACATCTCTGGCCTGTACCCCATTGTATGCATAAATAAATGAATCTTTTAAAAAAAGCTATTAGACAGTAATGAATGAAGTTATTTCTCAGGTTAAAAGGGAGGAGAGAAGGAGAAAGAGTCAAGGGGATATAAGAGATGGTGGTAGGGGAGTAAGGAAAGAAGCGAAGAGGGGAAAAGAAAGCAACTGACATCTTTTAACCCTGTACCTCAGGTTTTGTGCTTTCAAGGCTCCTGTGAGGAGATAAAGCATTCACAATATACAAACCTCACTTTGTGTTTATATAAACATAAAGCTTATTTTGTGAGATTGTGGTTGATTGATATCCTTTGGTTGATTGATATTCTTCAGAATGCCAATGAAACAAGAATTAATCATGCAGAACTTGCCAATTATTGTCTCTGCATTTGAAGTCAATGATTTATTGAATTTATGGCTGTTTATAAATGAATATGTGACTACAATTAAATTAAAATGGAAAAAAATTAATAATTCTTCATGTTTTTCTTTTACAAAGTACATACATATTTTCCCCTGAGATGTCATATACAGTTACCAGGACCAATCTCTTCATTCTTCTTGGTTTTTGTTTTGAGGCTATAGGGCTCTTATGAGACAAGTGCAAGAAGGGATGGAAAAAAAAACCTTCAAGTATTTTATTCAAGATTGAATTTTTGGTTATTTTTTTACAAGGAAAATTTTATTATTATATATTTAAACAATAAGTTTAAAAAGAAAAAAGAAAAAAGAAGCATTACCTTAGCATTTTTTAGTTTGTCTCTCACTTTGCCCCTCAAAGTTTCTTTTATACTTTGTTTTTCTTTTGCACCTAAATCAATCAAGAAGCCAATATAATGTAGAGTTCATGACACTTTCTGATAACATAATTAAGTAGCAACAGCAGCAAAAATAACTATTAAATAACTAAACCACATGCCCCTCTGAGATCACGACAATTACAAAGACTGCTTCATTACCCCATGATAGCTTGGACCCTAAAAAAAAAAGACCAATAATGTCCTTTTCACCATTACCAGTTGGAATAAAAACTCTCATGAATGGTCAGGACTAAATTTTGTTTCCCTGCATCCTCAGTTATTAGCTCAAATCCTTCTTTATGTCTGTAGTGAGGCTAAAGGATACAGAATATACAAAATATACAAATATCAAAGCCTATTACTTCAACTTGATTCAAGAAACCTGAAAGAAGAGAATGTACCTAGATATCCATTTTAACTCATGTCAGTTTTATAAACTCAGTATAATTCTGCCAACCCCCTACTTCTGTCAGTTCTGAGAGGAAATGAAATGGCAATACAGGGTATAAAGAAGGCTCTAGCTGTGGTGTGCTGTCCAAAACTCTTACTATTTTCTGTTCCTCTGTCAGATGATCTACTAGACAGATCGAGAAAGAAAAGGACTGTTCGGTTATAGGTACAATAGAAAATGGCGGACATACTGGTCATTTTGTCTTGGATTTTTCTTTCTCTTCTTCCTATATTTGAGTTGCATAGAAAATAAAATGACAGAAACAAAGGATAAAGCATAAAGTCAAATCAGTACACGTCATGAGACTCTTCATTCCTAACTGCAATTGTCCTTGGTATAACTTAAAAATTACTATTTGGTTGGTCTATACGCTATTCCCAGAACTTAGAATGGCAGGTGGCACATAGTAGGTACTCAATAAGTACTCACTGAATGACTAAGTCAGGACTCAATCATAATTTATGCATTTTTCTCCCTGATATCTGAAGCTTCCTGAAACAAGTTCTATGTCTATATATTTATGACATAATACAGCCTCAAGCACACTAGTAGATTCTCCATGCTTCAGAGAGAAAGAGACAAAGATAGACCAAAACATTACATGCACTGACTTATGTATTTCCTAATGACCATTTTGTATAATTTAGGAAGTTTAGCTTTTGTTTGAACTCATTCCTTAAGTAGCTTGTGTTCCCATATGAAACCCAAGGACAAGGTTAGTTATTCAACATCATTTAGAAATAAAAAAACAGTATCAGTGTTGTTATATACTTATTGAGAACCTTTTTGGAGATGACTGTCTAAATTTTCTTCTACTGCAGTGTTATCTCCCTCTTCCGACATCTGAAAAAAAAATTTGTTTTAGCACTAAACATCTTTTCATGTCTCCTTTAAAATGCCAATTTATAGCCTTTGCCTGTTTTTTGAAATTTTGCCTTTAGTCAATCAATGAGTTCCTTTTATATAGCAGATTTTTAAATTAAGAAATTCCTCTCTGTAATTATGTGTCATATAAATGATAGAAATTGCTCTCTGTATCATTGAAAGCACCATTTAATGATGAAATCCAATGGTTACATATTGCCTACTTCATATACCCTTTAGGAAGGTCAAATGAGGCATATGAAAATATTTCAAAACTCAACATCACATCACTGTCAGCTATTGCTTAATTGATTCTGTACTATCTGATAATGTTGGGCACCTTTATTTTATGAAGACTTTCTAAATCCTTGTCCTCTACCCTTCTACCACTCATCATGTATTCTCCCTTCAATGACCATACTTCTCCCAATAGCCTAAATGTTGGCACATCCCAAGGCTTTGAAGACAGACCAAATCTGTCTCCATATTTGACTGCTCTCCTGAATACACTATATCTGGCTGCCTACTGGTATTGCTAATTGAATGTTCTACTAGTATCAAAAATCTCATGTTAAAATGAGATTTGTTTACCATTTTTAAACCTCAATATTATAAAATTAAACCATATTAGCCATTTAAATCCATTTTTAGAATGATATGGATTATGAGTTTATTTTTCGTTTTAAGAAACAAAAGAGTAAAAATCTTCTTTAATAACTGCACATACCAACCAAACTAATGTGCAGTTGGAGTGGAAAGAGTAAGCAGACACACATCAGTTTCCCAATCACAGTGAAAACCTGGGTTCATATTAAAAGTCAAAGAAAGGGGTTCCACGATCATAGTAAAGGCATCATCACGATAAGAGCCTACTCTACAGACATTCTGAAAAAACTGCAAAATGTACCAGTGGTGGGCCTCCCTGGTGGCATAGGCAGTTGAGTGCAGCACTGTGAAGCTGTCCGCAGACAATGCAGTGCAGGTTCAATCCCCGCCAGCTGAAGAGATACCCACATGGTGCAGCAGACCTCTCCTGTCTCACCTGCTGCTCCCCTCAGCAGTGTATTTTGGTCGGTCTCCCTGTTCTGTTCCCCACTCTGGTGAATCCTCTCACCCTCCCGCACATCTGGCCTGTACCCTGGTTCTTAAATAAATAAATTAATTAATTAAATAAATAAATCTTAAAAAAGGAAAAGAAAAAAAAATGTACCAGTGGTGCTGTACCACACTTAAGAACTGCTGAATAAAGCTAACATGAACTAAGATGTGTTGTTGTTATTAAACTTTCAGTATCTTCCTTAAGACAATTAAAAATACCTAATTCTACTCTTGACCAAAGAACAGCAACCCCTGAAAGTGTGCTGTGACACCAGCCCTGGCCAGTGATTGACAGAAGTCTCCTTTCAATTCCTAATTATCTCACTCAGCATCCCCAGAATTCTGGATATTTTTTCATAACTTCTCAATCCTATCTAGAATGCAGGGATAAAATATGAAGTTTAATTGGAATTACTCTAAGAAACACGTAGATATCAATACTACATATTTCATTCATTAACTTAAAAAAGAAACTTTTTTTTAAGCAAAGCAAGGAGTGGCTGGCTGACAAGCAGAGAGAACAGATACATATTTAAGGGAATAAATGAATACATAAATAACTCACCTCTAATTTTCTTCATTACATAACTGACAGACCAAATAAGAGTACAAGTCATCTCTAGAGTCTCTTATTATTTATTTTCTTTAACATACGGACTGTATGATTTGTATGTAGAACCAAAGATTTATCACATTTTTCAGGATCACCCTACATTTATAAATGGATAATTTAGCACAATCAAAATCCTTATAAACTCCATTAGTACCTTACTTTTTTAAAAGATCTTCTTTTCTCTTTGAGATCTTTTTCATGATGGCTCTTTCATTCCCACTCTCTAAATAAGTAAGAAATATTCTTAAGAATTATGGAGAGCAACGTGTGGAGTGCATCCAATGGACTATGGTAGGAGACTATGGGTGCCTTGGTGGTGGGTGTGGTGTGGTGACGTAACATGCCTCTGAATCACAAACAGTATTGTAAACCAATTGAGAAAATGGAACATCAAAAATAAAAAAAGTATTACTGAAAAAAACCATTATGAAACTTGAGATAAAATTATACTATTAAAAATTTTTAACTTAAAAATTAAACAGAGATATATTCTCACCTTTAGTATTTAGCAGTTGATCACCTTTAGTAGAAATTCTGGCTAGTGCAATAAGACATGGAAAAGAAATAACAGGTATAATTATTGGAAAGGAGAAGACTAAATTGTTGGTTTGTAAGAAGACAGGTTTTTACACATAAAAATCCAAGACAATGAAAAGTTCAGACATAATTAGATTTTAAGTGGTAGAATACAAGAGAATGTATGTTAAAGTTAAGTTTCCCTATGTGCTAATATGAAAAAGATCACTTTTACTATAGCAATACAAAAAATTTCAAAATACCTAGGAGTAACTGCAATTAAAATATGTGGAAATGCACTCCAAAGTATAAAACTTTACGATAAGGAAAAAAATGCGTGATTAAGCAGAAAGCTATTCTCTGGAGGCAAGGAAATCAGTTAAGAGGCCATTATAATGCTGATAAGAGATGCTAGAGACCTTAATCATAAAATGAAAGCAGGAATTGTGGGTGGGAGTTCATTAAAGAGAGATAATTCACAGGATTTGGGGAGCAATCTGAGGTGTAGGCAAAATGAGAGGAGACTCAACAACTCCCAAGATTCAGGTTTGAGTAACTGAGCGGTAGTATCAATTCAAGTTTTTTCAAAGTAGGGAGGTTGCTCAGGAAGGGATGTACGAGTACAGTTTTCAGAAGTATCTAATGGATGCTTATGGTGCATCCAGGTGGAAGGTCCAAAGTTACTTAAAAATACTGAATAGACTTGAAACAGAAGACAAAGTGGCCTTAGTTAAATTCTTTAACCAGTAAAAATCAGTAAAAAAGATATCGACTTAGTGATTCCTTAACAGAATCGACACGTTTAAGATTCTTCCCACTAAAACTACCAACTTAGTATGTACCTACTAGACACAGTAGGAATAAATCAGATCAAACTGTGTACTCCCACCGCAGCTTCCATCCTTTGCACTTCCTCTAATCTAGAACTTTGCACATTTAAAAGTCTGCTTCAAACCCCCTAAGGGGGGAACTTTTTTCTGACACTGGCCCTTTTGTAACTTCCAATAGCACTCACGCTTTATATATTTTGTTCATTACACTCTGCCTTTTAAATCCCTCTTTCTGCTTAACCTGCAGTGAGGACAAGGGAAGAGGGCATGACCTCAGGTACCCTCCACCAATCCTAGCAAGGGCGGTCAGTAGAAAATACGGACCCGCATTTGATGCAAGTCAGCATGCTCTCCAAAGTTGTAAAATAGAGAGGTCCCCAGCCCTATTAATTCCCAAAGAGGATGACTAGAGGGTGTGCCAGGCCCTGGGTTCTGCAAGTCCCAGCGTAGGTGAAGATCTGGCCTTGGTTACCAGGCCAGAATGGCTACCCCATTCTGTGACACCCCTCCCTCCCCCACAAACATACACTCCCTACGCTGTTTTTGCCCACAGAGCAGGGTTCCAACAATACAAAATATTGGAGGTCCGTCCGACAGGGCAAGGTCAAGGGGGGCGCTTTAACGGGCAATACGGGCCTTTAACGGGACATTCACCTGGCCCGGCAGTGTACTATGTCTGGGCTACGAAGGTAGGACGCACCATTTGCAGACCAGCTGAGGTCATTAACCGCCGGGTACGGGTCCCGACGTGAGCACCCCAAGAGCTCAGCCAGTCCCGGGTGGGCGCCTCGGAATTGCCTGCAAGGTGAACCAGGAGCATGCGCGACGCGGCCCGCCAGCCCGGTGGGTTCCAGCCTGCTCGGGGCGTGCGCCCTCGGGGGTCTGCGCGGCGCCTGTTCGCGCACCTGCTGGGCTGCTGCGGGCCTGGAAGCGCCTGCGTGTGCTGCTCAGGCCCGCGTCTCTGCAGGCGCCGGCAGGGGTGTGCGCCGCAGTGGCCGGAGCTGCCCCGGGGGGCGGGGGGGGTCTATTCTGGAAGAGGCCTGAGCGGAGTTGCCTGAGTCGAGGGGGCGCCGCACCCCGCTTCAAGGTGAGGAAGAACTGTGGCCCCTAGGGGTGAGTAGGAACCGCCAGCTCCTCCTTGGCTGGCGACAATCGGAGCAGCCAGGCCAGCAGTCCCGCACCGTCCAGGCGCACCGGGTAGCTTCTGCTGGGCGTGCCGCGCCGGCGAGGGTGACTCCGCAGGGCGCAGCTCTCGGGGTGCGCAGCTCTCGGGGTGCGCGCGCGGCCTGCCTCCACCTCTCCACTTCTTCCTGGAGGGTACCAGAGGGGCTTTTCGATCTGGTGCTTTGGCTTGGCTTCGTAATATGCAAGGGTTTTTTTCCCTGCTCCTTTTTTCTTACTTTGTGTTCAGTTTGTTTCTAAAAACCTATACCCTGTTTCTGACTGCATTTCAAATTTTTGTCACTTTTATTTATCCTCTATAGTAATTTTGGAATGGCTCTCTGGGGTTCTGATGAAGATGCAAATCGCCTGTTCTATTCTATGGAAGGATCCAGGTTCTGGCCCCAAGTGAAGACTTGAATGGTAAGAGTGACATTGATGGACTGTTTGTTCTTCTACTTTTTCTTCTTACCTCAATTAACCATCTCAAAACATGAAGCATTTTGCTGCCTGAACAATTTTGATCCTTCCGTCCTGGGAAGAAGGAACACTTGAGCAGTGCCAGGCACTTTGTTAGGCGCCAGCTAGTACCACGGGACATGCATAAACGCTATCAGGGGGTGAAGGGTGAACTCTTCAGCCTCCCTTGATATTTCTTTTCTGGCTTGACAGTCTCCCTCACATCATCTGTGTGCTCCCATTCTAAGGAAGCATTTGTTTATTCTCAAAATTCAAAATAACTATTAAGTTCCTGTTCCTTATTAATAAAATCCTTGTGAAAATCTCGGTACCAAAAACTGTTTTGGATTTTGGGTTTTTTTTTTTTTGTTTAGGTGGGGATTATTTATTTTTATTTATGATTATTATTTCAATTTTATATACTTTTTACATCATTTTTCATTTTTGCACAATGTATGTATTTTCATCTTGGTTATAGTTCCCAGCCCCCTTTGTTTTGATCTTACTCCCTCCTCCCCCTGCTGTAGTGTGTTTCTGGTTTATAGTTGTTTGTTGATTTTGATTTTTACTTTGTATTAATTAGTCTTTTTCCTGGACCCTTATTTAGGTTTTCTAGATTCCTGCTATGAGTGAGATGATTGATATTTTTCTTTTTCTTTCTGGCTTATTTCACTGAGCATGATCCCTTCCAGCGCCATCCATGTTGCTGCAAATTGCATGTGTTTATCTTTTTTGAATGCTGAGTAATATTCCATGGTGTATATGTACCACATCTTCTTGATCCAGTCATCTATTTTTGGGCATTCAGGTTGTTTCCAAAACTTATCTATTGTAAATAGTACTGCTGTAAACATAGGGGTGCAGGTACCCCTTTGAATGAATGTTTGTGTGTCCTTTGGGTAAATACCTAGGAGTGGAATTGCTGGATCATATGGAAGCTCCATCTTTAGCAGGTTGAGGAATCTCCACACAGCTTTCCATAGTGGTTGGACAAGTTTGCACTCTAGGTGGGGATTTATTTATGAAACTCTCCTTTTTTTCCTTATCGGGACTTAAAGTTCTAACTCAGTCATCAATTATAGTATCTTATCCTGGGTTTTTAATAGTTACCCTTTTTTGTTTTCATTTGAAATTCCATCTATTCCTCTCTTTAATTCTATTTTAAGTTTGTATATTTTTTATCTTATAAAACAAATTGGCAGTTCCTTATATTTAAAAATGGGTTTAAGCATGTGATCTAACAGTTGCACTCTTGGGCATTTATCCCAGAGAAATGAAACCTTTTGTTCACATAAAAACCTGATATGAATGCTCATAGCAATTATTTATAATAGTCAAAATCTGGAAAACAGCCCAAATATGTAATTTATGCTAAAAGCTGTAGTAATTGTTTTAAGAGTAATATCATGGAAATCAATTTTTTTTGTTGTTGTTTCTTCCAACATACAGTCAGTACAATAATCCAATAATCCAATAATACATGTCTTCAGCCACATTTATAAGATTACTTCTTTAACCCATCAGATAAATTGTGGTAAAAGCGATCTAGTCATGAAAATTTCTTTAAATGAAAGATGCTATGAAATGTTTTATTTACCAGTTTTTATTTAAAAAAAAAAAACCAATACACTTTTGTTTGGAAATTTACAAGTTGATAGCTGCAGGAGTGAGTTTTGGACTCATAAGCATGTATACAAAAAAGAAAAATGAAACTGAGGTATAACTGAATTTAAAGGAGATCACCAATTATTTCCTGTTGAATTGAATAAAGGGAGATTTTGCTAATAGCAAAATGTTTATCCTTTATTATTAAAATGCTAGGGATTGATAGCATACCCAGTTTTTCTTTCATTACTTCAATTACTGTAGACATTATTAAAATGATTCAAATGTATTCCAATCAAGAGGAAAGACCTAAAGGAAAATTTTAGATCGAGAGATCTGGGTTTAAGGGGGGAAAAATGGTAGATGATAGCCACGTCAGGATTTCTTCAACTCTATTCCTTTTAACTTACCCACTACTGACAGGCCTACATAACACTGCATACTAGGACTTTGGGTGGGTGGGGAGAGTGCAGAGGGAAGAGTTCTTTATAAACACTATCAAATATTTACATTAAGAGCCTGCTAAAATTATTCCCACCAATGTATATTTTAGTAGAGGTTTGTTGAAAAGATTTTAGACTTAAACATAAAGGTAAAGCAAAAATTACATTTTAAAATAGGTGATTCACCACAAAGTTTTCTTGTTTTGAGTGACGAGGATCAGCAGCAATGTTTTTTTTTTTTGTTTGTTTGTTTTTTTCCAGCAAAGCTAACTTGTGTTCACATTTTCTCTCCCCTTGATACCAATACAGCATGAAAATAGTGGTAATAATTTTTTTACTACTTATCTCAGAGTCTATTTTTGCATAACTTCCATAGGGATTTTGTCTGCTTGAACTAAAACAATTGGACATGAGTTTCATTGTGTGACTTTCAGTGGACTCTGCCAGGAAGTTGAAACAGAGCTGGACCAAGAAGAGGAGAACCTGTTGCTTTGTTCATAGGCTCCAGAGACCTCCAAGGGAGGTGGGGAAGCTGCCTCCATGGGCAGCACTGGACAACCGGAAAAAGAAAAAGCCCTGGTACCCTCAAGAAGAGGAAGTCCAGGTAGAATTTGATGAGACCAACTTTGTTCTTGAAGCCTGTGTGGACCAGATGTCAAGAGTTCGCTCTGATCCTTTATGGAGTATTCCAGCAAAGCAGCTAAAATTGCTGTTTAGTTATTCTGCCCTGTGATTTTATGCAAAAATAGGTAATATGGTTTAAAAGTAGATTTGGATTGCAAACTTATGCTATGCTGTTGAAACAATTTGGGATCAAGGGTGAGAGAACCTGTTTTTGTATAAGTTAAATCAATTTTAATGTTTTTCCTGTGATTTGATATCTTTGCTGTTTTGCTGTTTTGTTTTGGCTAATGCCTCCAGATTTTTTTTTTTTTGTTGTTGTTGTTGTTGTTTGGTTTGGACTAATAAACTATTTCCCAGGAATGGAGGACTTTTGCTTTCCAAAATGGACAATACCTGGAGAGACTGGTTTGCTTTCCAGTGGGAACCCTGAGAAAAATTTTCATCTGAGACTGTACCCCAGCATCCATATATTTGATCTTCAACACTGTGGAAATGATGGCAAAAAGTGAAGCTAATTCCATACTGGCTTTGTGGATGCCACCCCCATTCCATCAAGACAGCGGGAACTACAAATCCCAGGATCCCCAAAGGGAAGTGTAAGGACATAAGGGCAGAATTAAGCTGCCATTTTCTCTGTTTGTAAATAAAAACCAGCCATATTAGTGGGGCCAGGCACACTTGGCTCGTGCTCTTGGCCAGGCAGGTTTGGCTCGGTGGGTCATTTTGGATTCCAGGTCGGCAGAACGGGTAGGACACATTTAAGAATATATCTCCCTCTTTTCTCCCTGAGTTGTACATTTCCTTATTCCCCTTCTTCATTCCCCTTGTAAATAAACCTTTTGTTAACCTTTAAAAAAATTAAAAATAAATAAATAAATAAATAAAATAGGTGATTCATTAGCCTTCTTCAGCTTCTCAGTGTCAAAGGAATATAGAAGAGAATGTAACATAAGCTATTGAGTGTTGCTACTCTAAAATTATTCTGCTATGCTCTTTAGTTTCATCAACTAAACAGGAATAGGCAAATATAGCTGCTGTGTTTCTAATTCTGCAGGGTAAATAGAGGTCTATAAAGTATCTCCTTACCCCATTATTGAAAAGTCCCATTATCCTGATGTAAAGCCAGTTATGTTCAGTTTTATCAGATTTATGTACAAATAAAAACTTGGGTAATTAACAGTACACATTATATCAAGCATATAAAATAATAAAAATAGATGCATGAAAATCTACCACTTTAGAACATTAGACTAACATGTGAATTGCTAGCCTATCTGATTAAGATATGGAAAGAAATTACAGATTGATGTCTTGGAAGTAATGACACTTTTTAGAAGGAATAGTCCTTGGCAAGATAAGTAGATTGCAATTTCAAAAAAAAAAACCCAACATTTTATGTTTCAGTTAATTAAACAGTGTGGTAAATTGAATCTCTGTGCCCAGTGCTTCACTCCTTTTTTTTTTATTTTAAAGATTTATTTTATTTATTTATGCATGCAAGAACGGAGGCGTAGGCCAGAGGTTTAGGGGTAGGGGATGAGAGGATTCACCAGAGACAGAGTGGGGAGCAGAATAAGTGGATTAACTGAAATACACTGCTGAGGTAATAGACAGGAGAGGCTAGACAGGAGAGGTCTGCTGTGCCATGTGGGTCAGCTCCTGGCCAGGGATGGAACTCATGCTGCAGAGGCTGCGGATAGCTACATAGTGCTGAGACTTAAACCCTTGTGCCACTAGGAAGGCCCTTCACTCCTTTTCTGTTTTAGAATTATCCACGCCCGTTGCCATAAGACTTTGCCATTCCTCCCAGTGTTTCCCAGTTCTCCAACTTACTAATGTTGGGTTAGGTCATATGAGCCACCCACTGACTTGCAGACCCAAGCACATCAGTGTTTGTTGCCAGCCCCTGAATTTCTGAGGTCGTTATCAGAAATTTTAAAACTAAAACTAACACAAACTGAAAAAACCATAGTAAGTGAGCACCGTTAACTCTGAGCAATTGTAATGTTCTAACAAGATAGCAACTACTGGAATTTGAATCAGAGAGGAACCAGACCAATTTGGGTGGAATTCAGCTTATTTTTCAAACTGACAATAAGTGGGAAGATATTTTATTTATTTATTTATTTTTTTTTTTTTTGTGGGACCCTCGCCGGCGGCTGGGGAACAAACCCATGCTGCAGAGGCTGTAGGCAGCCTCTCAGCCCAGCGCTCAACCATTGCGCCACCAGGGGAGGCCCAATGGGAAGATATTTTAATAGTAATTACACACATCACTAGAATAACACACATTGCTGCCTTCATACACATACACAAAAGGCAGTAAAACCTGATAAACAAAATTCTGAGCTGGGATCTTAAACATCTGTTTAAGAATAATGCTAAACTTCATATAAAAGAATAGCTTTTATATGATTGGCTTTTTCTTAGCCAATCCAATATTAAAATTAGATAGTGACCCATATTATTGGGCCTGTCTTATATAGAATGGTCCAAAGTAAATTCCTGGATCTGCCTCAAAACTATAGGTATTTTTTTTAATCCCCCCAAAGGGACAAAGAATTATTATCCTTGTCTTTTGATATATTTTGAATGTATTTTTAGACATATACTGTCTCATCACGTACTCACTAGTCACACATGGCTACTGAGCACTTGAAATGTTAGCTATTCTCCAGTGAGAAATGTTATAAGGGTAATATACACATCATATTACAAAAGCTTAATATGAAAAATAAATATCTGATAATTTTTATACTAATTACATGTTGAAATAGTTTAGATATAGTCACTTTATTAAATTCTCCTATCCAGTTTGATTATACCATCTTTTTCTTAGAGATCTTGATTGATACAGTATAGTTTTTAAAAACTTTTATTTATATCACATATTTCTATTAATTTAAGAATAGGGTAATATGAAACACACATATAACCTAATCAAGAAATTCATACTTCTGTTTATAGCTATAACCATTTCTACTGATTCCACCCCCCACCCATGGGTTCATAGAAAAAAAATTCATATCTTCTAAATGAGTGGAGTCACCAGAGCCAAGTTTGAGTAAAAGTCCAGAAATGAACAGTAATTATCTATAAACATTAGCCAATCCAATATTAAAATTAGATAGTGACCCATATTATTGGGCCTGTCTTATATAGAATGGTCCAAAGTAAATTCCTGGATCTGCCTCAAAACTAACTTTCCCTTCAACATAAATGAGATTGGGTTGTATCTGCTGATCATCTTCATGACTTGAGGATTATAACAAGTGAAATTTTGTCCCCAGATACCCTAAGAATTTTTTTTTTTACCCAGGCAACAGGACAAAAGTGAAGTTTCAGTGTTCACTAAAGGAAATTTAGGCTAAGAGGCTTGCTAAGGGGCAGTGTTTACAAAAGAAAAGATAATAAACTTGGGGTAGAAAAACACAGCTCTGTCATGCACTAGTTTGTGTGACCCTCATTTGTAAAATGAAAACTGCTGACATCCTTGTGGTTTGTTTTTAGGACCAGCATAGATAATGTCCATGACAGTGCTTTGTATATGCAGACATAAGGCAGTAAGGGACTGCGGCTGACTCTATTTATTTGACCTTTTATTTTCATCATCAGCAGCGACTAGTTATTTGACGTTGGACTGCTGTGCAGTGAGAAAGCAGTATAATTTAAAAGTTAGGAGTATAGGAATAATTGATTAGCATTATACATCACATGTTACCATGAAGAGTTCACAAACTGTATCAATGTTACCATGATAGTCTTTGTGGACTTAAAACAGTATTAAATCACAAGTCCATCAGTAAGCAAGTCCTCTTTCTACTTCCCTTTATATCATGCCCCATAAGCCCTGTATTCATGTAGAATTAAATGTGCACTTAAAATAAAAATACAAAATTTTAAAAATTTAAAAAAAAAACTTTAAAAAATAATATTTAAAAAAATGTAAAAAAAAAATGTGCACTTAGAGGTTATAAGGAGACAGCCTACCACACTTGGGAGGAAAAATGGTTTAGTGCATGCCATGCTTCAGCTCAGCTATTTGGACAAGTGATTTAACCACTCTGAGTTTCAGTTTCTGTTTCTATGAAGCAGAAGTAGCTACTTTCAGGTAGTTAAGAAGATTAAATGAGAAAATGATATAATGCACTTGAGCACAAAGCATGACACACTAGTTGGTTAAATAATATAACCAACTAGAAAAAGTTCAAATATATTCTAATTTGGCTTCTCATTCCTAATTAAAGTACAGCAAGTTCAATTGTGAGCAGAAGAAAACATTCCTGTCCACAGTTTTGTTAAGCTTATGTTCACCTGGATGTTGTCAAATATCACTCAATTTTTCAAGAGATATAGAGACTTTTGACTTTTGGTTTGTGGGAGAGCTTTTTTCTCTTTCTCATCCTCCTTCCATCCCCCATCAGCTCAACAGTTAGTGCCCAGAGGCAGAGATGGAGAGCTTGGGACAGGTCAGAGTAACATATCACCACTCCATCCTGCTCAACAGGTAAGGTAACTTATAGCAATCGTTAAGATTAAGCAGGAGGAAGAGGGTCTCTTCATGTCTCCATGACAAGGTCCATAGCTTCTGCTTTTCCTACAACATATTTCATGAAATAATTAAATAGAGTCCTTATTTTTTGATAGGGCTGGTAACAGCACTTCCAGATCTGGTTCCTGGCATATTTTGATGTGATGACATAAAGGTACACTACTATAGCTCTCTAAATTATACCTGGGCCAAGAAAACATGTTATTAATGGGTATCTTTGTGTTTTGCTATTGACTAAACAGTCAGTGGTGCAAGCTTATCCAGGAATGATTTTTGTCTCCAGCCAATTTCTTGGTGAAGAAACTATTCTGCAGTCATGGTTGATGGTTATCTAACATTTTGTAAGTACTAAATGCCACTGAATTGTACATGTTAAATTGGTGAGTTTTATATCATGTATCTTACTATAATAAAAACAAAATTCCAATAGATGCAACCCTGAGTTGTAACTTTTCCCAACCCTGAGTTGTAACTATTTTTCTTCCTGACATGTATACACTTACCATGTAGTATGCCCTGATATCTGAATATCTATATCTACAACAGCTTTTAAAAAAAAATCTCTGGTCTGAGTGTTCCACTCTGTAACATTTTGGCATCATCAGGAATATGGGACTCATCCACACCCCTGTTTTGGATTACATTAAATACTGGATTAACTGTACAAGCACATAAATTCCCTTGTAAGACTCTTTGGCCCTAGCACACATTTACACACACTATCTAATTCTCTCATATAAAGAGCAGGCTGGGAATGGGATGTATGTCTGCCCTCTCCAAAGGAATCGGGTGGCTGTCTTAATAAGTGGGGAAAAAGAGAAAGGGTTTGCAAGAGTTCCTGAGATTCTTTTTTCAGTCAGCATAACTTCCCAGCGGGGGCCTCAGAACTCTTAGGCTTTCTGGACAAAGTCAATATTGCTCTGTTATAAAGTACAGATCATGAAAGGTATCAGGTCTTTTAAGATCTACCAAGCACAAAAGTGCACGGGGGATTGGGAAAGACTCACAAAAGAGACAATATCTGCCAGAAATCCTTGAGGCAGAAGATGGTGACCATCTCTCACAAAAAGGCTTTAGCCAAAGAAGCTTCATGCTGGTCAAGACTGGGTTTGGTGAGCAAGGACGTTTGACCTTGCACATTGCTGTGGAGGAAACTGCCCCCTGTGCAAATTTTTTGTCACTCCAGCCAGATTTCAGCTGCTCCTCCTATGCCATGTCTTTCCAGATAAATGAAGACTTGAGAAAGATAAACAAGGCTGCGATGACCACTGTAACCAGGACCAGGGAGAAGATGATCATGAGGAAGACATAAGTGGAGTGGGGGAGAGGTGGGGTTAACGGCTGCTCAGGTGCGATCATGTTGGTCAGGTTCAGCATGTAGCCCAAACTCCACCCGATGCTGGTGCCCTCCATCTGTAAACAGTAGGGAAAGTTTGTTGTTTCTGGTTGAGAATTCAATGAATTTTCATTGCAACCCCACCCATCACACTGAGAAACTAGGGGGTGAAGAGCATTGTGTTCGGTTCTCTAAATAAATTGCTTTTATATTCTAAAATGGGAATAGGGTTGTGGGAAAAGCAGAGCAAGTGCCTGAGAAGGAGAATTTGGAACCTCATTACTGTGTTCCCAAAATTAAAAAAAGAATTTGGTGACTGTCCAATCTCCTTCCCAAGAGAAGTTAATTCAAATAGGCCTTCGGAGATTTGCATTCCTTTTTTGTTGTTTGTGTGAATGGAGTGGGTTGAGAAGGGGAGCAAGGGGCTGTCAAGAAACAGGCAAAGGATGAGAAGATAGGCTATTTACCACAAGATCAGATCCAGGAGTCTCATCCATACAAAACCATGACTTCTTCCTTACTCTACTTGGGGAGAAATTGGTGAATAATCTCAACAAGTTGATCGTACTTATGGAGGATAGAAGACTGTGCATATGCCCGAGAAAGGATTCGTATTAAATAATAAAACATGCTAGGAATATTTTTGAGTCACCTCTAAGTATTCTGTGAATAATAAATGTTTCTTGTAAGTGTTTTTATTACATGAGTTGTACATGGTCATGGCAGAAGAATTAGGAAGTACAAATAATTCTAAAAAGAAATTAAAACCATCTCTACTTCACTGCTCAGAAGTTGCTGCTGCTATCATTTCATAACACATCCTTCCAATCTTCTGTGCATATTTTTTTCTTACAAAAAATGGAATTAACAGGGAAAGGAAGGACTAGAGTCAAAATAAGGTGGGGGTGCATTTGCATGGGGAATATAACCAAAATGAAAATGCATACATTGTGCAAAGATGAAAAAAGATGTAAGAATTATATAAAATATTTAAATAAAAAAATGGAATTAAATTGTATGTAGAATCATTTACTTAACAATGCCTTGTAAACATCAGTCTGTGTCTCTTAAGGGTTTCTATGTCATCACCACTGGCATGAATTGCCCTATGTGTTCAATTTTACCCACCTTATAGTGTGTATTTTGAAAGCTCTTAGCACATATTGCAAAAACAATCTCCCCAAAGGTTGTGCCAATTGATATTCTGGCCAATACCATGTGGAAATGACCCTACGCCCTAAGCCCTTACCAGTGCTGGAAATTAATAATTTGTAAAAGGTTGAGTTCCCTTTACAGGGAACTGGGATCTTGTCTGACTACATACATCAATGAAGACTCCAGAGTTATGGTTTAGAAAATCTGAATCATTCTTTGGAGTTCAAAGAACAAAAATTGCTGGTATATGTGATACTGACATATCCTTCAAACAGATAAAATACACCATGATGAAATGAATGGAAGACAGGAATATCAAAACAAGAAGATTTGTATTTGAGTTAGCAAGGTCAGTATTGATAAATTAAGCAAAACCCCTCATTCGCAGCCTCTCATCCCATCGTCATGTGGAACTTTCAAATTAGTCCACCCTAAGGCCACCATCACCAAAGCCTTCACCTCTTATGAGGCCCATGATCATCCTTTCCATACTTGTGGAAGGGGCCTTTGGAACAGATGTTGAAGTCAGCATGCAGAATAACTGTGGCTACTGAAGTACAGTGATGCCACTTTAGTATCTCATTTTTTTGTTTCATAAGGAATTAGCAGTCAGTCACTGCTATGTGAGCAGAAAGCCAAGGCTGAGAATGTGGGGAGCTCGCCTTGGGATACCCACAGAGAGCTGGCCAGTATCCCAGGAGGACCTGACACAAAGTGCCGCTTATCTAGAGACAAAGCAGCAAAACAGGATGTGAGGCCGACACTCCTATCAGATGGACTTCTCTTTCCCATCTTGTGCTGCTTTGGTCACGCCCACACAACCTCCCAACAACTCCACAAGTGCCCACATTACCTGGTCCACAAAGTGAATGTTCTTCCAGGACTCATCTGTGAATCTAAACTTGTTCAGGAGAACGAAAATGTATGTACCAGCAAAGCAGTATTCACTCAGGTACTTCTCTTTCAAGCCAGTGTTCCTGCTTTTCAGCTGGAAGTGAAGGAATTATATTTGTACAACAGGCACTTCTCTATACCCTCTTTTAAAGTATTACAGCTGATTAAAAGGAGCAAGTCTCAGCTCATGTGGGCCTGAGAGCCTGGCGTTGCACTCCTTCAAAGGGTGCAGGGTTTTCTAGTTTAGGGTCTATAAAGGGAACTTTTCCTCCACAGGGTTCTATATAAATAAATGATCCAGGAAATAAGTTTTTGTGGTCTAGTTGACTCACTCATTTCATCCTTGGTGAAACTTGAACTTCACAATCACATTAGCATATGAAAAGCTGTGAAAAATCTTGCAAGAAAGTAATATGTTAATCTTTGTTTAATCAGAGATTTCTATATGTCCTGAGCAGAGTCGTGGGTTCAGAGTCTCTATAAGCAACTTAAGGGCAAAGTATAAAGAGTCTTGCCACTCAGTGTAGTCCCTGGACCAGCAATTGAGCATCCCCTGGGGGCTTACTAGTCCTCACCTCAGAACTATCAACCCAGGTGATCATGTGCACACTGGGAAATGCAGCTCTGGAACACAGTTTAGGAAGCATGTTGCTCAGGACTGCTAGACATGCCAACATTTCGCCTTTCCATCCCCAGTCCTTACCTAACCTCTTTTGTTGTTTTGCATCTGAGTCAGGCAAAGGAGTATTCTCGAGTTCTTCATATGTTTATACTCACCCGCTACTGAATGAAGATATTAAGGACTGCCTGCCAACCCTATCCTTACCTCTCCAAGCTGTTGTAAAATGTGTGCAAATGCCCACAGCTTGTTCTGCTACTCTCCTGCCCTCAATTAGAGGCCAACAGGCCAGAACGTCTCTCACTCAACCCAGTTGGGTGCTACCTTATCCCTCAGCACTTGAAATAGGCATTCCCTCCTAGACATCCTGGGCAGAGAAAGAATTAACCCTTGTTAAGCAGACATCATTTACTAGGAATTATGCTATGCATTGTATATATATATGGTCTCTAGGCTGCCTGCCTACTCACCTTTTGCCTATATCTCTCCCCTTTCAAGGAAAAGCTCATCTTTAAATGTTAATTGCTGGCTGGGGTCTGTTTCTCTCTTGGATCCTGCCAGCATCCAGTCTCTGGAAGTCTAATTCCATACCTAAACGCCTTCTCCCACTCTGATAGAATACTTTGAATGGCTCTGTCTTTTTATCCCCATCTTGGGAATTATTCTTTGATGAACAACTCTGACATTCTCCTGGGACCTTGATGTAACCACAAAGTCCCTGCCACTCTCTTTTAGTGACTGCAGTCTGCTTTTCCTTTGTGGAAAGATCTCTTCTGCCATTGGATGTAATCTCAATGGACCTGTAGAAACCATTTTGAAACACAAAATTCCAAGAATCCAATTGGACTCAATTGACTCAAGTTCTGAATGGCTGGTCTATATCTTGCGGCACAATGCTCAGCACCTTAGCACATAGCAAACATATATTGCACAAATCATTAGCCCATTTCTGAGATGAGAGAACTGAGGCTTGTCATTGATCAGTGATTTGGCCAATATCATATGTTAACAATCAGCAGAGCTCATATCTGAACCAGATCTATGTGGCCTAATTCCCTTGTAAACTTCAACATTCCTATCCCCTACCTCCTTCTGAAGAGCTGTACTTTGGCTATGTAGTCTAATCTGCTAAGGATTACTTATAGACAATAATATAGAAGCCAAAGAAATCAATCTGGTTCTCAGTCCAGAACTGATCATGTTAATACTCATGGACTCAATTATACGTACCCTCCAGTCAGAGGAATGGTTGTACCACTTCCCTTTCCCTCACCTGTCTGCCCCTCTCACCTCTCCTTTCCATTCCCAGGGCAGGGGGACAGTACCAGGTTTTCTCTTCCCCACATATTTTCCTTACCATCCTCCATATGAAGGGATATGGCAAATCTTCAAGAATGGGATGCATTCTTGAAGAATGCATTCTTGGGATGCATTTCCCTCCAAAGGCTAAAAGTGCATGAGACTGAGTGTCAGGACCGAGAGTATACCGAGAATTTTAGAGCATTGTTCCCTTGGATGTTCTCTCTCTAACTAGATCGTGGATGCCCAGATTTTCAGATTGGAAAGTGTTTATGTTTTAGATGCAAAAAGACTTTTACCAGTCCTTCAATTTACCTACCAGAAGACAAGCATGAATGTCCTTCACTCATTTTCCCAGTTTCACCTGTTCAGGGACCCAAGGATTTGGCTTTCATTTCATACCCCTGCCAAGACAGCGATAGGCAGCTCAACATAATATGTGTAGAGCATCTAGCCCACTTCTTAGGACATAGCATATTCTTAACAATTGTTCATTTTATCTCTGCCAAAGGTATCTAGAAGGGATATTCCAGAAGTCAAGATACTCTGGAGTAACAGTCCTCCTTACTGACAAGGTTAGCAGGAAAAGATGGGAAGAGTTACTCTGCAACTGGGTAGGTGACAAGACAGTCCTTTCCATGTGGGTGGACAATGCAGCTGGGGGAAATGAACCTGGGTCATACACACATCTCAACATCGTCTCATCCTGCAAATCCCCTTCCCTCAACACACCCTCACTCCACCTTCCAAAATGTTGCCAAATTTCAACCAAGTGCAGGTCTCTTTGAGTTTACTTTCAGGGCCTCTGAGCAATTTCTCATGTGGCTTATCTCAGCAAACCTAAAGACCTGCATGTAAGTGTTCCCAATTTAATCTGATGAAATAAAGTAGGTGAGGATAAGAAGAGAAAAATCTGATGGAGCTTATACTCTGAGCAAGAAGTCATTTTTTTCAGAGTAGCCTAAATCTATTTTCTCAGGAGCCAAATACAGGCTCGGTCAGGTGGCCTCAACTCCAAGACACTCATCTTCCTCCACAGACCACTATCTGCTGCAAAAATGTTTCCTCTGAGTGTTTTTTGTAACCTGGAAAGTGCTGGTGTCTATTTGAGCAGTTTCCAAAAACTGCGAGTACCTCTCCTTCATGTTCTAACTCAGACAAAATACTTAGGGAGAAGATCAAACCTCCAAGCTCTTGCACAACCTTTTTTCTCCTGTGTCAGTGACAAGGAGAAAAGTATCCATTTATAATTAATTGCATTTCTTAAGTATTAAAACACCATTCACTTTTGCAACTGTGTCCACTTAAAACAACTGCTGGGTTGAGCTATACCTCGATCATCAGTCTTTTTATTTTATTTTATTTATTCATTTTTAAAAGACTTATTTATTTATTTATACAAGCACTGCGTACAGTCAGAGGCACGGGAGGGCGAGAGAATTCACCAGAGCCAGAGCAGAGAGCAGAACAGACAGACTGACAAAGTACACTGCTGAGGGGAGCAGCGGGCAGCAGGAGAGGTCTGCGCGCTGTGTGGGACCCTCACCCGGCGGCCCGGGATTGAACCAGCACTGCAGAGGCTGCGGGCAGCTTCGCAACCCAGCGCTTAACCGCTGCGCCACAGGGAGGCCCTCATCAGTCTTTTTAAATCAGAGTAGACCCCCTACCTCCCTTCTCTCTGGAAACATGGATCAGGTAGGCTGGATCTCTAATGACTCAGTGCCTCAGACAAAAAGAAAATGTGCTTCAAATTGATGATTAGTCAGAGATACACTTGACTTGGATAATGGAGAAAGCTTACCAAAATGGTGTGGCAGATTCTGTGAACTATGTGCCTTCCCTGCTAATGAAGCTCTGATTTGCAGTGCGAGGAGGGGAGCTAGAGTCTGTGTACCCAGCTCCACAAAGTGGCTCATGAGGCATCTAATGCTCTATGCCAATCACAGAATCCTGCACCCTGCATTCCCAGTCAGTCCTGGCCAATGAAATTATAGGAGAAAGTCTGGTAAGGAGCTCTGGGATAGCTTTTACTTTCTACAAAGAGGGAACAGATGTATGGCTTTACCCTTCTTCTGATCTTGATAATGGCTATGATCCCTGAAGTCACATCTTGTGCCCATGAGGAAATAGACATAACACCAGAACTGAAGAAGAAATGACTAAGATAGAGTCAAGCTGCCTACTGCCAGACTTCGTATTAGGTAAGAAAAATAAGGCTTTTTTTGGTTAAGTCATTTTGTATGCCAAGTTATTAAGGAATGCCCTTGAATTCAATCCTAACTGTGTACCATTGGGTTTTTCTAACACATTTTGCTGGATCTTGGTCAAATTATCACAACTTCAAGAACAGACCTGCACCCTGCAGGTTGTTGAGGGCACAGGACAATGGTGACATCTGCTGCTTTTATTCACTTACCTCGTTCCAAGACAGAGCACAGAAATTACTCATAATGCGAGTCACCTCATTCTCAGAAGGGAGTTCTTGTGATGTAAAGTTCAAGAAGTGCATCACATAATAATAAGCTGAAAATGCCTGCAGAGAAAAATGCAGAATCTTGTACTGTGTCCAACACACACAGCGGGGCACTGACTCACTCTCCAGAAAGAGCTGCTATTAAATAATAGACTTCTAATTGTTTTTTCTCCATTTTGATACATATAATTTTTATTATACTTTCCTATTACTGCCTTTTTTGGCCCTTTTATTACAGTATGAGTTTAAAGAGGAAAATTTAGTTGAGCATAGCTGCTAGATGAGGATCTCAGACTCACTGTAATACTTTTTCTCTCTCTTGTCCTAAATGGTGTCAGTTTTTAGGGGAAATCATTTTGGAGGTCTTAGGAGCACATTTGTTTATTCAGCAAACATCCTGAGTGTGGTAGGCACTGAGCTGAGTCAGAGTCTACTTCGATAACTAAAGGGAGCAGAAAGCTTTCCAAGAACTATAAGTGGTTTGATTTAGGATTTTATTTTGCTTTCTGTAAAATTCCCAAACCAGAAGGAAAGTGCTATCTAAAACAAGTCAAGCAACATTCCTATGTAATTCTCATGGTCAACTATACAGGAAGGCAAAGAAACAGGATTTAGTGAGGATATCAGGTGGGGATTCAAGTCTCACTCAGAGAAAAAGAAATATACCCTCTACCAGGCAGGTTCCTTCCTACTAAGAGGTCTTATCCTTCAATTCCAGCCAAAATAAGCCTTCCATCAGCTTCTTAAAAATTCCATTATTACAAAAGCCATTGGTTGTGTCTTTGAATGCTATTTTAAGTGATTGTATTTTGTGTGGGGGGGGCATAGTCAACAATTGTTACTTGATTGATGGTAGCTAAAATTATTCAATATACTACTAAATTATCATTACAAGAATGCTTGATCTCCAGGACTAAAATATAAAATTTGAATAATGAGTAGATCAAGGCGAAAATCTTTTACCTCTTCTTAAATGCATTATCTTATTCTAGAGTAATAAAGAAGGAATTTGGACTGTAGATCCAAATAGTTCCCCAATTCTTCAAAGTGTAATGCAAACAAAGCTATCTTTCAGGTTTCCTTGGGGCTTTCTATGTTTCTACTTCCTAAATATCTTTATAGAAAACCCACAGCTGAGACATCTAACTACTGCTTCTCCTTCCTCTAATGTCTGAGAAGCCACCTGAAGCAGATACTAATCTGTGCCTATGCAATAGCCAGCCCCCCTTCTTCTGGCTTACAGATTCCTGATCCTACTTAAGCAGGGAAGCAAAAATGATCAGGAAAGACTCCCCAGTTCTAGGAGACGAACAATGATTGTTCATGATCTAAACCAACCCTGGTAACCCATTCCTCTTTATCACAGATTAATTTAGAAATGTGCATTTCACCAAAGTGTGGCCAGTGGCATCTGAAAGATGTTTGTTGGCACTTCCACAAAATTGGGGAGAGATGTATGCAAGAGATACCGCCTCCTTTCTTACTTTGACTTTGCTTGTGTAGATAAAAGATTAGAGCAGTAGCTGCCATCCTAGCAGCACAAGAAGGCTAAGAGGATAATGGGAAACTGATCCCAAGTCTTGACATTAATAAGCCAAAGAACTAACCCTGAATTAGCTACTCAAGGTTTGTTGTCATGGGAGAGAAAAATAATTCCTTCTACTCACACACTTTGTAGGCATGTATTCTGTAATACATCCAAAGTCATCCTAACCAACGTCTTTATCATTTCTCAAACTTACCTCAAAATGTCCTTGGACTGGTGGTATATAAGTCCCATTGAAGGCACACTTGGTGTAACCACAGGTATCATTGCTGAAGAGTTGATTTTCAATGTTTTGCTTGCATTGTTCATAGTTTCCAGTGCCAAGGATTTCAAGCTTGTCCATTTTGCTCAGCTTATATTTCTCAGTGCAGGGGCTCTTGTAAAATTCAACTATATCCATTACCCTCTCATATCCAGGGTGAAAGCATGGGTCCTTGATGGTTCCATTTGAATTCTGAATGGAAAAATACTTAAAGCCATCATGTGTGAATGTTTTAGTTACAAAAGCACCAGTATGATTTCATTCATATGGAGAAATTGTACAATACCCCAGCACGCATTGGCTGCAGTATATCCCTGTTTCCTCCCCCCCCCACCCTTTTTTTAAATACACTCTTGGGAAGAATGGGGTTTATATAAGAGGAACTAGAATTGGTATCAGATGTAAATATGTAAATGAATTTTCACTATTCATAGAAAATGAATATAGTTAAAGCTGGACCCAGAAATTCCGTTAGTTTGGAATGTCCCTGAATACTTAGACTCATCACAGAAGTCAGAAGTAGATTCACAAGGAAAACTGTGAAGGCTCTCACAGTGTTGAACTTGAGTTAGTTCACCAGGAATCAGTCCCCAATGCCACCTTCAAACAAAAAAATCAGATGCTCCAAGAGCGAAGAGTACCTTAGGTCATTTAAGTCAGGGGTAACAAAGTGATTTGTAACCCAAACCCAAGAAGCACAAAAGAAAAAAGGGACTCCTGTGAATGAGCGGCTTAGGGGAGCCTTGGGGCTCAGTAGGTGTCACTCTGCAGTCCTACTCTCATGATGGTCATTTTATGGAGAGTGCTTCTGAGAACCCCAAAGAGGACTTTGGAAGTGAGCAGAGACCTGGCTGTCCTTTCAGTGGAGATGGGGAACAGGCATATATGACATCCTCACTCTGTGTTTGCAAGGCACTCCAGTGATTTTGAGTATGTTTAATTTTTCTTCCCTTCAAAATGCAGAAAGTACCTGGAGACAAGATTGGAAGCAGTGACTAACATGTTCTGCGCTTTTGTTTCCTCTCCAAGTTGTTTCTAGCAACCCTGATTCTGCACTTTGAAGGAATTGGAGATTAGAAAGTGGTAAAGACCTTACTAATCACACACACACACACACACACACACACACACACACACACACCAACAATACTCTAGAATGAATTTTCATTTTCAATCCCATAGGCGTGAGAAGTTGTTTCCCACAAAAAGGAGTTCAGTCATGTCCTTGGAGACAGTGTGGTAAGCAAAGACAGGAGGCAATGCCTGGTAGAGAATGAGTCATGAGAAAGACATATAATTGGAGATGACAACAAGAAATTATGCATGCTATTTACAAATTTGTATCTAGAGTGTAACGCATCCCTCTGAAAATGTATTATTGAGGCTAAATATATTAATTATTCAGATGTCATCTCAGATGTGGTATTTGTCAAAAGCTGAGAGAACTGTTTTCCCAAAGCATATCATGCCCAAAGTGCTTAATAAGAGATGCTGTTTATATTCATTCTAAATTACTCCAGTACTTCAGTTTGGACCTTTTCTATGAAATATGCACTGCCTTGGTTGAATTAAAAATTAAAAAAAAAGGAATGATTTGTAAGGGTTTGACCCAAGGTACTTAGATATTCTGCCAAAAAAGGTTTGGGACAGGGGCTCCCTGGTGGTGCAGGGATTAAGACACAACCTCCAAAGCTATCTGCAGCACGAGTTTGATCCCTGGACAGGGAGTTACCCACCTGGTGCAGCAGACCTCTCCTGACTCACCCGCTGCTCCCCTCACCACTATGTTTCAGTCAATCTGCCTGTTCTGTTCCCCACTCTGTCTCTGGTGAATCCTCTTACCACCCCACCCCCCCCAACACCTCTGGCCTGTACCGCAGTTCTTGTATGCATAAATAAATAAATCATTTTTTTAAAAAAAGAAAAGAAAAGGTTTGGAACAGTAATAAACCTCAGGCCAATTACTGAAGTAGAATGAGAAAACAATAGGATGTGAGGGCTGGCAGCCAAGACGTGGGGAGAACAGATCTGGATTGAGTTATACTTGCCTGAAAATCGTAGGACAGTTTCGTCAAGAGTGCTTGGTCCTTTCCATAACACAAGAAACTATGTGTGTACAAAATATAGGTTTTTCCATAGAGTTGAAAGCTCACATGGTTTTCTTCAGGCATTTCAAAAGGCTTGTTATACACAAAAGTTATTTGTGTAGAGGCTCCCCCAAGGTCTAAAGCTCCATAAGCTGTCTGATAAGTTTTGTCCTTTATATGCATGTTGAGCCAGTTCAATTTCTAAAAGAGAATTTAGTCACAAGTGGTCAGAGTGGTCACACTATTTACTGGACTCAGGGGCTTCCTAAGGTAAAGAGCAGGGCCATAAGGGTGACACAGAGTTCACCAGGGTTCTTGAGTCTGTATCAATCAACAGTAAGAAATGAGGGGCTCTAAAGACATAATTCAGCCTCCAATAATACACAAGCAGTATAGCCAGTGTTTACAAACTAGAGGGGTCTATGGGCAGGACTCAAGTTCAAATTCTCATTCATTTGCTCATTAGTTGTATGACCATTGAACAAAATAGTTACCTTCTCTGGGCCTCAATTTGGGGCTATAAAATGAGAATACCTCATCTGCTGTTTTGAAGATGAAATCAGGCAGTACAAGGAAAGGACTTAACACAAGATAGCACTGGGCAAATATTAGCTATTCTTGTTTTTAATGATAATTTTTTAATTTCCTCTATACCTTCCCCTAAAGTGGAGATACAGCATCCTTATTCTCATGCTGTAAAAGCTCTTACAAGAGAATTATATTTCTGGTAACCCTAGCAAATGTGGGGGCAAATTAATTTGGTCATTCAACCAGCATTTGTACTGATTAGTGATCCAAATACTGTCTGAGATAGCACCTCCGTGGATGCTGTAAGATAATCACCTGAGTGAATTTTCCCAGCAGGTAGTTGATAGTAATCCAGCCAAAGGCACCTTCTTCTTTGCCAGAGATGATTTTGGCGCCTTGGAAGTCAAAGGGGTACTTGCTGAGGCTCGTTGTCACTGCTAACATGACCTTGTCTGCAGCCCGTTCATCTTTCAGCCTGCACAAAAGAAGACTTGGGGTTATCAGCTTTATTTTAAAAATGACGACCAGCCATTTCAGCCAGAGCTTCCAGTCAGTTCTCCTAGGTAATTAACCATAGCACTGGAATAAACAGAGGTAGAGATCACCATGCATGGTTGTCTAAGGAGGCCATCTTTAGGGAGGGGGTAGGGGTGGCAGATCAAGTTGTTTGGCAACCTCTTTCCAAAGTCAAATCCTTCCAATTCCTCTATAGGTTGGTCTTTCTAAAATACCATTTTTTTTGTTCTCCAGCTCCAAAAAAATCATCAAAGTAACATTAATTTCTGTGGTAATAGCTGGGTATTATTTTATCGTAACACCTAAAGCTGATGTGCATTATGTTAGTTACTGATGATGGTTCCTAGCTGGTTATATAGCCAGACTCTGCTTGAGGTTTTAAATTAAAACTCCACTGGTAAATATTCTGGGACAGATACCCAGTTGGTGCCAGACTGAGAAGAAGACTTCCTTACTCAGCCCTTGGTTCTGTCTGAGATACTTTTTTTCTTACCATATATATATATTTTTTTGAGGTAACATTAATTTACAATATGGTGTAGATCTCTGGCCCTAAAAATGAAATCTTTCAGGTTGTCATAATGAACTTGTGATGCCATTCTCCGCAGGTGTACGCTCTGCAACATGAGAGGTTCTCATCTGAATGGCTTCCATACCTGAGCAGCTGGCCCCTTATCCTTAGTTTTCCTCCCTCCAAACCACCTTCTCTATGAGTGTTATCAGTTGTGTAACATTCTTTAATGACATTCTTAAATGACTTTTATTATCTCCCAGAGAAATTCCAAACTCCCTAGTGTGACCCACCAGACACTTTGTGATCTGGACCCTGCCTTCTCCAATTCCACTCAGAGTCCTGGATCTATCATTAATCACATGTGTGATTGCATGAGTTCCTTAACATTGATAAGCCATAGCTTTATCTGTTTAACACATTTAATAATACCACTTACTTCATAGAGGTATGGTGATTAAATTGAAGCAAAGTGCTAAACAAGGGTTCAACAAACACAAGCTGGTATTTTTATTATTTTACTGTATGTAGCTTATGTTCCATCTATGCAGAACTATCTACAGTCCTCTGAACAAACCCTGGTCTCTCAAAATGTCCCTGCCTTTGCACATCTTTTAGAACACAAGCTCCAGGAAGGCAGGGACTTTGTCTTCTTCTCTGCTGTATCCCCAGCACTTAAAACAGTGGCTGATACATGACTGGTTTGCAAAATGTATATCTGTTCTGCCAGTAATGCCCTTCTCTTGTCCTGCAATTCAGCCTTCATGATTCAGATATGGGTCCCCTTCTCTGGGAAAGACTTTCCATTCTGGACAGGGCCAAGTGTGCTCCCACAGTAGCTCTGAGCATCCCTTTATTAAAGAATCCATCACTCTGTATTCAAAACTCTGATCACCTTGAGGGCTGAGTCACCTACTTCTATTCTGGAACAGAGGGCGCAGTCACTCTATGCTGAATGAATGAATGAATGAATGAACAGATAATACACATAGGTACAAAGTGGTGATGGAAAAGATGTGTTAGTTGTGATTATTTGTGTCTTGGGTTCATTTGTGAGTCTCCTGTGGTCTCCCCACTCCTAGATATTGAATGACTGGACCTGTAGCCCCAAATCACAAGTACACAGGTTCAACCTTTCTCTCTTTGTATCCATGCCCCTTTGAATTCCTTGTGGGAAGATAGAAAATGGGGTTTTTTGAACATACTTAAACTTCTGCCATTACACATACTAAGAGTTTCAGAATTTTATCCACTTACAGAGATTTTCTTAGATGTGGACATTTAGGATGCAGAGAACTGGTGTGGTAGGGAAGTGTGGCACGTCCCCATAAGTTCAGAGCTTTTGGACTGTCAAACCCTGCTTATGGTCCCTACATGCACTTATACCTGAGCAACCGCATGCCTGCTGTGGCTCCGAGGTAAACAGGTGTCTCTTCATGCTGGGACTGTGGAATCACACTTCTGGCTCTTTGCATACATTCCTCCAGAGAATGGTCGATTTCTATTGTTTTTTCAGCATAATCTGAGATTCCAGGACCTATGAAAAGATATCAAAGCAGATGAAAATCTTATAAAACAGTAAAATGTAGTATAGATGGTCAGTAGTTATACTCACTGAACCTAGCCTTGGTAGGACTTATTTTCAGACCTTTGGTTGGGTTTGTCCACTGTTCAAAAATTTTGCCACCAGGTGGCACAATTTTCACATCCAATTGCATAAAGTTCCTAACAGGTTCTCTCAGATTTTACTGAGGATCTATACCTACTCTACATAGCTGCTGTTTGATGTTTCTTTCACAAAGTTTAACTTAACAATGTTAATTCATAGAAGGCCTAAGAGGAAAATGATGACAGTTAAAATAAGCATCAGGCACACTAGTTATTACTGAAAAGATAAGAATTGCTACTAACTAGCTAAAATTGCTGAAGTAGCATTTCTTCCTTTGTTAGACAAAACAGGAATAGATTTCCTCCCGTCCCCCAGTACTCATTTCATCAGTAGGTTTTTCCACTCGGATTCCCTGCCCCCTTAGTAAAATTGTTTTTCCAGTTTTAGAACAAAACTAATTGTTGCTATGGAGAGGGCTAGAGCCAAGAAAGATTCCTGAAGCTTTTTGAAGCTAATACTTAAGAATGTCAGCACACTTTAAGACAAGCATCTACACTGTCAGAGTTTCAATAGTGAGGATTTGCTTAAAGATAATTATCCAAGTATGTTATCCATATCATTTGCAGTTTTTAAACAGTCTGTTTACTTACCCACACTGAGGAAATCAGCTCTAAATTATGGTCTGTTTTGATCAAAAAACTCTGGCCTTTCAAGAACTGGTGACTTTCAACCAACCTTTTATCTAAATACTTGGCTAGAGAAATCTCTCTTTCGAAAGAGGGAAATTACAGCATTAATTAGGTCATACACACACATGGTATGAGTTTCACAAGGAAAACAGCTTCTAGGTTTAAAAAAACTTTAAAGATGGAAGGCAGTGGATTAAATAAAACCAATAAAATATGGTATTTGAGTTTTAAGAAATGCTCAAATTGATGGAGTCAAAGTCAAAGGACATGAGACTGTTGGGCAGAATGACTTGTTCACTTGGAAACCTCTCTCTACTGATTTCGTGACAAACTATGAAAAGTGGGAGTCCTCAGAGGCCAGCAAACTGAAAGTCAATAATTTTCTGGGGTCTGAGTTATCTGTATTACTAAAAATAAACAGTGGGTCCCTGGCTCTAAGGACAAAGATAGATAAAGATCAGAGAGATGATGGTGTAGTGTGGTAACATTTGGTGCATGCTGGAGTGTTGGATGGGAGGAAATAGAAGGAACTGAATTGTATACAACCCTGACTTGTTTTATGATCTTAAAAGAAAACAAGCTAGTGCATCTCACTCAGCACCCAGCTGCTGGTGCCTTAGCAGACCAAGGTCCCGGCCTAGGCCTCCTTGCAGGGCCTTGCTCTACATCAGGGATCCTCAGCAACCCTCAAGTGAGCACCCCTGACTCCAGACCTGACCGCCTACTCCTCGAGAGTGAACAGAGGTCTGTGTGGCAATCTTGCAGGACCTAGCTACTCACCACAGGCCCCCAGCCGCACCAGGAAGTATATCCCACTCAGCACTCAGCCACATAGGGCATTCTTCCATATCAGGAATAGTCAGCAACCCTTTGCCCTCCTGGTCACCAGAAACATGCCCTTGAGCCACCACTCCTGGGTGAGGCAAAGTCCCAGCAACTTAGCCTCTAGACCCAGCACTGCAGTCAGCCCTCCCAAACCTCCCAGCCACCAGAACAAGTCCCAAAAGTGCTTTGGGGGATGCTCTAGTACATCCCTAGATTCTACAAGACCCCAGTAGCTGTACCTACCATCAAGTGAACACTCAGAACAGTGAGGGAGAAGCACTCATACACAACAAAAGCCCCAACTACAGCAGGGCAAACCCAAAGCAAACAATGGAGTGAAGGAAAAGTACAAATGGTTAAACAAGTCCTCAGGGGAACAATATACCACAAAGACACAATCAAATTCCAGAACCCAACAACACTGACACAGAAGAATCATTCTCCCTGCCAGATAAAGAATTCAAAATTGTCATATTTAAGAAAGTCAAAGAACTCAAACAACACAAATAAAGCTCAGAAAAGCAAATCAGAGACATATGTAAAGACACAGAAAAGGAAATGGATGCAATGAGAAACATAATTATGAACAGAATATCAAGATTGAAACTTTAAATAAGAAAATGGAGGAAATTCAGGGTGTAGAAAGATAAAATGGAGAAAGTAATGAATTTTGGGGAAAGACATGGAAATAGAACAAACTACATGGAGGAACAAATCAGTAATTTCAAAGATACAGATAAAAAAAGAACCAAGAGGGACTCCCCTGGTAGCGCATGGGGTTGAGCGCCGTGCTGTGCAGCTGTCCACAGCCTCTGCAGCGCTGGTTCAATCCCAGCCAGCCAGAGAGGGTCCCACATGGCATGGCAGACCTCTCCTGTCACGCCCGCTGCTCCCCTCAGCAGTGTATTTCATCAGTCTGCCTGTTCTGCTCCCCACTCTGTCTTTCTGGTGAATCTTCTCACCCTCCCGCACATCTGGCCTGTACCCTGGTTCTTGTATAAATAAATAAATCTTAAAAAATAAATAAATAAAATATTAAATATTAAAAAAAAACCAAGAAAGAAAAGATACAAAGGAGAAAGAGCAAAGAAACACTTTGAGAATTATCTGACACCATGAGGAAAGGAAATATAAGAGTCATAAAAATCCCAGAAGGAGAAGAGAGAGACAAGGGGGCTGAAAAGCTATTCAAGGAAATAATTGAGAAAACTTCCTAAACTTGAAGAAGGAAATGAAAATAGACATACAGGAAGTTTTAGATGGATACCAAACATTCAGAATGAAAGGAAAAATAAAGCAAGACAGATAGCAGTAAAACTTTTGAGAGTCCAAGAAAAAGAGAAAAAAAATGAAGCTGACAAGGGGAAAGAAACAGATAAGCTAAAAAGGAAAACCAACTACGCTAATATCTGTCTTCTCTGAAGAAACACTATGGGCAAGAAGGGAATGGAGTGACCTATTCAAAAAACCCCAAGACAAAAAATGTCAGCCAAGAATACTTCATTTTGTAAAGTTTCTCCTTCCTATATGAGGAAAAAATAAGGACCATCTCAGACAGACAAAATCTTTGGAAAATTTGCCACTAAACCCTCACTCCAAGAAATTCACAGGAATTCTTAGGACTGAAGCCAAGAGAGGAATGAACATGAAGAGCTGACCAAGGACTGAAGAGAACCACAAAACGATGAACAAAATGACAGTGACAGACTTCCACATATCAATAATCACCCTAAATGTCAATGGACTAAACTCATCGATAAAAAGACAAAGAGTAGCATGCTGAATTAGAAAACATAATCCAACCTTCTGCTACCTCTAAGAAACATACCTAAGTTCTAAAGATAAACATAGATTGAAAGCAAGGGTTGGAAAACAATTAGAAAAGCAAATGTCTCCCCAAAGAGGAAAGGGGTGGCCATATGGCCATTTCCTTCTTCAAGTTTAGGAAGTTTTCTCAATTATTTCCTTGAATAGCTTTTCAGCCCCCTTGTCTCTCTCTTCTTCTACTGGGATTTTTATGACTCTTACATTTCCTTTCCTCATGGTGTCAGATAATTCTCAAAGTGTTTCTTTGCTCTTTTTCCTTTGTATCTTTTCTTTCTTGGTTCTATCTTTTCTTTCCTGGTTGTATCTTTTCTTTCTTGGTTTCTATCAGGTAAATAGACTTCAAGCTTAAAAAGGTGATCAATAGAATGATCAAAGGGAAACAATACAGGAAAACATAAGACTCATCAATATACACTCATCAAATGAGGGAGCATCAAAATACTTTAGACAATTATCATCTTTGAAAACAGAGAAAATGCATAGAAGCAGGTTGAGATTTGAGAACCACTGGCTAAGACATGGGCAAATATCCATATGAACTGCAATTCCATCATTTACTAGTTCAAGCAAACTTAAAACAAGTGGCATAAATTTTCTCAACCTCAGTGCCCTTGTGTTTAAAAATGGAAACAATACATATCTCAAAAGGAGACTGAAGATCAAATAATGTATTTTCAGTGCCCTATGTATGGGAGCTACTATTACTCAGTTATTTTTTAATTTGCTTATTCAGGGCTGGAATGTTAAGGACTGAGTTCAGTATTATTTTTATAATGATTAAACAGTAATAAAGTCTCCGCTGTTTTTCACTGGACTTTTTCTCATATGTTCCACTTGCCATACACTTTTCACTTTTTCTTGCCCCACTGCCTCCTCCCTTTCCTTTTTCAACTTACCTTTTACTTTGCATTCATCTATCTGATGTACCACCCCTGTGTCATTCTCCTTTTCCGCTGGCCATGAATAGACGTACAGACTTGTGTGAGAAGAGCCTGCATCCAGCACAATCCCATACTGAGGGCAAAACAAACCACAGCTTATCAGCATTAAATTATTCTTCTCCATTTTCAGCTGAAGACAATTACAGGAGAAAGCATTTTAATTCAAGAGGAACATGGAGGCTAGGGGTGGGAGGGAACATGCTTGGAGTTGCCCCCTCGCAGATTTATTACCATGTGAAGAGTTCTAGAACAGTGGCTATCAGTACTGGGCACGCATTATAAACACCCAAAATTCTCTTTCCATTTGCCCGAATCAACCATGAACCTGCCTGGTCTGGGATGGTTGCACAACAACAAGGAAGAACTGGTTGGTCAGAGAATGGGAGAAGAAGGCCCCACCTCACATTTCAGAGTCCACTAGATATACCAGGCAGGTGATATATGAAACACTTCATAAGAATTATCTGACTTAACCCTCAGAACAGTGCTGTAAAGTAGGGACTATTTTCATTCCCTCTATAGAAGTGAGAAAATAAAGTCCAAAGAGGTTAAGTAATGTACCCAAGAAACACAGCTAATCGATGACAGAACCTAGTTTGCATCAAAGTAGGACTCAATACCTTATGCGCCTTAGGTAGAGAAACAGGAGTGAGGGCTGGACAAGAGTTTTCAAAATGGTGCCCCTGTCCAAAGACTTTTAATGAGGGAGGAATATAGCAAAGTGTGCAAATCTTAGGTATGCATCTCAATGAAGTTTTGCATTTGTGCACATCTGTATAAACCACCACTAACAGGAAACAGGGGAGGTGGATGAGGGAGGCTGTTGTGCCAGCAAGGCATGGGGCAGGTTATCTATGGAACCAGGCAGATGGGTAGAGTCCTGGAGCCCTCAGTGGCTTTTTCAGGCGTTTACTCTTTTTTACACCAATTGTAGTGTGGCAACCAGGAGCAGGGCAGGCAAGGGGGTGGGGGGCCAGGAGGCTGGCAGGCCTCCCAGCCCTTGGCCAATCTTTACTCTCTCTGGACTCTCCAGTGGTCTCTCCCCCACTGCCCACCACTCCCCATTGGACTCCGCCACACAGTCCCCTACAGCACTGCCCTTAGATGTTCAGCCTCCAGGCTCAGATGCGCCCACCTACACATGCCCACACCATGCTCCAGGTGACCATCGGGCATTCATACCCTGAGCCCACACTCCCAAGTGCCTCCTGCACTCAAGGTAATAGCCAATGAGGCCAATGGCACAAAAGCCTGAGCAATCTTCAGAGGCAGAGGGGGTATTGGCACAGGTGGTTTGGTGGAGGGTGGGTGCAACATGTGCACACATTGAAGAGCAAAAATGTCACCCCAAAAAACTAAAATAAAGAATTTTTGAAAGCCACCAAGATCAAGATAGAGATACTTTTTCTAGCCCGCAGAAGGCTTTCTGGTGTCCGTCACTGTTAGTTTCCCCCATGGTATAGGGTAAGGTAAAAGTATCAGGCTTTTCTGCCCTCCTGCCATCAGGATGGATGACAGAAACCTGTGGTCCCGAATGCATGCCTCATGGCGGGCACCTGGAGTAAGGTGTGGGCATATTAGATGGGATTCACCTGGGCTAAGACTGGGCTTTTCAGGGCGGTGTCACGGGGATGCGAGAAGAAGAGCAAATGAGAAGCAGCAGAGAGAAGACCCGAGAGCCCAGAAAGAGTAAAGACTTGCTAGGGGCTGGGAGGCCTGCCAGCCTCCTGGCCCCCCAGCACCTCTGCCTGTCGTGTACCTGGTAAATCCCAATAAAAGCCTGCAAAAGCCACTGAGGCCTCCAGGACTCTCTCCTCCTTTACCCTGATCTGCTGGATCAGACTGTCGCCACCATAGGTGAGTATGCCTGCTTCTGAACTGCTATGATGGACTGACTCAGTGTGTTTACCTTAGTTCTAACCTCTTTCACTCTACACAGTGTCTCTAAAAGACATTCAGACCATGGTTTCGGGAGTTTGTTTCCTCCATTGTCATATGGAATACGGTTTCCAGAAACATCCTTATATGTGTCATTTTGTGGACAAGCGCTCTCATTTATTTGGGGTATTTACCCAGGAGGCAACTGATGAAAGCCCAATTTGATCAACTGTCACTCATCTTTGGTTACTTCCCTGGTTTAAATTAGAGGAGAAAAATGCCTTGACTGAAGAATGTCTGCCATGGCTCTTGAGGAGGGCACAGAAGCGCATGGACTTATTTACTGCCCTTGTACTAGAGGGGGAAATGGAGGAAAGTAAACAGGAAAGCAAAGGAAGAGACACTAACATTTGAGCCAACTTCTCTCCACATTTTGCAACTCATTTCAACCTTAAAGCATGGTCTGCCACTTGATAATGTCTAATTCAGCAGTTGTTTTATTTATATATCTGTATCTATAGCTGTCTATATTCCCTCATATTGTCTTATCACCTGGTTAGAATCTAAGAACTTCCAGGGAGAGAAGGAAGCGATCTTTCTGAACCACTGGGAATGGTTATAAGTAGAGCCTATTGAGGTGCTGGGCTTTATTCCCTATCACCACATACCAGGGAGTACCCCTGGGCCTGGTGCAGATTTTTGATCCTCTACAAACTCCACTCTGTTCTGTTTTCTTACTACACTCACAGTGGGGATTCCGCATGGTTAGCCTTTGCCCTTATTAAGAAAAGGACCTGTCTACTTGTTTTGGGCATGGCAAGGAAGCAAGCTGGCCCAGCTCCTCTGCAGCTAGGCTTGCAATGAGAGGAAACCAAGAATTGGCTTAGGCAGTTACCTTTATGGGCAGGATGGCATCTGAGGGCTTTGGACACATGTGAAAGCTCCCAGGGTGGAGGATGAGGCTCAAGGGCTACACCTAGAGAATTCTGTTGTTCCCCAGAAGGGGCACTGAATTCTTCCTGCCAGAAAAATGTTTCAACCACAATGGCTTATGATAAAAGCTAAGCAACAAGCAGACTTTTCTGGAATCAGGACATTCTATTGTCTGCCTTTGTTGACATGAAAGTCACTCTTCTAGTAGAAAAAGGAACCAGCCTTGCTTCTATCAGCCTGTCTCTCTAAGGCCTTGCACAGTGAGGAGGTTGATAAATGTCAAACTTTCACTACATGTCATTTGGCAAGAGTTTGAAAAAGGGGTAGAGTGTACTGTTAACAGGAATCGAGGACACTATCTGTGTGAACAGCAGAAGTGTGTGCTGTTGAATTGTGCCATCTTTTATCTTCGAAACTGGTTTGCAGAATACGACACTGGCATTACTTGCTGCTTACAGGGCCGATGAAGCTAAATTGTCTGAAAATTCTGTTCACACATTTGGAAAGTTTGCCTTACTTTGTCACAAACTGTCAGTATATTTACTCATTTTTCATAGCTGCCCTACTTTAGAGCTAAAAGTTTAATTCCATCTAACTTAAATCTCATTTTACAGATGAGCAACTGTGCCAGACAGCTCAAGGACTTGCCTAATAGGTAGAGATAGTTAATGCCCTAACAGATTCATCTGGAGTCCAGGTAACTACCACCTTTTGTTCTCTTTCATCACACCAGCATTTCCTATGCATGTTCCAGAGGGCAATCAGACTACGAAGATCTGGGCAAATAAACCTCAGAAGTGTGGGAAATGCTGTGTGCTCTCTCCCCATCCTGGGCTCCTTATCCCATGCAGTAGTGAACACTTCAGAGAAGTCTGAGAACTCACTTACTGCTGTCTGAGCCAGCATCCCCCAGATGACAACCAAATTTTGTTAGCTCTCCTAAACAACACTTTAAGAAATGCTGTGTTTTGCTATCCTATCACTCTCATCCAGTGTTTCTCTGTAGATAATATTTAATGTTTCTAAAAGCTCCTCTTAATACGTCCTTTACATTAAAGAAAATTCAAAGATTTAGATGGTAAGGAAAAGACCTAACATTCCTTCAATATGATTTCAACATCGCTTTGCACTTTAAGAGTACTAAAAGTAATCTAGAAAATGAAGGAAAAGGGGGAAAAAAGGTTCTATCAATTAGATATAGCTGTTATTTTATTTCCTTCCAGTCTTTTCTAAATGCATGGTGATTTTTATATAGCTATAATTTGACTATTCATATAGCTTTGTCCTAAGCTAGTTTTTCATCATGCACGTCATTTCAGCACTCATAATTGATCTTCATTAGCTGCATTGAGAAGCTAAAAGAAAAAGAAGTTAGAAAAGACCTTGCTTGAAGACACCAGATCTTGGTGAAGATCTGAAGATGTGGGTGGCAACAGACCCTGAGCTCATGGAGCATAGAGGCCACAAGGAAGAAGATCTAGTAACTTTGGGATGGAAACCACATTATCTGTGCAAATGTCATAGGTCCAGGCTTCTGCCTAAGTCTCCCTGAATGTGGAAAGCAAGAGAAAACCTACTTCTTATCCTGGGTCTGCAAAAGTGAGAGGTTTAGCCCTTTTTTCAGAGTCTTCTACCCACCCTCTTGCTGGCCTGTTCTCACACACATGTTACTCTTTTTTTTTTTTTAAATAAATTTTATTTTTATATTCCCCATACAATTGCAACACCCTTATTTTGACCCCAATTCCTCCCCTCCCCACCCCCCACTCTCCATAGAGTGCCTCTGGTTCATAGTTTTTTGTTGATTTTGATTTTCACTTTCTTATAGTTATTCATTTTCCTGGTCCCTTATTTAAGTTTTCTAGATTCCTGCTATGAGTGTTGTTTTTTTTTTTTTTTTTTTAAGATTTATTTATAAATACAAGAACTGGGGCACAGGCCAGAGTTGGGGGGGGCATGAGAGGATTCACCAGAGACAGAGTGGGGGAACATAACAGGCAAATTGACTGAAATACAATGCTGAAGGGAGCAGCAGGCAAGTCAGGAGAGGTCTGATGCGCCATGAGGGTAGCTCCCTGGCCAGGGATCGAACTCATTCATGCTGCAGTGGCTGCCACGAGTTTCATAGGCTGTGTCTTAAACCCTTGAGCCACCAGGAAGGCCCCATGTTACTTTTCATCCAAAGCCTTTGCCTAGAAAGTCTTTCACCTGAGATCCTAGCCATCTCTGATTAGATTCCACCCTCCTAATCTACTAGTACCT